ATTTTTGGGGGCAAAAGAGGTCTTTTTGCCATTTTTCTCATAAATTGACTATCGGGCCATGTTTATGCGATAATAAAAATATCTTCCCCCATACAAACTTTTTCAAACTCGCTGTATAAACACTTTGTTATATGTACTACTGCTGGTCCTGTGTAAATGTGGGGCCCATAACTGCAAGACACTCATTCTTTAGGGAAAACTAGGTCTTTTTGCCATTTTTTATCAAAAATTGACTACCGGGCCATGTTTGGGCGATAATAAAAATATCTTCCCCCCATACAAACTTTTTCAAACTCGCTGTATTAACACTTTATTATATGTACTACTACTGGTGTTTTGTAAATGTGGGGCCCATAACTGCAAGACACTCATTTTTTGGGGCAAAAGAGGTATTTTTGCCATTTTTCTCATAAATTGACTATCGGGCCATGTTTATGCGATAATAAAATATCTTCCCCCATACAAACTTTTTCAAACTCGCTGTATTAACACTTTATTATATGTACTACTACTGGTGTTTTGTAAATGTGGGCCCATAACTGAAAGACACTCATTTTTGGGGGCAAAAAGAGGTCTTTTTGCCATTTTTCTCATAAATTGACTATCGGGGCCATGTTTATGCGATAATAAAATATCTTCCCCCATACAAACTTTTTCAAACTCGCTGTATAAACACTTTGTTATATGTACTACTGCTGGTCCTGTGTAAATGTGGGGCCCATACCTGCAAGACACTCATTTTTTGGGGCAAAAGAGGTATTTTTGCCATTTTTCTCATAATTGACTATCGGGCCATGTTTATGCGATAATAAAATATCTTCCCCCCATACAAACTTTTTCAAACTTGCTGTATTAACACTTTTATTATATGTACTACTACTGGTGGTTTTGTAAATGTGGGGCCCATAACTGCAAGACACTCATTTTTTGGGGCAAAAGGGTATTTTTGCCATTTTTCTCATAAATTGACTATCGGGCCATGTTTATGCGATAATAAAAATATCTTCCCACCCATACAAACTTTTTCAAACTCGCTGTATTAACACTTTATTATATGTACTACTACTGGTGTTTTGTAAATGTGGGGCCCATAACTGCAAGACACTCATTTTTGGGGGGCAAAAGAGGTCCTTTTTGCCATTTTTCTCATAAATTGACTATCGGGCCATGTTTATGCGATAATAAAAAATATCTTCCACCCATACAAACTTTTTCAAACTCGCTGTATTAACACTTTATTATATGTACTACTACTGGTGTTTTGTAAATGTGGGGCCCATAACTGCAAGACACTCATTTTGGGGGCAAAAGAGGTCTTTTTGCCATTTTTCCTCATAAATTGACTATCGGCCATGTTTATGCGATAATAAAAATATCTTCCCCCATACAAACTTTTTCAAACTCGCTGTATAAACACTTTGTTATATGTACTACTGCTGGTCCTGTGTTAAATGTGGGGCCCATAACTGCAAGACACTCATTTTTTGGGGCAAAAGAGGTTTTTTGCCATTTTCTCATAAATTGACTATCGGGCCATGTTTATGCGATAATAAAAATATCTTCCCCCCATACAAACTTTTTCAAACTCGCTGTATTAACACTTTTTATATGTACTACTACTGGTGTTTTGTAAATGTGGGGCCCATAACTGCAAGACACTCATTTTTGGGGCAAAAGAGGTCTTTTTGCCATTTTTCTCATAAATTGACTATCGGGCCATGTTTATGCGATAATAAAAATATCTTCCCCCATACAAACTTTTTCAAACTCGCTGTATTAAACACTTGTTATATGTACTACTGCTGTCCTGTGTAAATGTGGGGCCCATAACTGCAAGACACTCATTTTTAGGGAAAACTAGGTCTTTTTGCCATTTTATCAAAAATTGACTACCGGGCCATGTTTGGGCGATAATAAAAATATCTTCCCCCCATACAAACTTTTTCAAACTCGCTGTATTAACACTTTATTATATGTACTACTGGTGTTTTGTAAATGTGGGGCCCATAACTGCAAGACACTCATTTTTTGGGGCAAAAGAGGTTTTTTGCCATTTTTCTCATAAATTGACTATCGGGCCATGTTTATGCGATAATAAAAATATCTTCCCCCCATACAAACTTTTTCAAACTCGCTGTATTAACACTTTATTATATGTACTACTGGTGTTTTGTAAATGTGGGGCCCATAACTGAAAGACACTCATTTTTGGGGGCAAAAGAGGTCTTTTTGCCATTTTTCTCATAAATTGACTATCGGGCCATGTTTATGCGATAATAAAAATATCTTCCCCCATACAAACTTTTTCAAACTCGCTGTATAAACACTTTGTTATATGTACTACTGCTGGTCCTGTGTAAATGTGGGGCCCATAACTGCAAGACACTCATTTTTAGGGAAAACTAGGTCTTTTTGCCATTTTTATCAAAATTGACTACCGGGCCATGTTTGGGCGATTATAAAAATATCTTCCCCCCATACAAACTTTTTCAAACTTGCCGTATTAACACTTTATTATATGTACTACTACTGGTGTTTTGTAAATGTGGGGCCCATAACTGCAAGACACTCATTTTTTGGGGCAAAAGAGGTCTTTTTGCCATTTTTCTCATAAATTGACTATCGGGCCATGTTTATGCGATAATAAAAATATCTTCCCCCCATACAAACTTTTTCAAACTCGCTGTATAAACACTTTGTTATATGTACTACTGCTGGTCCTGTGTAAATGTGGGGCCCATAACTGCAAGACACTCATTTTTTGGGGCAAAAGAGGTATTTTTGCCATTTTTCTCATAAATTGACTATCGGGCCATGTTTATGCGATAATAAAAATATCTTCCCCCCATACAAACTTTTTCAAACTCGCTGTATTAACACTTTATTATATGTACTACTACTGGTGTTTTGTAAATGTGGGGCCCATAACTGCAAGACACTCATTTTTGGGGGCAAAAGAGGTCTTTTTGCCATTTTTCTCATAAATTGACTATCGGGCCATGTTTATGCGATAATAAAAATATCTTCCCCCCATACAAACTTTTTCAAACTCGCTGTATAAACACTTTGTTATATGTACTACTGCTGGTCCTGTGTAAATGTGGGGCCCATAACTGCAAGACACTCATTCTTTAGGGAAAACTAGGTCTTTTTGCCATTTTTTATCAAAAATTGACTACCGGGCCATGTTTGGGCGATAATAAAAATATCTTCCCCCCATACAAACTTTTTCAAACTCGCTGTATTAACACTTTATTATATGTACTACTACTGGTGTTTTGTAAATGTGGGGCCCATAACTGCAAGACACTCATTTTTTGGGGCAAAAGAGGTATTTTTGCCATTTTTTTCATAAATTGACTATCGGGCCATGTTTATGCGATAATAAAAATATCTTCCCCCCATACAAACTTTTTCAAACTCGCTGTATTAACACTTTATTATATGTACTACTACTGGTGTTTTGTAAATGTGGGGCCCATAACTGAAAGACACTCATTTTTGGGGGCAAAAGAGGTCTTTTTGCCATTTTTCTCATAAATTGACTATCGGGCCATGTTTATGCGATAATAAAAATATCTTCCCCCCATACAAACTTTTTCAAACTCGCTGTATAAACACTTTATTATATGTACTACTGCTGGTCCTGTGTAAATGTGGGGCCCATAACTGCAAGACACTCATTCTTTAGGGAAAACTAGGTCTTTTTGCCATTTTTTATCAAAAATTGACTACCGGGCCATGTTTGGGCGATTATAAAAATATCTTCCCCCCATACAACTTTTTCAAACTTGCCGTATTAACACTTTATTATATGTACTACTACTGGTGTTTTGTAAATGTGGGGCCCATAACTGCAAGACACTCATTTTTTGGGGGCAAAAAGAGGTCTTTTTGCCATTTTTCTCATAAATGACTATCGGGCCATGTTTATGCGATAATAAAAATATCTTCCCCCATACAAACTTTTTCAAACTCGCTGTATTAACACTTTATTATATGTACTACTACTGGTGTTTTGTAAATGTGGGGCCAATAACTGCAAGACACTCATTTTTTGGGGCAAAAGAGGTCTTTTTGCCATTTTTCTCATAAATTGACTATCGGGCCATGTTTATGCGATAATAAAAATATCTTCCCCCCATACAAACTTTTTCAAACTCGCTGTATTAACACTTTATAATATGTACTACTACTGGTCTTGTGTAAATGAGGGGCCTGTAATTGCAAAGCCACTCATTTTTTGGGGAAAACTAGTTCTTTTTGCCATTTTTTTTCAAAAATCGACTATCGGGCCATGTTTAAGCGATAATAAAAATATCTTCCCTCCATACAAACTTTTTCAAACTCGCAGTATTAACACTTTATTATATGTACTACTACTGGTCTTTTGTAAATGTGGGGACCGTAATTACAAGACACTCTTTTTTTGGAGCAAAGAGGTCTTTTTGCCATTTTTATCATAAATTGACAAGCGGGTCATGTTTAAACGAGAATAGAAATATCTTCCCCCCATACAAACTTTTTGAAACTCGTTTGTATAAACACTTTATTAAATGTACTACTGTTGTTCATGTATAAATGGGAGAGTTATGATTGTAAGACACATCTTTTGGAGGCAAAGTAGGTCTTTTTACCAATTTTATTAAAAATTGACGACTGGGACAGGTTTAAACGATAGTAAGTATCTCTTCCACCTATCCAATATTGTCAAACTCGTTGTGTTTACTTCCCATTATAAACACTTATACTTGTCTTTCTTATACTAAGCGGATATATTTGTGAGACACTTATATTTTCGGGAGAACTGTGATTTTTCGGCAATTATTCACAGTTTTTATGATTAATCTGGCAACGCATAAAGCATCAGCTGATTTTGCATCGATGCCTTTTTCGTAAACTCTCGCATCGCTCAATTGAAATCTGAGTTCTGGCAACAGTGATCGGGGCGTTCAAAAACGAGAGAGATGTCTGCTGAGAGATGTCTGCTAGGGTAACTTTGGTCTGACTCGTTTCTGCAACTTTTGTGCGGCCATGAATGGTACTTTACTTTTTGTTGTTTATATTTTGCATGTATAGGCTACCCTCTACTTTTTTATTTTCCCCATGCAATATAGCTCGGGATAAATGAGTTCTCTTCTATGAATCATATTCTAATATTTTTGTAGTCCATCTATTCGACAAAAATCGTATCAAATTTGAATGATTGAGAGAATTTATTGCTTTTGACCCTTTTTTAAACCAGAAAACAAACACACGTTTTACGTTAATATTCAGATATTCCTGTATTCTTAATTACCCTAAGGTTACCCGTACGGTACCGTGGCAATTACAGAGTTCTGGAGTTACTAAATTATTGGTACCTAGTAGACTAATCAAACAATGATGACATTGACATGGACTAACCTATCTAATTAAATCAATGTTTGCTAATTACAAAACGGTTGAAAAGTGCTTCGAATTTCATATTTTGAAATTTCACTGGTTTGAACAGTTTATAATGCAGTAATGATTGAATAGTGTATGTTATACCACTAACGCTATAATTATGTATATTTCGAAAAACTGTAAAATGATATACTGAATTTTATAGATTTTTAAGTTGATCTGAAGTTTGGAAGTTTATCCGAATAGACTGCAAGAAGACAGAAGATGGTGTTGACTGTACTTCTGTAGATGAAGATGGAAATTTTGTCTCTAACCTAAACAACATACAGACATATGCCAGATATTTCGGATATTGCAGCTCTACTATCAGACAAGTATTTTAATAAACAATTTCATTCAACTTTTCACTGTGTTTTTAAGTCTATTTCTGTTAACACATGCCACATACATTTTATGGTCAGTTACCATACACGTTTTCCATGCCTGACCAAGTGTAATCATTGTATTATCCAAATTAGAGAGTCATGATGGTGGTGCATGTTATTCTTAGCAATACTTTAGTCCGATAGTGGTAATTCTGAGTTATGCAATTACTATATGCATGACTTCTTACATCAGTAGTCCGGTAGTTGGATCATCATCGTTCAAAAATAGATCGCATGATTGATAAGTCTGCATAGTCACTGCACATTACATTTAGTTCACAAGGCTAAGAATTGAAAATATTGATCCATTGGAATTTGACGCACTCTTGAGACTAGACTTTATATATAGACCTATAATTTATTTGAAAAAATCAATTCAAAGCATTGTAAATGCTGTGCCTCTGTGTGGTGTAATTGTGAGTTGGAATATATATTACAATGGCACAATCAAATCGAACATTTCAGTATTCGCCTTTGCTAAAAGTCGACATGGATCTGGGTGGAAGAAATAATGCAGCTCCATTTGAAGTTGTCTTCAGGGGAGCAGATGACACAGCTCCCGAGACTGTACAGATGAATGAGTTTGTTGTAGCAAATTCCTCTACAGATACATCAGGTTTGTAGTATTGTTAATATGAACTATATAGCTATATTTTTGTCATCAACATCAACTTGTGCTTTAGTTTGATAAGCTTTTTTTGTGTTTAAGTTTTGGAAGGTATAAATCTTTTGAAATATTTGAGGGAAGTTTTTTTTAATTTTTTGTATATTCTTAAATACAGAAATTTTCAAAAATAAATAATTTTGAATAGGCCTACAGAACATTTTAAATCATTTAGGCTATAGTGAATTATTTATTTGAGAAATAATTTTGAATGCTTATATTTGTACCCTCATGCATCCTAAGTGCTAAAATTAAATCTCTAATCACTATTTGCCTATTGATAAGGAAAACCATCATTTTTATTATTTGTTATGATTTTCTTTTGTAAAAAAATACAATTTATGAGCAGAATTTAAAAACCTGGTAGATCAAGAATGTTTTTGTAGTTGATAAAATTTATTTCTAGTCAAAAAGAAATATTGTTTTAATATATTATTGTTGCAGCATATAATATGCATTTCAAAGTGGTGAAATGAGTCTTATCAATATCAGGATGTGATTCATTATTAGATGATTCACTTTCATTTCTTTATTATTAAGTCGTTAATTAAATTTTAACTGTATGAATGTGGGTACTATATTTTTTTATGTTCGTGATTAGACGAATATACCGGTAACGGCGGTAAGGTTAAATCAGAAAGGCAACTGGTGCTATGCTACTTACAAAATTTACCTTTATTTGGGTTATCTGGCTTTGTTTTAAATTTATACTTTGTAAAATTTAATATTTCATCTTAGATTGACTGGGTAATTTAATAAAACACCAATAGTGGTTTTGTCAATAAGTTATTTTAAAAAAAATTTTATATGCTGAAACTAAAATTTTTTGTATTAAGTATGTTTGATCATGTAGGTAATTATCATTTCAATAAAAAATATAAAAAAAAAGGATATTTGAAATTCTTTTCTGATAAATTTGTCCCAACTATTTTGTAAGCCCAAATAAAAGGGTCAGTGTTTGTGCACAGACAACAGTGATGCAAGAGTTATTAGTGGTTTTCATGCTTGCATAGTGATGGCCATGTACCCACTGTATTTGTATTGCAGCTGTGTTTTTTAGAATATGATATAACTGGTTTGATAAGGAAGTGTCTGGTTGTGGCTCAAGGGATATTCTGAGATGTGTGTATATTGTGGTATCAAAACAATGTATACAGCATCCAAAATAATGCCTCCTAATTTTAGGCTATTTTCAGGCCTTTTCCTTACTAATTTTCCTATTTGTCTACAATTAAAAAAAGGCCCTGCATTCAGTGTATTGTGAATACCATAATTGGCAGAATATGCACAGATATTTTAAATGCAAACTCTCATTTCCTTATACCAATTTGTTCTGTCAGCTATTTGTCATTGTCAAGGTTGGTTTTTCTATTCACACATGAATAAAAATATATAGACAATTTATTGCAGTCAGTGCAAGGTCTCAGTATTATTTAAAATTGGAATAACAGACAGGAAATAATTTGAATAGCGGCAACTTTAGATATAGCATATCATGACCTAATAGACTCATCGCACATAGAAATGCCCAACAAATCTTGCATATTTAATATTAATAGTACAACTCTTTCAGGTGTTCGCAAGCAAATTATTTCCCAATATTTATTGAAATAACACCTTCTGTTTTTAATCTTTCAAGCCATGCTCTTTCTACATCTGCATCATGAACTCCAGTTTTTCTGTTGATAGTAAATAAAATCTTAGTGATAAGGCTGTAAAGTCTGTGAAAACTTTGACTTGAGATCCAATCTCTGAGAAAACTAAATTTCAGCTACAAGAATTTGGCCAACTCTAATTGCCTGTTAAGTCTACCGTATTCTACGGACCATAAGGCACACCAGGTTATGAGGCACACCATTATTTAATTGCTTAGATTAGGGTTTTGTCCATATATAAGGAGCATTGGGCTATAAGACGCAGCGGTATTGGAGTTTTGGTTACCATACAAGGCTCATTATAAAACAAAAAAGCTCATCACTTGTCGATCTCAAGGTTGAATCTGCTTCAAATTTTACATGTGCATTCATCATATCTCGAGCCAGAAGCCTATTGATTTTGGATGAATTATGTCATATAATTAGCGATTTATTAATTAATTAGTGATGGCACACCCGGTGTCGCTATTGAGTCAGAGGAAAGGAATCGAAACCGCGAGATTGATAAGTCGGCGGTCTCTAATCGCTATCTAGTTTTATGATTATTGTCTTTTATTAAAGAAAAAGTAAAAGGGTGCTTTGTTTATAAAACAAGAGGATCGGTTTCGAGTGTAGGCAATAAAGCATAAAGCACTTACTGATCCATACATATTAGCGCAGCCAATTTCGGAGGAAAAAACGGATTTGGAATTTGCCTTATGGTCCGTAAAATCAAATATTTAAAAAATTTGTTCTTTTCGAGTTTCTAAAAAGAGTGATACATATGAGTTTGTATAGGAAAGACAATACATTATCATACCTGAAAGCTTGTGCGCTACCAGGTGGCAAATTTTCCCAGTAATGATGCCAACCTCTATTATCGTCCATACCAAATCCATATACATCGACAGAATCACATATTTGTAATGAGAGTGCTACTCCTATTGCTCCTGTTGATGGATATCTTCCTTGACGATTTATCCAATTAACATGCACGTATCTGGAAAAATTACAATAATCTTGGTTTTCTTATTAGCTAGTACATATCCTAATTTGTGAATTTACATGAATGACTTTCAACTTCTGACACTGTAAAAATAGAAAGGAAAAAAAACGAATCGAAACATTAACATTGCATTTGCATGTCATTATTTCCTAGTTTGAGACATTTTCTGTAAAATAAAGCCCTCTGCAAAACCACATATTCAAAGTCTTAATAATTTTATTACCTAAAAAACAGGAATATTTTAGGAATGAAAAGACTGTAAAAAAAATATTTTTTATGTTCTTATCATCTTCATCATTCAAGGCAGTGTTTTCCAACCTATGGGTTGCGACCCAAATACTGGGTCTCCTGTAAATTTTCTTGCGTCGCTATTTTTTCAACAAAAATTTAAAAGTAACTGATTTTATTTTTTTGTAAATTTTGTTATTTTATGTTTGGTATGAGGTCTTGCTCATTTGTATCACAGCGTAAAAATTGGCTGCATCTGTTTTGGTTAAGTAACACCACGCCCACACCATGATTGTTTTATATTAATAATTGTTAATATGTGCTATAAAAGTACTACATTGTGTTCAGAATTTGAGCATATATTGTTGTGTCACAATATTCTACAAAAGTTATTCTTTGAAAATTTGGATTGTTCGAAAAAAGGGTTGAAACCACTAATTTAAAGCACTGGACATATTAATTCCACGACTACTCTGATATTTACCTAATCTGTTTGTAACAGTTGAAAACTCATGTATGTGAATAGATAAACCTAAATAATGCCCCCTTATACTTATTTCTCTAAATTTTTATTTCCATTCAACCTGCCATGAATAAAAACAACCCTTTTGTCTTGCACTCTTCCATACTGCTCGTCAAAACTTCATATCAAGTAATTGCCACATCTATACACAAGGATGAAAGATTCGCCTCAGGGCATACTATTACTCATGGAAAAGATTTACCGGTAGTTAGAATTTAGAATTTCACTGATGCTATTCAATGCAAAGCTAGATGGTTTCCTGCTTTTGCAACTTCAATTTCCAAAACTAATGGGCTATTTATATGCGCATATACATATATTATGTAAAGCTATGTTGTGACGTTGTTTATAAAATATTCATAGGATGCATTGAAACATAGAAAATGCGTTGAGAGGGCTGATGTTCTACATTGTAGATGTATTTATTATTGGATTATGTCCTGTAGAAATGGAACAGTAGGCTGGCTAGGATATATAATAAGCCAGACTGAGTAATGTACAGAATATAGTCTAAATGTCAGTATATATTACAGAAATACTTATTCCTTTTGTACAAAAAAGGAGATTTTTATTAAATTTAAGAATTTATTAGTGTTTTCCTCTAGAAGTAAATATTTTGAAATAATTTAGTTTTTAATTTGAACTCATTCCGAATAGGCTTTTATACAAATTCAGATATTTATTAAATTATATGTCTTTTTAAATAAATTTGACTTTTTACAAAAGAAATATGCTGCAAAGTAAAATTTAAATTGCTTTTGAGACCGAAACATTTAATATACTATAGCTATACTATTGGTATATGGAAATTATTATACAGGTAAAACATAAAATTTAAGTTTAAAAAAAAAAGAAAATATGAAAATACGTAAAATTTTGTTACCTAGATATAAACTGTCCTGTTTAACTTAGAAATTGGCTTTTATTTAGGCTGTGATTGAGCCATTAATGTAAGGGCAACCTAGGCAAGATAAATGGTTCTTGAGGAAAAAAATCGTTTTCAAATCTTCAATTTCAGTCGATTCTCGCGCTTTGAGCAGGAAATAAACGTTAAAATGATCTGCTTGTCTTGTATTATGCACATGTCTGTAATTTCCTGTTAGTGCAATGATGTAATATCTTCGTGCATATGGTTCATGCATTCTCAGTCTTATCATTCAAATTTTTCTAAGGTTCTCAGCTATATCAATATCGAACTAAATTATGATGCGTTTGTATCAGGAAAGGTATGCTGCAGATAGATACATAATTTCAATGCTGATCAAGGTATATTTACCATAACAGCAAGTTAGTGTTAGGTAGACACAGTTTTCTGAACAATGTAATTTGCATTTTAGATCTTGAAATTCTTGTTATCCGAGTTGACTGTGTGTATGTTTATGAGTGTTTTTGATAGGAAATTTTACAATATATAACAAATTGAAAACTGATATGAGGCAATTTAGAAATTTATATTCAAAGTCTGTCGTAATTTTGTGCTTTTTCTAAAATAAAATAAAAATGATGTTCCATTTTGAAGCCAACTCGGCTTCTTAAAAATCTCTTTGATGAATCAAAGCTAAATATTAAAATTGGGTAGACAATGCAGAACAGAAAAGTTTGGATCTGCTCGAAAGTTCATTATTCCAATATATACATATTCAGATATTTTATTTCGACATGCAAGAATCAATGGAAAGCGAAAGAAAAACATCGTTGTGTAAATCAGGGGTGCACAACTCGAACGACCTTCCATAAAACACGTAACAACAAATGCAATGAAACAGATATTAACGAAAAAGTATTTACTGAAAATTTTAATGTCCTGGAGAACTACAGTTTTAAAGGCGTTTTTGATTTACAGAATTTGAAATGTTGGGCTTAATTAATAAAAGAAAAATATCGATGCACATCACTAATCTAAATGTTAACCAAGTCCGTTTACGTGCCACGTTCAAGCTTATGGCATGCCACATTGGGCACAAAATCATGCCCTGTGATGTGCACCCTTGGTATAGAGCCTTCAAAGTGAATGCATAAAATGTTAGTTAAAAAAAAAGCTACTCACCTTATGAATTCTGGATGAATAATATTTATTTTTGGAACATTCACGTAAATACGCGGTGTTACGGGCCTATATGTCTTTTTGATAGTTCCATTTGTTATTGCACTGAGGAGCCATTCGACGTCGAGAGGTTTGAAGGGGATTAAAGTAAAACTGGTATCTGTTAAGTGCAAAATAAATATGGTTATTCATGTTCATAAAAACTTCACTTAATGTTCGCATTGTCTTCCGCAACATTACACGCACAATAGGTTTGGGTTATAGAAATTGAAATGTTATCATTAACAACATTAAGACGATAGGCATTATAGACATTTAAACAATGTCAGAAAAATATTTGTATGTTGTATTCAACTAAGAAAAAAGCGTCTAGCGTCTTCCATGTTAAATTATTGATCCAATTATATGTATAATATAAGTTTCTGAATTCAGGATTTGTGAAAAATTGTGCTGATAGTCATATTACAACACAAAGTGAGTCTAACGCTGGTGGAATTTCTTTACTCTGACTGGTTACAGATTTTTTCGATAAGTTCGAAAGTTAGATATTTATGCATTAATGATCTCATATCCTGTAACGCTGCCTTAGTTATTGAGTAAATGTACGACGAGAAATTCTGCAGATGCAGTGATGGAGATTTCACAGGATGTTAATGGTTAAGAATCATTTTGAAGTTGTATACAGGAAATCCTATTGAAACTTGAATAGGAAATATGCTATGATAACTTTAATAACTGATAAGCTTTTTCGTATCTTGTAAAACACGCTTGGAATGGCACTTCTTATGCTTGCTCCAATCGGGAAATGCTATTATGAGAGTGTACCATAAAAAATGATAGCCTCATGAGTAGTAGTGTTACATATTTCTATGATAGTGTGCTGGTAAGGAATTCTGATATGTATTAAATGACTAAGTTAATGTCAGAATATGGTAAATAGGTTTGTAGTTAACAACATATGCAGAACTGTTCACAATTAGTTACGTCAGAATATGGTAAATGGGTTTGCAGCCAATGAAATATGTAGAAAAGTTGACAATTATTGCAATATTAGACACCAAATGATAATTTTTCTGCAAAATAGTCAGCCTTAAATTATCCTCGTAGCAGGAAATGTAACGGTGTTTCAAGCAGGGTTGGATTTAGCTTTTGCACATAACATATAAGATACGCTATCTGCAGATAGACTTTACACCAAGGATCAATATTGACTGTATTGATATCAACCGAACGATTTTGCACTGTTGTAATGATTGCCAAAGTACACGGTAATCAAACATTGGGTTTGAGATTAGAGCATTGTTACATTCTTTATCTGTGATATGTAATCACTCATTTGAAAAAATCTACTCATTGGCAAGCTGTGAGCTACCATGTGGCAATCAGATACCAGCTTTTATCTAGTCCAGTGATTCTCTAACTTTTTAAGCCGCGCCCCCTTTTTAGAATTTGTCATGTTTCGCACCCACCTCAAAAAAAAACTAGCTAAAAGGTAAGGCAAAAGTATGTTTTATTCAAAAAACGCTCTGAAAATACGTAGATGGAACGTAAATAATGAAATAAATGAAAAGTTTTGAAACGTAATTATCTAGAATAAGGGGGGCAGATCAAATCTAACATATATTTCAATTTTAATCATGCCCTTTCAAAAATTGTCTACGGCCCTCTTGTGGGGCACGCCCCATTGTTTGAGGACCACTGATCTGGTCGTTTTCCTGACAGTGTTGCCTTGAATTGTTTCAAGCCATACGTCTATCATGATATTGATACATGAAAGCACACTTCTTGATAATACAAGACAGTTTATTTCAATGCGACTAAAAAGTAACTGTTGAATGCATTTAGTAATTATTATATTTTTTACAATATCAATTGTAATTCGAACCTTTTTTGATTGCCTTCATACTTTCTGGATACATAAGTCGATGTGTTGTTTTTGATCCAACATCTTTTTCAAAACTGGTAGTAGGTCCTTGGTTGAATCGAATCACTATGTCATGTTTATCTATGGCCTGTCGAAAAGAAAGTACCTGCTGTTAGTCAAGTTATAAAATCAAAAATTCAAATTATTGTTTAATTTAGCATGGTTTGACTATATCGCAAGACGTAATTTTTTTTTTCAATATTTTTTTTTCACTGGATTTCTGAAAACGCTGAATTTTTGACGCTTTAGAAGTATGTGTACCAATATGGAGGTAACTAATTTTGTTCGCCTGTTTTACATCAAGTTGTGTAAAGGGACTAAAACCTATGGGCAGGGGGATATTCACTTGGCTATCACAGCCAGTCCACGAACTCATAATAGAAGTAAAATAAGGAAAACCCACCTTTTAAACTTTTTGAATAGTCATTATCTTAATAATATAGAAAATTCATGATGGTGACAATTTTAGTATGGTGATTAGTACCTCTCCATATCCAGAATTTTTAAGATTTCCAGAGTTTCCGACAACTGCACAACTAACACATTCATTATTCTGAGTTCCGTTTCGTTTCCGATGTTCTTCAATTCCTTCTTTGAATAAACCTTTTAAAACTGGCTCCAAATTAGTTCGAGTGGATCCTTGTATGGAGAGCCACCATTGAAACACATCTAAAAAGTTTGTTTATCAGTTTGTTACTTGTTATTATTCGTTGGTCCGTGTGCTCAAATCCAATTGGGGGTGAATAACTGTATAGGGTGGTTGGAAACATCACTGTAAATTCTGGAGGGTGATAGGCTATGGCTCCCTACATCAGGGTTTCCCAAACTTTTAGAGCCGCGGCCCCCTTATTTTTGAATCTTGATTTTGGCAGACCCCCATTCTATGTCGTATCAATTTCTGTGCCTAACTAACGAGAAACGATAATGTTCCACTTACAACACAAACGACATTAATGTGATGGATGAGGTTGCTTTTCATTGCACAATTTATTGATTTTTGGAGCAATTTATGACAAGCAAACTCGTAGATCCGACTCTACGACAAGTCTCCTTGAATGGAATCAAGACAAGAGGAGACTAAGACTTTTGCTTTACCATTAACCATCTTACTAATTTTTCTGTCCCTGGGGTCAAAATGGGAATCATATCCAATTTTTAATAAAAATTGCAGTCTGTGTCTGAATATTTTGATCTTTCTAATATGATAATATCGAGGCAAGAGCAGTTGTTTTGTCATAACATTGACAGAATATCACTTTGCTATTCTTGATTTAAAAAGGCAAGATGTACAACATCATCTCAATGAATAATGCAGACATGCAGTGTCTGAATTTTTCGTGATTTCAAATGCGCATCAATGAAAACGTGGAGAAAGTGAAATAATGGTTAGCATGTCATAAAGCAGAATGCCTTATCACAAATATTTTTAAATGTTTCCAAACTTTGTAGCATCTTATGTAGTTGCTTGTACGGACGCTTGTTAGCAGTAAAGTTATAAACCACAGTCTATTACCAGTAGGTCCTTCATTAGCGCTGAAACAAATGTGTTTGGAATATGAGATTATCTTGTTTTACACTTATGTATTGAAAGAACTATAAAGATATTTAAACATTTCCCAAGCCATGTCACAATCTAAAAATGATTTAGTTGTGTGAATTGATACCACCCGCTGAAGATTTATTGAGGTAAAATATTAGATATTTAAATTTACTAACCTTGGTTTATACCCAAGTTGTCAACTCCCCAAAAAGGCATTATTTTTTCATTGTAACTCTCTTTAAACCAATCTGATTTTGAATTTTTTATAGTGTTGCGACACCTTTGATCTGTAATTGAAAAAAATATCATATAATTGATATTAATGACAGGTATGCAAACATTAATTAGTGTCATCCCAATGGGCTCTTATATTAAATTTATTTATATTTAGGACAAGTCCATGCATCAGAAACAAATAACTGACAAACTAATCCAATACCCGACATGGACTGGTAACCGGATGAGAGGCCCAGGTTCGCCGTATGATTGAGCTGTTTCATAGGCTTTCCTCTCCCATGGATAAATATATAAATCGAATCCTATTCCATAGGGTCATGAGAACAGGAATGTTCCATTTATTGAATTTCATTAAAAATGAAATGTTACCTACGTCTATATTCAAGCTAGCTCGAACATTTTTTGGGAGACTCCTCATTAACAAATAATGCTCTGTTTACACAAATAGGGTAAACTTGCAACCACGTCCTTTGCCAGAAGCAGAATGCGGCCAAGCATATGGCATTCAATCATGATACACAAATGTAGCATCTGCCCATCTATGGCATATACATAATATATCGTTAGTGACTATACCTAGGTAATACTAACTATACTATATAATTAATCATTCCTACCTCTTTCTGTAACTCTTTCACTTTTTATTTTATTATTGATAGTTGGATCGATATTTGGAAAAACATGAACAGTCGAACGATACATGTTCAGGTATATGATGAACATGCAAACTATTACAATAATTGCAGAGTATAAGACTAAGCCAGCTGGTCTTATTTTGAGCATTGTTGCTATTTTACATTAGATAGTTTCACAGTGAAAAAAGTATCTGTAGGAAAGAAAACAGTAATAGATTGAAAGATATATTTTCTGTAAATGTCATAAAGTTGAGAAATTCTATTTTATTAGAAATCTCCAAGATTTTTGTGAAATATGCTTAACATCAGTATTGAGTAGCGCAGGAATGTCCAAAACGAATCAAATAATCGAATATTCAAATAAATTTGAAACTCATTCTATTTGCTTTAAAAAATTAGAGATTTGAGCCTTCAGACAATCAGATCAAAATGTACAATATCTCAACTGATAACAAAAAACAGAGGAAACAATGATCATTATATTTAAGGTGTTTCAGACATGATCAGCATGAAGATATAGTGATTCATGTAATTTTCCACATGAATGTGCCCCCAATTTAGAACGTATGAAATATTTTTCTAATTAAAGATGTCAATACTTCTACACAGGCGCAACAATATAATTCATTTCAACTTTAACTTAACATGCTGAAGTAGCCAGTGCAATTCTCTTCCACATGAGCATACAAATTAAATATGATCCCTACATAAGGATGTCGTTATGTTTTATGTCAGCTATACAGCGCAAAAGTAATAAAAAGGACTACACTGTTAATAATTTATTTTTCGATCTCACTCACTTTCAACTATAAATAAATAAAAATTTAATTAATTTTCTACCAATTTTTAATAATCTACGTCCGAGTTTTATTATACTTTGCCAATTTGAGAATTTTGACAATTCGAAGTTCATTTTGGTAAAACAAAAGAAATGGTAGATGGCGAATAAAAGAATATTTGCGGGTGCTTGCAACCCCACTTGTATGAACTTTTAATAGTTACTCCATAGATTCGATAGATTTTTATGTTTTAGCCGTCCCGAAAAAATTGAAATTACAGTTTTATGAGACTGTATATAGGAAATTTAATTTTCTGTTGTTTAAAAGTTATTTCTAAACTTTTAAATAAACATATCAAACAAAAATAAAAAATATTGTTATTATTATTTTTCATTTCATACTAGGACTAAGTAAGTACTTTATATAATGCGCCATGACGTCTTAACGATTATCATCTTATCAAAAAAATTGTCCACAAAGTTATTTCTTTCTGATATTCCTGCTCTACAGACTGCTCCGCAAGAAACGAGGACAAGCCGGTAATGCGTTATATGCAAAATGCTTGGTGAAATTTATCATGGTGGTAAATAGTAGATCAAATTGTAATTCAATTTGTGCATGTTTTAGCTCATATTTATTAGTATGAGGAAGTGGCTTTAATTATGTATTGCAACCAAAAAATTTAGAATCAGAAATATGCTTTTTCACATTTTATTGTAAGTCGACGCAAAGGTGGGTTGCGTTGAACACAATTAAATGAATGTACCAAATTATTTTAAATGCTCATATCGGCCTTGAACTGAATAATTTAGGCAAGAGAGAAATTGTTTTCTGCTGAAAAAAGTTGCCCGCCCATTTCGACAGGCGTTGTAATTGCGGCGACTGTTCCAGAAGGGAATTTCTGATTTGAAACCCTTCTTCAAAAGTCCAGGCAGTGCCCCTGCCTGCATATTATACTTTCCCAAGTATATTCTATGATATTCTAATCTCTAAATTTTTTTGTTCCCTGAAAGCGTCAGTAATTTGTAAAATTAGTTGCATGCAATATCCATTCGCTTCTATGCTACATAGATTGGGCAATGGAGGTAATTTGTATTGTAAGATGCAATTGTTGCTCCAAACTAATTGTAGAATATTTAACATATTCGTTTTTGATGTGTACGAACACAATAAAACATTAACAAATGAGATGCTCATAGTCTTATATTTGGGTGCTCCTGAAGTGTATGTGTGATATATTCACTTGGCTAACACAGACAGTCCCGGAAGTCATAATAGAATCAAAATAAAGAAAATCGGAATAAAATTATGGCCTAACCTTAACATTTTACATATACTACGGGAGTACCTATATTTTCTAGACATTAGTAGCAGATATCCACAATTCAATCAAAACAAAATCTAACGACTTAATACTACAAAGCCACATATCTATACATAATAATTACAATCCCTATATACCTTTATGTATTGTTCAGTGTACTACTCAAAGCTGAAAAACTTGAGCTAAAAAAATCTTGCTACTTCGCTTTGATTTAACCATGTATGCTATTCAACACTTGGCATCTATATTAAATCTTTACATACGAACATACTCTATGCTATGACTTCGTTTAATTATTAACTATAACCCTTTTTTTGCAAGGACAGTATCACTTAATACCATCTGTATTTTGTTTACTTACACTTTCTAATTCACATGCTTGGGATGTTCATACACAACCAGTTGGATAATCACTCGTGTTTATCTCTTTATTGGAAGTGTTAATTTATTTATGTCAGTATAGTGTAAATATAGATGATAAGTAAATATGAAATTTAATTTGAACTATAGCCATGCCCATGTTAAATATGTAGGCTATTTTAATTCCAAGTATCACCACACAAAAATGTTTGGCCAATTACTTGTGTTTATTCTCTTTATTGAGAATATTAATTTATTATGTCAGTAAATATAAATAAATGATAAGTAAATATCAAATCCAATTTAAACTATAGCCATGCCCATGTCAAATATGTAGGCTATTTTAATTCTAAGTATCACCACAAAAAAATGGTTGCGTCGTTTTAACTCAAAAGAACGAATGGGAACATTCAGTATGTCCGAGGAATTCAAAATGAAGGCTGTTTGTAAAAAATCAGTTTTAAGAATTTCTGTTCTTCTGCTCTGTGAAATTTTACAGTTGATTCCAATGTAAAAAAACTGGCACAATTAATTTTGCGAATATAATGTCAACCATCCATTTTAACTATCAGAAATTGTGGTATTAATGGCCATCACACTGGTCGCTGAAAGAATCTGAAAATTCAAATATATTCGATTGTTAACAGTACTCAAATTGTTATATGGAATATTTCCATAGAAAACGACATTTTTTATACTCGTATTAGCAGTAAAGGAATGGCGGATCCCTTATGAATCTTCGATTTTATTTACGAAGTATACCTTCACATTTATTTAAGTGTACATTTTTTAGATATTAATTCTGTATGTTATTCATGATATGTTTTCTATGTATTGAAATTTATGTTACCTTTACAGATTTAGACAACGGAACATCGACGAGCGATAGATTGTACACAATGCAGCAAGGTGGATCATCTGGTAATAATTATCTTGAAGAAGACTCGCCATTACGAGAAACACGATCAGATCCCTTTAACAAACCAAGGTATTTTGTTTTGCTCAATTTTAGCTTATTAAGATGTCTAATGAATCCTTTTCCTAACTTTTTTATATTTTAATTATTGTTGGGAAGTCAGATTTGAAGGTATTTTACCGATTACCAACTTGAGTACCTATTCCTTGTGTTCGACATGAACCACCTTGAGAACTATTTTCTGATTTTATTCTTTACAAATATCTATCTACTTATTGTGTTGCGTACAATGAAATTTAATCTCCTGATTGTATATCTAACTTTCAGATGGTGGAGAGAAGCATCAAGTTTATCTATAATTATTGCCAGCATGATTATTTTTTGCGTTGGAATTACTATCGCGATGATAATTCAAATATTAGTAGGAGCTCCACAGGTATGATTTCATCTCTGTCTTTGTATTTTTCTGCAAAAAGTTATTCAAGTGAAAATGATTATGTTAGTTGATAGCAATGAAAATTTTTCTAACAGAGTTGTGTCTATTTATAAGAAATTACTACCTCAAAATTCAACGTCAATGTTCATTTCCAATTTTCTTATTTTTATTTCAAGTGTACAATTCACTTCATATACTTTTATTTTAAATTGGCATAGAATAATGAAGAGGTCGATGCCCATCTGTGACATGCCACGTGAAAAACTTTTTTGTGATTTAGGAATCCGTTAATTTCTATTTCAGTGGCTCCCAAGCTTTCTCTGTATATTTCTTCATTTGCCTAGTTTAAATCGCTTTCGCTACTCCTTTACTATGCCTAACAACACTGTTTCAGTTTGTTATTCAATCGTTCATTAAAGATTATTTGCTAGTAGTTATGACAATTTGGTCTCTGGCTTTTTTACAGTCTGAAAAGCTTATGATATGTGTATACTGTATAAATAGATAATACAGTAATATTAAATATGATTGGTAAAAACGCACAATCACAAATTTAAGTTTCCTCCCGAAAACGTCTAACTCCCTTACATTTGGGGGATTTTACCTTTGTTAGGAAACGCTGATTTATTTTATCAACTTTGCATAATTCTCGATAATTTTTTCAGGTTATTCCACACGCTGGAGTTTTGTCTGATGATGATCAATGTTCAAAAATTGGAATAAGAGTTTTATCTGAATCAGCAGATTCTACTTATCCAACAGCATCGTCAATTGATGCCACTATTCTTACTTCACTTTGTCTTATCGTTAAAAATATTCACAAAGGTGGATTAGGAGGGTGAGTATGTGAGGACTGGGTAAATTTATAACTCACTCCAAATTAGAGCCATTTCAAAAATAACTCAGCAGGGACAAAAATTTCGGCTACAGCTCTTAATTCTTGTTTGAGGAAAATTTGAACTCTTGTTTCGAACTCCTGAAGAAAATCAATTTTATGTTGAGATGTTAAATTTGAGTTTCTGTCAGAAATTTTGACTCCATCGGAAGTCTGAAGTTCTGATTCGAAATGAGTGGAAATTTTAAAAGTTAAATAAAATGGTTCTCATACGCCCTGTAAAAGTCATATGTATATCAAAAGCTCATATATCTGATTCCATAGGACGTCGAACAAAAAAAATTAGAATAATAGTCTCCCATCGGCTTCAGCCATCTTAGATATTGATTAGTCCATTAGGTACAAAAAAGAACAACTGTTTGAAAAAAACAAACAATTCATATGGTCTCTTTAAGTCTAATAATATCTTTCTCTATTTCGAACAGGGGTGGTTTTATGTTGATCGAAAAACAGCATGATGCAAAACATGATATTGTCCAAATAGATTTTCGTGAGATAAGTCCGATGAAGACAGAAACACCAAACGTAACAAGAGAGGAAGTGAAAGCTGAACAATCCGTTGCTGTACCAGGATATATACATGGGATGAAGGCGGCTCATGAAAAATTTGGAAAGTAGGTTTTCCGTGGAATATTGTTGTGTTATTGAACTGCGGGTCCTTTCACCTTGTTTACTTTCGCATGTGGTCGTCATCACAGAGATGCTTCAACTAGATAGCATTAAAGTGATGAATAAAAATAACGTAGTCTCTTTCCAGGAAATAGGAAATATATTTCATAGGAGGTTCATGTATCCGCTGGTCAGTTACGACTTCCTCCACCATCAAGTTCGTGCATCTGAAACAAATAACTGGCTAACTAATCTCATACCCGAAATGGACTGGTATCCGAATGAAAGGCTGTGGTATGCCATAAAATTAAGCCGTTTCATTGTCTTTCCTCTCCCTCAGGATAAATATGTTAATCCTATCCTATATTTGGGAGTTTTCATCAGATGATTGTCCTGCTTTTTCAAACAAAACAGAATATAACTAAATCAAACAGAGAAATAAATAATAGTTAGACTATGATTCAATGAAAGCTGCCCGAATATACTTGCTTTTTTGCATATATGTTTACCTTCTTAAAATCTTGTAAGGTTATAAAACTGATATTTTTTTATTCCTGATACAGTAGATTTTATTAAGGTATCTAAGTGTAATAAATTCAAAAATTACTATTCCATTTTTTAGAGCACCTTGGGAAAATATTTTTCAACAAGCATCAAAACTAGCTGCCGGTGGTGTTTTAATATCTGAAGAAGTTTCAGAAGCTATTTCTAAATTGGATATCACTTCTATTCCTGAAGACTTGAAAAATCTGGTGACGAACGGAACTGGCTCAAAGTTACTAAAAACTAACGACACATTGAAACAACCAGAGCTTGCTAAGACATTTCAGGTATTAGGATAGGAATATAGGATTATTTTTCATGTATTTAGGGTTAAGAAAGATCTGTTGGTTCAAGCATTTTGCGAACCATGGCCTCTTGACCAGTCCATGTCAGGTATGGGTATAGTTAACCAGTTATTTGTCTCAGATGCATTGACTTGATGATGGAGGGATCCATAACATAACCACCTTGGTTTTATTTAATTCAATTTTCTCAATGTTGAGAGTTTTCAAAAGAAATTTTTCCATGTATAAAAATTTGAATTCCTTATCAAAATCAGCGCTATCTCACAATCCTTGCGATCCAAAAAGTCACAAAAAACTTTCAAAAACATGAAAAATCAAGAAAAACCTGGCAAAAACAGTGAAAAACCTTGAAAAATCACCAAAAAACCTTGCAAATTTTTTTATAAATTTCTCATTTAATATGCCTTATGTCTCATTTTTTCTAGATTATCGGAGAAAATCCAGACTCATTTTATGCTGGAAGAATAGCTGATTCTCTTGTTACAGCGTTAAATAAGGGAGGATCTAAGATGCAGAAACAGGATTTGAAAAATTACAAAGCTATCACAAATACTGATGTTCTTCGAGTTAAATATGGAGGTTTGGTTATTTGTTGCAGTTATGCTCTTTCTAAATTAGGCAATCAAACAAGTTTCTGGAACACTTCTGATTTTGAATTCCCCTGTGCGGGGTTCGTTCGCAGGTTTGAGATCCTGGGCTCCTCCATGTCATAGGTCGGTTACGACTTCCTCCGCTATCAAGTTCATGCATCTGATACCAATAACTGATTAATAACTATACCCAACATGAACTAGTACCCGGATGAGAGGACAATATTCCTCATATGATTAAGTCGTCCTATCGACTTTCCTTTACTCAGAATGAATATCAAAATCTTATTCAATCCATTATTTGTGTGGAAATGTTAAAAAAAAAGTTAAAATTACTAAGATAATAAAGTTGACGCATTGAGATTCAAATATATTTAATAGTTTGAATTAAATATACAAAAGTATTACCATGTTGATATTGACAATTTTATGACTCATCCTAGTGCTTTGCATAATCCTTTCAATCTATTTACATGCTTCTAATCCAACCCAGGAAAAGGCTTAAAAATATAAATGTTTTATGCAGTAAGAACATTCCTTTCAATATTAATAATTTTGCAGATATGTCGGTTTCAGCAAGCAGTCCTCCATCATCCGGTCCTGTCATTCTTTCTGCATTGAATTATCTATCTCATTATCCTATTAATAAAAACTTTTCCAGTGACTATTTATTGGTGAGTTATATTGTTCTTTATTCTTTACACAATGTTTGCAAATTACTTGGTCAAACAACATATTGTATATAGACCAACTGTTCCCCTCAAATATAAATTATAAAAAAAATTGTCATTAAGTTTTATTTGCTCTAGCGCCAGACATGTACTATTTATGATGCTAGTTCTGATGTTATACATTTTGGATTTCCCTAAAATGTTGATTCCCGTTTGCGTCACACTTGTATTGATAAGTCCCAATTGTATGAATCTCACTTCATATGAATATTCTAACCCTGACATGGCCAAACTACGGTCGCGGGCCAAATCTGACTCCTCATTGGGTAATTCAATCTGGCCCATCTTATGCTACCACAACCAAACTAAAACCAAATTTTTATGTTTTAGCTGAAAAACGCCTCAAGGGATTTGTTGACGTTGCGATTAAATTTAGTTTGGCAAGAGGTCTATTGTTTTCTAATTTTGCTTCTGTAACACTGTAAATATTGTACGTAAAATATTACATCACCCCTGCATGGCCTGTTAGTCTATGCCCCTGGTCCAAAAACCTTGCGTACCCCTGCTCTAACCTTTTTCCAGATTATCATATATTTTCAAACCCACAACATATCCATATAATGCTTTAACTTTACCCATTTGCCCCACAGAATCGATCCTAACTCAGAACATTGGGACAAATGCGCTAAAATGAGATGAGATGTGGAAGACAACATTTTTGAGACACTATTCATTTTTCATAAATGAATTAGATTTATAAATTTTGGTCTCTAAAGATGGCATTGTACAAGCTGTCATGGTGACTACAAAAATTAAAGGGATTGTCATTTCACTTATAATTAGAATGAATATAAGACGATTAAAATTTCCCAAAGGCGATCTTTTGATCACAAAGCCTATTGCGCTTATCGTTTTGTTTATGTTTTTGTTTTATTTAGTATCATCGTATGCTGGAAGCGGTAAAATATTCGTTTGGTTATCAATCATCCTGGGAGACAACCGAACAAGTAAATGAAAGGTAAGGTCATTCGATCAAAAAAAAATTTGATCATTCACCAGAAACATCAACAAGATAGCAACGCTGAAATATACAAACACGAAGGTCAAATGTCATATAAAAGTGTTCCAATGTATAAAAATTGGCTGATATAAAGGTACTCCCGTAGTATGTGTACCAGGTTAGCGTTAAGCCATTTTTTCCCCCGATTTTTTTATTTTAGTTCTATTACGAGTTCGGGGACTGTCTGTGTTAGCCAAGCGAATATACCCCCTGCCCATAGGTTTCAGTCCCTTTACACAACTTGATGTAATATAGGCTAACAAAATTAGTTACCTCCATATTGGTACATACACTTCTGGAATGCTAAAAAACAATATCCGCAACATCATCATTTTTCTCTTTCAGCTTCAGTAATCCTGCAGTGGTTGAACAAATCGTAGACAATAAAACTTTTCCGATTGTCAATTATTTAAATGACACACAACCTTTATCATTAAATAAAGGTGGAGAACAACATGTCACTGTCGTGGGTTATGATGGCTACATTGTCACCATTGTAATGTAAGTTTTATATTGTAACAGTAAGTCTAACAACATTTGTTTCGACGAGTAAACAATGGGACGGATGCCTAAAGATGCATTTTTATATTTAGTATTATTTTACGAGGGGACAGAATTGTAATCATCACTTTGTGGGTTGAAAAATTCAGGCGTTTAAATTTACAAAATCAGTTTTCAGTCATATTCACTTGATATTTTGTAGTTGAATCATCTGGACTAGTTAATAATCGTTTTAGAGGGACCCAAACTTTTTGTCAATGCGGCACCAAATTACCAAGGAGAAAATCACAATGCACTTCCATAAAAAAAAAACTCTTAATAAAAAGCATATATTATTTATGTATAGCGCAATACTGTTAATCATCGGTGTGCGCTTAGCGAATCGCCATGGCGCACGTACTTTGGGAACTGCTGCAATAGTGATTCAAACTGTGGGCTTGATTATGTTGGCATCACAGAATAAAAATAAATACCTCACCCATAGTGTAATAAATTATATGTGCTATGTCCTATATAACCTTGTTCTAAGTGAAAGGAGAGGACACTTCATATGAAAATATCTGGTGATTTAGTTATTCAGCTCTTTGCCCTCTAGTCTAACTTATAAGCTCTTATACATTTACTTTTCAGGGGTATCGGAACTCCATTTGGTTCCAAGATTATGTCTGGAGGATTTATTCTTAATAATGCAATGTTAGACTTCTGTTGGCCAGGGAAAGGTGAAGAATTGGTTGGTCTGCAGAACTCTGAGGTCAGTATGGATAAATGCTTGATTCTTGTGTGCAATAAAAGCGGTCATATTCTATGATCATGTCTTTTGATATATTCCTGGGATTACCTAGAAATCTTTCAATGGTAAATGACCTTGAGAATACGGATTTGGTTGAATTCATGTCAAAATAATGATATTTAATAATAATGTTGTCTTCTATTCAGGGCTCTTGAATCTAGCAAAATTTAAAATCGACTCCAGACTCTCCCGAGTCTCCAAGTTGTAAAAGTTTTTGACTCCAACTTCAACTCTGGAATCTGAGAGTGGCATATGTCACCTTTTCATAGACTGTTAAGAACATACAGAAAACTTCATGCGTTTTGTGTTTTTATTGAAAATATTAATTTTTTTTTGCATTTTCGTTTATCAAACTGTATTATCAAATACAAATATTTGAAGTCTATATATCCATGCATTGACAGGCAAACATGATTGCGGGTAGTAAGAGACCGATGTCATCAATGTCTGCTGTTTTAGGCTTACCAGCTGAAACAAAATGTGGTCTTTATCTTGGTTTTGATGCACATGAAGCAGATTCTGCAATTTCAGGTACATTATTTCAGATTCATAAAATTGCTCAACTTGATGCCGAATTTGTTTTTATGTATTTGAAATATGACTGGCTTCCGCGATTAGAGTTCAACTGTAAACTTTTTCCATTGTCGTAATGTTGGGTAGCTTAGCATATTTTAGAGATATTATAATGGAGTGTTCTTTTGAACTTTCATAACATGTCCCTCCATAAACGTTTAAAATCAAATTTTCTGCCCAAAGTTTTTTTCCAAGAACTTCAGTTTTGTGGAATTCACTATTACATAGCTGTTCTTCTGATTGTTTTTACATCGTATTTAATTATCGTGCCAATATTTACTAACATAAATTTTACGCTATTTTTTTTATATCCACCGTGGCTTTTGGCACTTATTGGCTGCCAGTAACTTCCCTTGGAACCGAATCTTCCTTATTTCTCAGTGAGAGAGTGATCTTGCATTGACCATCAAATTTTATTTTCATGTTTTGATTTTTTCTTCTAGCATTGCTACAAACAGTTATACGTAAACAATCTGGAATGGATCTTTCTAACAGTATAACCAGCGGACGTCTCGATCAAGAATCATATCCTTTCAATGTGATGGCTGAAGGTATTGATTGCATTTCAATTTCTTGAAAAAATATTAGATAGTTGGAAAGGGAGTGCACATATAAATTGTTTTGCGTAATTGTTGTAGTTTGGGTGTTGTTGTCCTAAAAAAATGCTTTTGTCAGCAACTATTGAATCGATCTTGTTTTGAAATCAGTATTTGTAAATGGAAGAAGTCAATGCGATCTTGTTTATTTTTTTTTCAATTTTATTTATCGAATTTAATAATCCCAAAACTTGTTGCACATATCGCGCTGCCACATCTCAGACTAGTGCGACATTTGACAAGTATTTTCGACATTCCTGGTGCTGTGGTTTTACCGGTGCCAATGTGAATTGCTTCTGCGGTAGGACTTGGTTGGTAATCGGCCTAGATGCATTTGAATGTTCAGATAACAGGTTTTTTTAGATCACGTAGGTTGATGACTGATGTGCTGCATTAGTTAGCGATTTGACTTTCATGACGATTTATTTTAGTATAGTTCTCTTGTTTATTTATGAGCCACTCTGAAATTGTGTGGTAGTGAATAAGTAGTTTTTTCATACTCTAATACAGTGTTCTTCAAACGTTTTTCATCACGACTCACTTGGCTCGGCCAAATTTTTTTGTTAATCCTCGGAACTAAAATAAAAGTGAAGTAAAATTCAATAATATGAAAATTAATAAAACTTTTATTGAGATCAATGTTCTTGCATATTTTCGCACAAAAGATCGAATTTTGACTTTATTTTGGTGTCTGGTCCAAATATTTTCAATTTGATTGATATTTTGTTTTGGCAAAAGTTAAGTCGAAAGAGATTTTAACGCATCCCTTTCAGCTACACCGTGCAGTTGGAAGAACCCTGCTCTAATCTATATAATTTAATCATTTTGATTAAGATTATATTCATATATTTTTCATTAGAATCTGTCTCATCAGGGCTCGTTGGATATTTGAAGTCACTCGGACACAATGTTACACAATTATCATCAGGACAATCATTAGGAGTTTGTCATAGTCTTACTTATTTTGAGGGATTAGTAAAATTTTATGAAGATCCACGAGATGCTGATGATGGCGCATACGTTTTCTAATCATTCTCTCTCATAATTTCATAATTTATTTATTCTATACTCGCACTTTTTTAGGTTTATTAATGTGCATTACACAATATTCCTTCCTTCTATGTGTCTGAATTCATATAGTTTATATTACTGTGTTGAAATTAATCGGTTACTTGTTCAAATAGTTTTAATTTTATTTTTTTAGATGAATTGCATCTAGCTTGCCATATTTTCACTAGGTAATGGTTATGGCGATAAAAAAATTAACTCTGATTGATGGAGTTCTTGATAAGTTTTAGCATATGTTCTTTGTCATTTATTATGTCTGTATCTTTCACCATAGTTTGCTCAAATATAAATTGAATAAAACTGTCGTAGCAAACAAGGCTTTTCTTTGAGGTTCAGTAGTTGCGAGGATTTCTTGGGCAGTCCTTAAACACGATAGGGTTTACATATTAATCCCATGAGGAGGAACGCCCATAAGACGGCCTAGTCAACTGGTGAACCACGGCCTGTTGCCAGGTTTTTAGTCCATTTCGAGAATGCGATTAGACTTAATGGTAGAGGATGCCGTAACGACCAGCGGTTATGTGAACAAAAGTTCAGCAATACTCTCGCACATAATTATCACATGGAAATCAGAGGTGGCAAGCGTATTTTTGCTTAGCATGATGCGCATCCTAACCGGAAAATTAATACATGAAACCTGGAATTACATCCCACTCGCACATTATGGCGAGAATGAATACCGAGACAATCCGTCTGGCGCAACAAAATACTCGTGATTAACCAGCAAGTTCGATACCAGTTTCTTCGAGGGAGTTGGTAATATGGGTGTACTAGTTCCGTTGCGGCTAGATGAGGATTGCTGAATTTGTTGCTGGCTGTTGTAGCGAGTTCAGTTGAACGTGCATGGGTTCACCATCAACCCCATGCATTGAAACGTATTGCTAGAGAGTTCACTATTTCCATACGCGACATGGGATAGTAACCGAACGAGACACCGTACTGGTTAATGTTACCTACCTTTAAAGCGTTTGCTGATAGACATAAGTGGTTCTGATCATAGATGACGCTCCAAAGTCTTTTCATTGTTTTCAAAACGATTTGTTATGCTAATACAATTGGCCATTTCCGAATTTTTGTCAGTTGTTTCGGCAATATATTTATTACTTTGAATCCGTAAATTGGTTTCCACTGACTAATATTCAGTGACTCACTTTCTCAACACACTTTGCATTGTAAAATAAGAAAAAAACTGTAGAAAGCTAATTTTAAAACGGAAGTCCATAATTTTTCCCGCAACAGCGCTCTCCAGTAAACTAACTTCGCGGTTGATAATTTACTTATTTGAATCATGCCCAATGCCCCCTCGGTTCGCTGATGACTAGGTTCCAATTTCTTTCGGACATTATTGAGCGGGCCAAAATAACGTGTTGCAACGTGCTTAAATATAATACCATTCGTCTCGTTCGTTTTCCTTCTCCCCTGAGAATTCTAAATCAATCTTTGTCATGAAAACCTGTTTCGGGGGCGCTGCTTTCAATATGCTCATGCAGGGTTGTCAAAATCAAATATCAACAACTGTATAGAATATATACCTACTCAATAAATCAAGCAGTTTCGTTAATATTATTGTATTTGCATATGTAATGGTCACATCACAGAGAATGACCTTCTAAGTCACATAATACGACGGTTAGTTCATTTTCAAGAAATATCAAGTTTGTGTTCAATATAGTTAAAAGCATGAAATAAAAAATAAAATCACAGATAGTCATTATTTGTTCCCGTGTGACTGAATTTGAAAAATAAACATTTGCATTCTAAGTATCATCGGACAAACACACCACTAAGGGTCTTTTGTGGATATTATAGTTTTGAATAAATCCTGTGAAATAGACGAATTTCTTCAGAAATCTGGCAAGGGGCTATTCAAGTAAGTGTTGCCGACTGGCTCGTATTTCGCTCTTCCCTGGTCTGTTTTACGCTTGGTAGCTCGAGTAGTTAGGTATAGTATTCTGTAATATAAATTATATAAAAGATAATGAGGCTACAACTGAAAATACGATAGTATGAAGTAATTTTTCTGTTTGATGTATGAAAGATCTCTATATTCTGTTTAGAAAGCTTATTTGTCGACTTTCACTTATACCTCATTTAAACGAGCGAACTTGCCTGAGATTACAATAACATTTTTCACTGAGGCATGGTTGAACTTTGCGACTATCAACCGACTACCGGTATTGAGAATTAGGATACGCGTGCCCGAGAGTTGCGGGTCATCGCTTTTTATGTCATAGGCCTATTATATATATGTTATAATAGTATTGTACCTTTTTAGGGGTTTTACAAAAGTATTCACGCGCATTTAATCGATTTACCTGTTAAGGTTAAATAGAAAATGTTTCAGTATCTGCATGAAGATATCGCACACTCACAATTCTTTCCCTCGTCTTTTGGGCTCTTCTCGTTCTTTTCCATGGAAACACCATACTAGTCCAAGTCTTAAAACTTCCAAGGCAGCACAAAATGTTGACGATAAGATTGATATCATAAGCCAACTTACCGGCTGCATTTTCTTCTAAAATGGTAACCGCTGCGGCAATTACGTCACCAACCATACAGATAGATGACAGAATTAAACACCGTTTTACCAGAGATATTATGCTGGCATTTGAACTTTCTTTTCTTCGTATACTTTTTCTTGTAGTCGGAGACGAGTTGGTATTTGCTCTCCGACGGTTATCTGGTTCTGGTGCAGTCGTTGTAGACTCTGAAGTTTCTCTTTGAGCACTGTTAACGGATTTTTTAATCTTGGAAGTGTGACTACGAAGCGGTATTATGAACAACACGAGAAGTTGAGCTTGTCCCAAGATAGTTAATGTCAGGAGGGTTATAGCAAGGATTGTTTCATACAGTTTCAGTTTGTGAGAATCGGTACTGTGGTTACAACCAGAAAAGGCAATCATTCTCGATCCAGCGAGAAACACCATGACCGCGCTCAAAATCAGAAATCCTAGGACAATCCAGCTGAGGGCTTTGATGTATCTGAAAAAATAAAATTGAATTTTCTTAATGAAAAAAATCATTGATGTTGTTTTGTCGCATCGTTGTAATATCAAGCAGTAGTTCGAGCAGTTCGTGCAATTTTGCCAATTCGCTAATTGTATAGTATAAATGTAAGCTCGCGAATCAAGATTAAAATCCAACAATAAACTGATGCGCCGCGACGATTTGTATTTAACAGAATTATGTCAAACATAACTAATATATGATTGAATATATTACATATTGTTTTTATTACTTATCGATTTTAATCGGTAAGTATGTTGATAGGTATTTGTCTGTCTGATAGATGCACACGATATCTCACGAAAAGGAGATTGGATCTCCTGCAGATTTTGCATGTGCATTCATCATATCTCGTACCAGAAGCCTATTGATTTTGGGCGAATTATGTCGTATAACTAGCGAGTTATCAATTAATTACCGATGGGACACGAGGTGTCACTATGAAGTAAGAGCGCTGTTTTGGGGATCCCCTAACTTTCGATCGATAAGTCTACGGTCTCTGACCGATATTCTCGTTACATTAGTTATTGTTTCTTATTTCAAAGCTTTGTATGAAATGAACTCATTCTATTGTTCTATGTCGTTTACGTTCACTCTTCACATCACGAAGTGTTTGCCTCTATTGTTACGTGACAGAGGTAGACACTACTTGCTGCAATTTCGCGAGCTGCAGTATATTTATCGTCAAAGCGAGTTTAGCGAACATGAATGATTTTTTAGTATTCCTAAGGAAAATCAGTCAGAAGTCGATCTTTTGTCTTTATTTTCCCCAGGCCTACATGTTTACAAACTTTGAAAGGCATAAAGTAGGCTACACATGAACGGTCACAAAATTGAGTTGTATTTAAGGGCATTTTTTTCCGTGTAAGTGTGCCGTGAGTTTTTTCCCTGATAATTTGGCGCGCACGAACAACAAGTTTGGGAAACGCTGGCCTACAGAACAAAGTTGAAACGAGAATATCGGTCAGAGACCGAAGACTTATCGATCGAAAGTTAGGGGATCCCCCAAAACAGCGCTCTTACTCCATAGTGACACCTTGGGTCCCATCACTAATTAATTAATACTTCGCTAATTATACGACATAATTCGCCCAAAATCAATAGGCTTTTGGTCATATGATGAATGCACATGCAAAATCTGGAGCAGATTCAATCTCGCTTTCGTGAGATATCGCGTGCATCTAACAGACAGACAGACAAAAACCTATCAACATACTTACTGATTAAAATCGACAAATAATAACCCAATTAATTCAAAAGTTTTAACTATTCTTGCAAATATGACGTTCAAATCACTACATACAAAGTTTATGATATAGCCCAAACTTATGCAGACAACACCAAATTCTCTTAAACCTCGGGCCGAAATACATCCGAAAGCGGCTGTGTCTACACGTACTTTCAAACTGCATTCCATAAAACAACAGAAAAATGCCTAAAGCGGATGAAACTATTCATTAATAAATTTTTATGAAAAACGCACCCATTTAATAGATGCTTCAGTGCAGGCCCTTCATATAAGCAGTGCTGTCGTTGCCACAAAAATACATAGGCCGTTAAAATTCCCAATGCGTACGTTAGGAGCCACATGATGTTCATGCTTTGACAGGCGGAAGCATCCACCATGAATGGTGCTATCAATTCACATACGTAATGCATAAATGCAAAAGATATGCCGACGATGCAGAGTATACGCAAAATCCTGCAAAATGTACAGAAAATTTGTTGGATAAAAAGAGTAGCTTGAGCACAATAATATGCTATTCAGGAGTGGATAAGGTTTTTAGACCAAAAACTAAAAATGTAAGTGCGGCGTAAAAAGTTACATTAATGAACAATATTCACAGTGTTACAAAAGCAAAACTGGAAAACAATAAGCCTCGCGCCAAAACTAAATTTAATCTCAACAAATTCTTTGAGAATTTTTTTTAGCTGAAACATCGAAATTTGGTTTTAGTTAGGTTGTGGCAGCCTCAGATTGAATTACTCAGCGGACCGGATTTGGCTCGCTGGCCGTAGCTTTCCCATGTCAGTGCTGTATATATGCTACGACGGGCGCCGGGCATCATGGAATATACCCGGACCGGCATCCGACCTGCGCATGAGAACGAAGACTTTTACGTTAATAGCTAAAAAACACTACGTTTCACCTTTTAGTGATTGAAGAAACAATAATAAAATGACCTACCTCGCGATTTTGTTATGTCGCTCATCGGTCCCAACCCCATTCCAGTACCGTGTTGTGTATTCAAAGAAAGAAAACGCAACGAGTAGGTATAACGAAACAACGGTCAAAACAGAATTCACTATAAGGTTAGGAAGTTGTAATTCATGCACAATAGAATCATTAGTTTTATTCATAATTTCACTCAATTAATAGTTACTAGATTTCTGTTGCAAAATAATAAAAAAATGTACTATTTTAGCTACCGAGAACATTCTAATTTTTTGCTTTGCCTAGCGCAATTCTCCTCCTAATCTTCAAGTAAAACAATAGTCTAATTCAAGAAAAGTTTTTTGCATCCTCTCCATCAAAAACTAAACCTATTAATACTTTAATGAAAGTGGAATCCTAATATAAATCTACAAATATGACTAAACATTTTGAGAAATCACGAGTTGTAATATGAGGCACACCAGGTGCTTCTTAAAAATCAAGTGACGACCTCCAACAGCTGATTACGCACAATTAATGTGATGGACGCAGTTGCAATATATTAGTCATGGGCACTAGTCGCACAAAACGTAACTAATGGCTTTGCTCACTATGTTGCAAGACCTGACTGTAATTTGTGGATTTCAAATCTTTCAAATCTTATAGGTCGAGTAGCTCTCGGCACTTCAGTGGTGGTTCGTAACTTTGTCCAAAGATGAGTCTCCTTCATGCTGAGTGCGTGCGCGTGACGTGGCCTTGAGCAATTTTTTTTTGTTAAATTATATCTAACGTGACACGATCCATACTTGACAGAACTTGGGTACGCCCATGCAATAACACAAACTTCTATGCTATATGCTGTTTACTATCTACCGTATTGCTATTCTTGTATTTTATTTTATAAATGGTCCAACTCAAGACAATTTGCCTAAACATATTACCAAATCTTGCATCCTCGATTAAAAATACAACTTATTTTCGTTTTCAACCAGTGAAATGGCTCCTAAAAGTGCAGTAAATATGCATGAATTATTTTAACCCGATTTCAAACGATGTTATATTTTAACGTATATTAATTAGTCCATTGATTTAATAAAGATGATGACTTTATGTACCGGTTTTATCGAAATGTTGCAAAAATTCCGTACCATAAGTGTTTTACAAACAAAACCCCATGAGCTGACATTTGTGACGAATTTGCTGGTTTTACAAGTGAATGTTTGGAATGTAAGTCCGCAGCAACACTATTACTTTTCCATCTCTCTAAATTACACTAAATATTTTAAAAAACAATCATCGTGACGAACAAATTTTACGTGGTTTCAAGTCGATGAACTTTTATATAATTGAAAACAACATTCACCTATTTATGACGCTGACCCTTCTCCTCGTCCTATTGTTGAAATACTACCCACTATTATCTAATAGGTTAGATAGAGTCCGATTGCTGACATAGCTGCTATGTAGGCCTAAATATGTATATATCCTTATCCACCCACGGAACTAATAAATCGTCATAGAAAACATTGCAACAATAGATATAGAAAATAGAAACAATTATAATTACCCACGCCTTCTTTACGTAGCTTCATATATATGCTAATGTGATCGAAACAACGCTTATATATATGCGTAAGTCTGGTTAGTCACTTAGATAAAAAGTTTTCAAGCGAATTCATAATACGCTTCTTTAAAAATAGTTGTTGTACTAATATTTCATAACATACCCAATAAAAAAACACTAATTCTCCTATTTACTATGAAGCAAGCAGATGATTCATTTAGTAATTACGGTTTATGACCCACCGATTGAGGTAAATTTGCAAGAGCATTTCCTGTGATGTTGTACAGCCGAGATGTCACACAGAGGCTGCAACAATATTACTAGATTGTCCACATCATAATATATACAATATTTATTTGGTTGTCAGTTGTTACTATCGCCGGAGTAAGGTCTTGGAGTTGAATGTAAATTTTTGACGAAGCCACAGCCCTGATCACTATGCAGATATTACATTATAGCCGACAATAAGCGTTCTGATTTCTGTATTTAGAGAAAAACCTAGCCATCACTTACATTGGTGTAATGACGATAAGAATCAACATTTTCACTTCCTGTACTGCGATTGTGACGCAAACATTTTGCTCAACATGGATATTAGTCAGACCCCACTGAATCAAACAAATCCTAGCCCTATAGTCCTAGACGAATGTTTTCATGTCATGACACTTGACAACTTTTTTGTACGATCGTGATTTTGAGTTTTATACAAATAAATTATGGGTAGCAGACGACAATTGAAATATCGCACGGACTGCATTTGGAAAGTCACAGGCTTGTCATCTCATGGAAAACATTCCATGAAATGTATTTGTATTCGCCACAGTAGCCATGTGATAGCAACTTGATTACGTCAGATCTAGCCTCATTCATTAGTCTTTTTTTTTACCTTTCAAATGTTTTTTACTTTTTTTCTTTTATATCCAAGTGATTTTGTCTTACTTTTCAAATAAAGGATCAAATAAACAATACATCATATACGCAAATCAATTAAAAAAGGTAAATATGTCAGGAAATTGAGTGAGAGAAAAATGGCTACGATATGGTACGATTGGTCGATAATGCGAAAACTGAATAAATGGGGATGTAACAGCCAAGCCGCCGTACAATTTAATACCCGGCAAAGAGAAGACATTTTTGCTGGCAGGTATAAGTATCCAAGGCTCTAATATTGAAATAGATGAACAAATGCATACAGAAATATTTACTTATATGTTTCAGGTTTTCTATCTATGACATTCGGACAAAGCAAAGATCTTAACGACACCTCCACATTCAATTTTTTTGTTTAAAATTTCGTTTTCAACTTAGAGTAAAACTATTGAATTCAACATTCTCCGTCCCATTGTCGAAATCAGATGACCCCTCGCTCAATTATGAATCATCGCATCAATCAGAAATCATCAAACAAAGAGACATTCACAATCCAAAATTATTTTTATTAATAAGCCTAAACATTTAAATTCGCTGTTTTCAGAAGTGCAAAAAAATTAATAATAAGTTTCTCAGGCAGAAACTCTTCCAGGTCACATGGATAATACTTTAGACTTAGAGCAATATCTTTGTACCCCTTTTTTACTCGTGGATGCGACCACGATTCGAAAATACCTACACGCGTGTTTGTTCCCACCACTTGCAGTTGTATTATTTCAAGCAGAATTCAAATATAAATGTTTTCAGTCGGTATTTCAAATATCAAGCAAAATTGAAGCACTATCATAATAGTATGGGCCGTGTCATTGATGTATTTTGAAATTCAATATTGAACATAGGTCTCTGTGAATCACCATTTTCAAATATATATCGTAGTGATTCTAGTGTTAACAAAATCTACAAAAAAAAAGGTGATCAGTGCTACCGTATGGGCAGAAGGTTTGATTTTCATGACAACTCCAGAAAATGTGCAATGTTTTATGTACGGACTTTTTTGTGTTTTCAAATGTCTCTAGCCTGAAGGAAAAAGGGTGATGGTTGTGTCAATAACTGTTTAAAATTTGATAAGTCAGCCGTGGGGATAGTGTTAAAATTAAAATATGCAAGTAGTACCACCATAAAATAAAAGATCGAGAAAGATGAAATAGGAAACAGAGAAGAGGAAAAGATACACGCGTTAGGTAAGCTGAACCAGCATCGTAGGTGTCGCTACTCGAAGACCTTTCGTGGTTCCTCGCGACTCCTGTGACACATATAAAGTTCGTCTTTTTTTATTCACTTTCTTTATATCTTGTCATATTTCCGTGGTATATTTATATTGATTGTGTTGACGAAAAAATGATGATTGATTGATTAGGGTTAGATAGAACTGTCGTGAGTGAAATTGGAGAATGTCGGTTACCGAAGCCAACTGATGCGATCGACTATTTGGTAAGAATTGTTGGACATGCATACAGTGCTACAATCATCCTCAAAATTTGTACGCACGAAAGGAGAGTCCGGGATGTTGCGCCGTTGAGTTACCGTTATTGGTTTTTGCTACGAGGATTTGCAACAACATTCAATTATATGCTAGAGTGCCAATACCGATATATATATCGTCACGCTTATAACCGAATTGCGTAAGTCATTTTTAGCAGTTTTGAAAAAAACGTAAAAAACTTCCTAATGTTATTGTTATGCCACTGAGAGTCACTAATTTGCCATGGTTCAATTTTTTGTTCGTAGCCGGATTTAAGTTAATTTGTATGACGCAGTTAAGTGACGTCATAATGGCGCACTGTGACTTAGGCATAAATGTGTCTATGACTTGAGGACATACGCAATTTTTCAACTTCACTATATGCACCAGTCCTGAAAACTAAACATTACAAAAACGAATGTAATTCTCAGTATCTACAATGTCTAATCCCCAAAATAGCTAATCAGTTTTAATTACATTATTTGTTATGTTTAAAAAAAAAAATTTCATCAATATAACACGTTCTGCACACCCACCGAAATAAGACTAAGATTAAATATAAAGTATAAAACATCAATGCACCCAATATAAAAGCCAACCAATGTGAATTGGACTCGGACAGTGAATATCACGAGTGCACGCCATGGCGATCTATGGATCGTGAAGTTGTCGCCCAACTGACCGTTCGATATTCCGTCACCGTCGGTCTAAAGCGGACTCAGAGCGGGGTAGTGACATTTTCGTTAACCGTTGACCTAGCTCTTTGGCTGTTAAGTTTATTATCAAGTTTACAGCAATCCTTTTGGTTTTGCTATGAGTAGGTTTAAAGAATAAAGGCAAAAGGTCAACGCTTCTTCCTCCATTTATGCCTGGTTTTACTTTGAAATGCCGAAAAAATTACTCATATTCGCTAAACTTTATTCAGTAGATAAATAAACTACAGCTCACGAAATTGCGGCAAGTACTTCTATCTCCATTATACGTACCATTAGAGACAAACACTACGTAATGGAAAATAAACGACATATAATGGTAAAGGAATTGATTCATATACACAGCACCTTAAGAAACAATAAAACATTCTTAATAAATGCAATATGTAAAATATTCAACCATCTTTTAGGCATGTTTAACACAATTATGTTAGTTTTCTCGGCGAATTTGGCAACTCGCCACGAGAACCCATTTGGAACCGCTGAAGTACACCGTTTTTCTTTATCAATTTTACTCTTTCATTTTTGGTGTTCCGCCAGGCGAGATAAAAAGCGTAAGTATTCCGTGGCCGAAAAAGTTTGGGAAACGCTGAATTATAGGGTATTGATAGAAATTGGTTGGTAATTGATTCTGATGATCGTTATCTGTACCTGTATCGTCATCTGTAGCCTACCTACAGCCTTCTACTTTTATTTATATTCTACGGAAACTTTTTCCAATTGACAAATAAAGCAAGCTTTCTCTATAATTCATAAGCATATACAAGTAGAAACCTCTATTCTTTTAAAAAAATCTTTGTTTAATTGTCGTTAGTTTGTGAATATAAGAAAATTAAATAAAGATCCATATATATATTTGAATTTTATGGTAAGTCATATTACAGTGTTTTAACATCCAGAACGAATATGTTGGGAAAATTGTAAAAAGTTAAACTAAAGGCAGAGTCTGCGTCGGGCCCGGTCTAAATAGAGATAGGAATATTAACTGAAAATCAAGATTTTGTATTTCGTCTAGTAGAGAATGGATTCGTCCCTCACGTTATCACTCTTAACTATCTACAAATCGCGTTTAAAGTAGATTTATATTGCATAGGTTATCCGTGTAAGGACGCCATGCAATTCTGATTTCTACGTAGGTCACGATCCCTGCAAGAATAGATAAGTTGTGCCATCTCATTTTGTACATTATGGATGTTGACCTCAAGTAGAGATCTTGATTTCTTTGAGTTTAAACGTGGAACCTATAAAGACTGGCCTTGCTAAAATGAACAACGATGGGACTGGGACATCATATCATTTATCGTAACGGCTTATGAATTGTGTGGCGTTTCCAAGGGTTTATTTGGAATAATCAGCGCTTGGCAAGCTTTTACACCCATTTTTCTTCAACCTATTCAATTAATACAAAAAATCAAATAATACAGCCATTTCAAACATAACAGGCAAAAGAAAACTTGATTTAAAACAATTGTTTTAAAACAATTCTCTACGAACAAATCCCTATCCAGTCACATTTCAGCCATGTTTAAACATTTTTTGTAAACGCTAGTTTTCGCGTTTTTACTTGTCACTTGTCGGGTTTTAGTTTGATTTCTAAAATTCAGGGATTATATAAATATAGTAGCTCAATGCTCTGCTCATTTTGTTCCTCAAGGGGTTATTTTAAAAGGATTGTAGACGCGATGACGAGCAGGGGTCTTAGAAACACCCATCGATCTCCTGACAGGCGAAAATTTTGAATATAGCCGTTAGGTGTCGCAGCTTACCCAAATCGTATGTGCTGGTTGGTTGTTAATTATGGCGGTCAGTATGAAAGCTAGGTTTTGGTTGTTTCGAATTGCGAAATTGCGAAATAGATAACCTGTATTGGAGTTGAATACATAATTTGAAATGTGTGCAAATTAGGCTATGAATACTTTACTTAGCTCTGAACCTTTTGCCATAGCTTACCGTATGTTGTTTGTTCTTGTTTTTTGAATTGTCATAAAATAAATTCTCTCTCATTCCTGCATTCATAGAATTTTAGATGCTAGGCTAGTTCAGAATATATTGTTTTGCTATAATAATCATTAAAAATAATTCTGTACTTACTTGAACAATCTAAAGGAAGGTCATGGATTCCGTGAAAGTTGCCATTCGAATCAGGCCTCTGATTTCAAGGTTCTTATTCCTGTATTTTGTATTTTATGCCATGGTTTGGCTTTGTTAATTTTTATTGTTAGCTATTTTAAGATTGCCGCTGACAATCTGTAAGTAGACCTAATGCTCATTTCGCATTTATTCTGCCATTCGGTACAAATACTTTGTGATCTTTCTTGTTTTCATTTTGTTATGCTTTTACCAGTTTACCGGAATGGCTAATAAAAAACGATTTGATTGATTGATTGAAAAATTTTTTACTAAAAAAAATTTTTTTTTGTATCAGGGAACAAGGATCTGATATATTATGGACTGCTGACACTCATCAGATTAAGTTGAAGGAAGGAAAAAGCAAACCGTACATTTTTGGTAATTTTTAATCATTCTCCAATTAGCTTTTCTGCATTACTGTGTTCTCAGATTCCATGATTGTCGCCGATATTCAGACTTATAAAATAAGAACTCTATTTGAAACGAGGGAGTGAGATCATATGATGTTTGCTGTGATAATATTTAAAATCAATCACCATGAGCAAAACTCGTTTTCAGCCTATTAATAATTGTTCATTAAAGCTCTCGACGCTACAGTAAAAAATCATTTTCCTATGCGAATTTTTTGAGGAATTCAATTGTTAATATTTTATCAATTTTTTAAGATTCTTAATATCTGTGATTTTATTATAGATCTTATTTCAATATCTCGATTTTTAAATTTTCTTCTTGCAAACTATGAATAATAAATAACAAAAAAATTATTTACATCGTATCGGCCATACATTCAATTTATTCAAATTTAGATCGAGTATTTGACAGTGACGAAATAACAGGAGAAGTTTATGAAGAAATTGTTGAACCGATTGTTCAATCGGCCATGGGTGGATTCAATGGTGAGAAGATAGAATAACAAACAGTTTTTCCAACTCTAGTACATGACAATAAGAAAGGATTTTCTCAGATCATATGCCCATTATAGAATATACTCCATATTTCTCCAGAGTCTCCATAATAAACGTCATTCATATTCCACCATCCTATTAACTTGACAAATTAAACGAAAATTGAATATTTTTTATTTGTTTAGGTACTGTTTTTGCGTATGGTCAAACCTCATCTGGTAAAACTTACACAATGATGGGAGATCGCAGGAATCTGGGAATCATTCCACTTTCTGTGAATGATACTTTTGCTTTGATTCAAAAGGTTTGTTTATTTTTCACATTGTGATTTTTATATTTTTATTTATAAGTTAATGGTTTAAAACTGTCAGGAAATGGGTGTTCTTTTTTTCAACAAAGCATTTTTGACGAAAAATATTTTTTTCAATTTTAGACTGGTTTGAATGATGTTTTATTTGTTATGGATTTGTTGAATATGTTGGTGTCATTTAAACTATAAAAGTTCATAATTATGTTTGAATGGAATTAGTTACATCAGGATTAGTGAAAAAATTATGATTAATATTATTGGAGTCCGACCATCTTAATCAAAGATTCTGGCATCATACCAGACCCAATATCATCCATTGACATGTAATGTTTGATGAAAAGGCAAGAAAATGTCACAAAAAAGCCAGGCGCACTAGAATCTAACTCGTAGATTCTCAACCTTTTATCTCAACCTCTATTGTTTACCCCTTGGCATATTTAAAAGAGAATTTACCCCCTCAAACTTACGTAAACTGCCCTTTATATATGCCATGAACAAAATATGATGTGGCATTAGGCTATACATTCATTCATTCTGCAGGGACAGTGTGATAACATTTGTTGCCTCACATCGCAATCATGGAAATATTTGGTCATGTATTTTTCTGCATGCAAAAATATAAGATAATATGCTTTTTATACAGACACCAGAGAGAGAATTTCTTCTTCGTGTTTCTTACATGGAAATTTACAACGAAGTTGTTCGTGATCTTTTAGCACCAACTACCGAAGGACCTGGATTACAAATCAGAGAAGATGAATTTGTTAGTATACTTTTTTGCGCAGAGTTGTGAAGTCGTTATAGAAAACTTTAGAATTTATAGGATGAAAAATCCTCATTAATATAATTTTATTTTAGCGAAATGCTGTTGTACAAGGATTGACTGAAAAATTGGTCATGTCATCAAAGGAAGTCTTAAAACTCATGGAATCTGGCGATAAGAGAAGACATACTGGATGTACAAATATGAATGAAAGAAGCAGTAGATCTCATACTATATTTAGAATGGTAAGTCGAACATCTTGTATTTACAATGTATCAATTATTGCACTGCTGCAAAGTCTGAGTTTGACATGTTGTCATTGGAGTTGTATTTTTGAACTATGTGGAATATGGAGTTTTAGATTTGTAATGGTGATAATCGAATTCAATATTTAGAAATTAAACTGACGTCTGAGTCTAAATTTTTTTAAATTGAGTGTAAGCTGGAGTGTGAATTTTTCCCTGTCGGCAGTCGGAGTCCATTGTAAATTATCCCTGGATCACGTATGCAAAAATTTTTATTGTCAAAATTTGATTTACTTGGGAGCTGGAGTCAGAGTCAGATTGGAGTCAAATTTTATTTTAATATGAGTTGAAATTCGTTCTCGTCAGTAGTTGGAGTCTATTGTAAATTATCCTTGTAATGCTTATGCTAAAATTTTTATTGTCAAAATTTGATTTCCACTAATTTGGGATCTGTAGTCGAAGTCAATGTGGCGTTGGAGGCATGGCATCAGGAGTCTGAGTTGATTGGTAATTATCCGCGACACCTGAATTCTTCGCTGTTGATTGCTTATGGGCCACAAATTTCGCTTGACAATTTGATCTATAATTCACTCTCACGGTTTACACATATCCTTGCCTGTAGCATCCATTTTAGTTCAATTGAACTAGGCATGTGAATTTTTTAGAAATTTTTATTTTAGTGATTAAAATTTCAATAGCCGTTGTCAGTTTTAAGTGCAAAATTGCCAGTTCTCAGATCAGCTAATTAATATATTCTTTTAACAGATCATCGAAAGCAGAGAAAGAGCTGAACATGACTCGACAAGAGATTCAATTGATAATGATTCTGCTGTTAAAGTCTCGCAACTGGTAATACAGAAAATTAATTTTACAGAAATGTTGTAAAGATAGTTTGCATGGAAGTGCTCATTCATTTAATAAAATACAGCTTTGGGTCCAAAACGCCTCATTCTGAAAATTTCTGAAAAGTCAATAATGAATAATAATGTGTGTGATTTTCACATCGCTATTTTGTTATACTTGCCAGTGTGACATGCTTTTTTAGGCCATCATCTTTAGGCCGATGAGCTATATCTCCGTGAATATTTCTTATAGCACAAGTGCAGTCACGTCAATTATTGTTTTTTTCCTCATGCGGAATTGTGCGTCAATCAAGAGAAAAATCTGTCTGTATGCTAGCTTTTAAAACTATTATACAACTCTGAAGTTGTAAAGAGTGAATCTTCGTTTTTAATTAATTAAGAGAGTCTATATTTATATAGAATCTTGTTGATCTCGCTGGGTCAGAGAGAGCAAGTCAAACTGGCGCTGAAGGTCAAAGGTTAAAGGAAGGTTGCCATATCAACAAAAGTCTTTCCACTCTTGGTCTTGTCATCAACCAGATATGTAAGGCTTCAGAAAGTGGACAATCAGCACAGTAAGTTTTCTACATTTTCAATTTCCATGTTTTCCCCGTAATCACTTTACAATACTCCTTCATTGCTGCAGGAGACATTCCAGCTGCAAACCATGTGAAGAAAATCAAACTTCAATAACAAAAACTTTGAAATATGCAAGTCTAGTTAAACAGACCGACTATATGGACACTCGGAAAATTTCATGCGTATTTGAGTTGATGTGGAAGTCTAAAATTTTGACTTTTAGAAACTTGACTCCTGTCTCTGAGTAGTTTGAAAATATAACGCCGTCTCCATTGAGAACATCCAGAATCACAGCCCTTTTAATACATTGAACTAAATTTATCAATTATATTTATTCATTTCCTTGTATGTATTTTCTAAACAATTATCGTTTAATAATAATATTATAATATTTTTATTGTTATTTTTTAAGATTCATAAGTTATCGTGATTCAAAACTCACAAGAATCCTTCAGCCTTCTCTTGGCGGAAATTCTCTCACTGCAATTATTTGTGCTGTTACACCAGCTTCTGCAGATGATACAGACAGTACATTGAGAGTAAGGAATATTTTTGTCTACAGACACTGTCTTTGCTTCGCTTTTTTCACTGTCTTCGCTTTTATGAATTGTTAGAGAATTTAATATCAGAATACATGTCATACCTTATTTAATATTTGAAGTTAAAAAGCGCTAAATTGTTACAGCAATGAAAAGAAAAAATTACACATTATTTACCGGGCAGTCATTATTGCCAATTGACTGAACTGAAGGTCTATAAATTGGTAGTCCCGTTTTTAAATCGCCCAATGCCCGAACAGTAGCCTACTTGTTCGTTTTTTAATTTTTGGCACGCAATTTATTGGAGTATGCACTTTGCGGCCCGTTTTTAGGAGGCGAATATATTTGACAGCATTTAACTACTTCACTATGTAAATGTTAATTTCTCTACTGGAAATGGAACTCCATAAATGAAATTGAGAAATCTGTAAATTACTTATTACTTCTCATTTACAATAATCCTTATATTTTCTAACAGTTCGCTAGCAGTGCTAAGAAGATCAAAAACAAACCTCACGTGAATGAAGTTTTATCTGATGAAGCTTTGTTGTACAGACAAAAGAGGGAAATCAATCAGTTGAAAAAGAAAATACAGATGGTAATAATTTTATTTTACTTTCTTTGTGTAAAAATAATTCATTTTATGTTTGGGTTTAATGATTCTATTCAAACGAAGCTCAGAACAAGGCTATAAGAAACCAGTGTTGGCCAAAAGTTTTTAAACTGCAGGCCGTAGTAGGTCAAGTCCAGTCACGGGTCATCGTAGTCTCCTAGTTCAAAGTTGAGTCAACCACTAAGTGAAGTCTAGTTGGTTACGAGTCCTGTTTAAAATTCTCGTAACCAAATTCAGATTATGTTAATCTGTGTTGCGGAGCACAAACAATTATCTAGCACAATATTCAAAATTCTGGCTTTTGATTGGTTCTTCTATCAGTCTTGATATCCTTCTACCAATCGTTTAGCTTCAACTCAATTCTGGTAAGAAACAAACTGCGGAGCTTGAAACGATGTTGGAAGAGAAAGACAAACTTCAGAAAGAACAAGAAGAAAAAATACAGACATTGAAAAATATTATTCTAGTCTCAACACAGCCTGCTGATTCAAAGGTATTATCGTAGTCTATATAGAAATGTTCGAAATTAAATATGGGTGCGGTTGCCCCATGCAGCGGTTACCAAACCATAATTGGGGAGCAGGAGACGTGACGTTTTGTTGGAGCTTAAGTCAAACTTATTACTATAGTAGTTGGAGCTACCAGAAATTTTTGCGACTGCAGCTTTCAACCATCTGAGTGTTTTTTTTTTACAAATTTTTTAATACTTTACATAAAAATGATAATCTGTAATTTTCGGTCTATACTTTTTGAAAAAGGTTCGAGTTGAAAGTTCAATTTTTAAATTTCAATTCCTTCCATCATGGTCTTGAGTCACACTGCCACGAAGTTGCATTTAGGCCAATCATATTAGTGGTCATTCTAAATAATGGCAATGGCTAAGTAGCAGGAGCTGCAGCCCAGCTTTGAGGTAAAAATAGTCTTCATGGCTGAAATCAGAGCTTTTGCGAATTTCAACCCTCCAAAGCCCTTGTGAAAATTTCATGCCAAAATCCTCACCTTGGTGTAGCAAATTGGTAATGAATCGTCATTTTAGTTATTCAAATAACGAATTATATGAATAAGCATTATTAACAACCTTCATTAATACACTTCTCAGCGCCAGAGAGCCATAAGAAGAGAGACATGGTGTCCTGGTAAACTTGCTGCAGCGCCTAGATCACCACGAATGGATGCTACTCTTATGAATCAATCCTCTTGTGAGTATCGAGTTAGTAAATGTAATTTGTCATCTGCTCGAAATTAGGGTTCCATTCTTTCACTAAGAGGTGAAGTAGAAGCATTTCTGATCGAAGTTATGAAAGTGTATTAACACGTCAGTAAATGATGTGCGACTTTCCCTTTTTTTTTAAGTTAGAACATTTCTGCACACAAAATGACTTGATTCAATTTTGTATTGAATATTTAAATTTTGACAAATAAGCAGAACTCGATGGGTGAAATTCATACTTGATTCCAAATGCGATTCCAAACAACTCATTGAGGATTATACAAATTTTGAGGACTTAATTAAGCTGTTGTGTATGTGTACAAAATATTGAGTACGGTAGGTATGAGACCCCAAACCCAGAGTAGGAAGGCAATTCGAGTCAACATACTATCCAAATTTTGAGTCTATTTACTTACAAATAAAGTCTCACTGGCAGTTAGTTGAGTACCACGTCGAGTCCAACTCGAGTATCAGTGACTTGATCGTACGAAACACTACTAATCGTTTTCAAATAGTGTCAGGTATAAATTGGTATACTGTTTCAACTAATTTTATTATAATAAATAATTTGTTTTTCTTCTTCAGTTTATCAAAAACTTGATCAAACAGTAATTTCTGCTGAATATGAACCAATTAAAAAAAGAGCTCGATTTTTTGACTTACCAACAACTACAGTAAGTACAGAAGTTTAAATGATTTCGCATAAAATTCAACTATTTGAATTGAGACATTTTTTCTTTCGTTTTAATTCTAGACTAGGATTCGAAGGGCATCTACTTTGACTTAATGTTTATGGGGCTGTCTTCAAATATGGGCACTACGAGAAGTGCAACCCTTCTTTAATCGTTGAGAATGCTTAAACAACTTAATGCTTTTGAGTTTACACAAAAAAAAATTTAACTATAATTATCATCTTTGTTGAAATTCAACTTTACAGCCCTTCTTACCACATTATCATCACTGAATTAAAATTAACTAATGTTTTTGTCTTTCTCTATTCTTTAGAAATCAGCTCAACAAGAAATTAAAGTAAATATAAAGCATGAATAAAGTAAAACTAACAATAGCAATTTTAGTTGTAGCAATCATTGAGACCAGTTCATGATAATTAATTTATTCACCTTTTTTACTTGAAACTTGAACAAATTTGTGTATTATTATTGTCATTGGTATATCGTATTCTCAGGAACAACATTCTATTTTAAAGAAAGCAAAAGTGAGGATAGATATTAATTAACGGTGGCATGAATAATTTTAATCGTAACTGTATATTGTATATAGTGGAAAATAATAGCCGTCACTCACTATAAAGATAACTTACTAATTAAGAAAATATGAGTAAATCAAAATTACAAACCTTTAACAATATTTGCTAACTGCCAGGAATGTGCGCATCGAGCTCCATATTTAAATATGTTTGAAATTGGTTTTATTTGATGTAGTGAATTCTGAAATTTAGGAATGATTTATAATATTTATTTACATTTGATGGTTTTTCATTTCAAGTATTTGACATCTAATAGATAGCAGAAAAATAAACTTCATTCGACAACTAACACTTTAATAGAAATAGGGAACCACCCAAAACGATGCTTATTTCCACTATTCTACATCACTGAAATTAAGTTCTTTTTGATTTTACAATGGTGTGTATTAATTTCTGTATAAACAAGATCCAATTTAATTTATATATTCCACATTCGGTAATATTCCGAATGGTTGATAATTCAATTTTGGCCATCCCTGATTGCTGCATGACATTGTTTGGGCATACTTAAATTGTAGTCCATTTCTACAACTTGAAAATATAAGCTTGGATAATACTATTAACTTTTAAAGAATATCTGTCAATGCTTTCAACAATTCAGATTTTTCCTGAATTCTTTCACTGACAAATATGGATTATTTGTCGTAATTTAAGATAATTCATCCTTTTTCAGTTCTTTATTCCCTTTTCTGTTCTGATTTCTTCACTCTTCTCGTTTGGTATTCGTCCTGTAGCCAATATTTCAAATGAGCTCTCCATATAGAAATTGCTGCATGCAGAGAAACTGTTTTAAACCAAATTACAAAAAGCGTCGGAGAAAAATATTCGAAAAACTGCAATGAAACTTTTAAAGCAAAAACTTACAGAAAATTTGATCGCAAAATTACCTACCGTAATCATTTATTTTGGCTGATGTTAATTTTTTGGCCTTCTTTTTAGCCGATGACGCCAGGAACGAAGTTACGAGCTGATGAAGCAAGCGATAAATTTGAAACATTGGAAGATGAAGTTGTGAGAATGAGGAAAAGACAAGAAGATTTAGAAGACGAGTTATTAGAAGTGAGAGCAGCAAAAAATAAACACCTGCAGGTCTGTATTTTTATGTTTTATATTGCGCTCTTTTGCGTCTTTTGCTACAAACAAGAAAAGCTCATATAAGGAACCTACGGACTCTGCGGGCTTTTCGTTTACTTATTAAAATACTGACTTGGCTAATTTTGTAACTGCCCAAAAAAGCAATAACATAAATAATAAAAATTTTATTTCACTCGTGACAATAAATCAGTAAGTAACAATGTGTTTTTTTGTTTTTATTTTAATAAATTAGTGTGCGGCTTCCTAAACAATAGTCAACCCCTTCAGGGGCTCAATAACAGGAAAAGTTAAAGAACCCCTGGTTTAGAGAACTGGAATCTTTTTGTTGGGCATTATCTACCCAATTTATTACAATTTGGCTAAAGGGGTGTGCATGAGATTTAAACTCAAGAACCCGATGGCAACACAGTTGAATCTAACACAGAAGCTACGAATAAAATTTTTGTCTATCAGAAGTCGAAAGTTGGAGCCAGAGCCATTTTAGAAATGGATTAGAATTCGAGGTTGAAAATTTTTTCCGACTCTGCAGCCGGAAAAGCCTATATTTTTTTATACTTCCCACATTTGAAATTTATTTGTAATGATTTTCTATACCCTATAGGAGCGAGAATCACTCAATCTCAAAATGATGAGAATGCAGGGAGAAATTACTGCTCAACGTGAGACACTCGACGACGTCATTGAGGAGAAAAATGAAATTGAAGACGAAAAAAAAAAACTAGAATCAAAAATTAAAGATCAAAATTTGAAAATATCTGATTATGTACGAAGAGAAAGTCAGTGGGAAAACTCAAATCCTGATATTAGAGGTTCGATCATTTCTTTCAAGTTCACCCAAATTTTACAGGAGTTTTGAAATAGGATAGGTAAGACTGGCTGGTAGTTACCAGTTATTTGGGCACTCCAGAAGTATGTGTACCAATATGGAGATAAATAATTTTGTTCGCCTACTTTACATCAAGTTGTGTAAAGGGACTAAACCTATTAACAGGGGGATATTCACTTGGCTAACACAGACAGTCTCTGAACTCATAATAATAACTCATAACTAAAATAAGGAAAATTGGAATAAAATTATCGCCTAACCCTAACCTGGTACACATACTACGGGGGTATCATTATTCGTTAGATGCATTAACGGTGGAGGAAGCGATAACCGACCAGCAGTAATAAGAATGTACTAACAAGAAATAGATATGTCTATATTGTCTTGTATGTGAGATCAGTAACAGTAAATAGGGTACATTTAGCACCAATTGGCCATCCCTGAGCACGGGACGTAAGAAAACTTTATTATCCTCTACGACATAACTCGACCAAAATCAATAGCCATCTGGTCCGTGATATGATGAACGCACATGCAAAATTGGATTGGGTGGAGATTAAACCCCGGTTTCTTGAGTTATCGCTTGCATCTAACAGACAGGAAAACAGACAAAGATCGATAAACAAGATCGACAAGTAATGATATTTTTACATCATGCACTCGGTCTATTACTGAATCTGTGATAATATTTTTTTTCGTCCTTGGTATACATTTTTGATCCCGGTCTGTGTCCAATAACAAAAAATATGGTTTTCGTGAAAATTTTTCCATTGGACATGTCCGGCTTCAACCAACACATGACCTCTCTAAATCCTAAATTGCCCTTAGTAACTTCCATAATACCATTAAATTGCCGACTCGTTTCCTTTTTTCCTCGTATTTATTTTTTATATATTTATATTTAATCTCATTTGTATCCACCTATGATGAACTTATATATAGCACATACACAAGGGTCGGGAGCCTAGATGACTGTAATCGGTCTTGCACACCGACCCGCACAAAGCAATAATCAATTACTGTGGAGTATTATCGTTATTGTATTATGTTTATATTAGTGTTGAATTGTTGATTTTGTTCTTGTGGCAATAAATCTCTCTCTCTCTCCTCTAACTCACGGTGTTTACAAATGTACAAAAAAATTTCCGTTATGTTGGTAATTTTACGTTATCGGACGTGAATTTGTCCTATGTTTGAGTATGTACTGTTTTGTTAAATATTTAGGTTGTTTTTGGCGTGATCGCTTTCCCCTGGTTATTTTTGCTCTGCATACATATTTTTCTGATCAGAGCCTATTTTTTTCACAGCTTTGCGGAATGAAAACATGGACTTATGCGACCAGTTGAGAGAAGTTTGTAGTCAGAATCGGAAGTTGCAGGAGAAAGCAGATGAAGAACAAGATTCTATTGAATATCTCAAATCTATGTTAGAGGAGGTCAACAAGGATGCTAAAGAGAAAGAAAAATCTTTGGATTCTCAATTAGAACAATATAAAAATCAGGTAAGGTGGACAGTTATGCTAATTTTTTGGAGTCCTATCGATGCATAATCAATTCTTATTAACTGCATTTGTATTGTTTGTCTGTCAGTCATATTATGAGCAAACCTAGTTTTCTCGGATTCTGAACTCTGAGAAACTGTAAAAAAAAATGTACTTTATTTATCATCATTAAAAGTCTGAAATTCTGACACCTAACTTCAAAAATTTGACTTATGACTCCGGGTGTTCGAAATTATGACTTTTCCCTTCGGCAAAAATTTGGCAAACCTCGACTCCACAGCTCTGACAGGTACAGAGCCTTGATTAATTAAGAGCTACGTATCCCATAAATGATCAAAAGTCTTTCTGAGGGAACGAGACCAACCAAACAAGTTTTTGATGTTAATGTCGAAATTTGGTGATTTTTGTATTAGTTTTACGACACATCCTAACCTAATACCTTTCAATCATTTTAGGTTTCTGTTCTTCAAACTCAATTGGAAGCAACTTTTGCCAATAACAGTCATTCCCCCGTGAGTATGACAAATTTATTCCAATGACAATAAACAATTTTATTTCTATCTTATATAGCATATTTTTATAATTTCACATCTTTTTGAGAAATATGGTTTTATAAGTTTTGAAATCACCTGAAAAAAAATCTCCATTAATGGCATAGCTTGCTGAAAAGCTTCAATACGAATCTGGATGAACCAGAGTATCAAACATTCATAATTGGAAATGAGGAGGAACCGATTAGCTAAATTGTTGTTGTTGTTGGGGGATTGCGGTTGTTTGGAAATATCAAAAAAATCTATATCTATTCTATTTTGTTCGAACTTTACTTTGAATCCTATACTACGTAATATTGCACCAAGAATTTTGCTGTTTTATTTTAATGAAAGTTGAGAACTATTTATTCTGTTGCTGGACTGTCCAAACTCTTCCAGCATACTCTGTACTCTCTGGCCTTGATGTGATAGGCCATAGGTTCCCAAAGTGCTCCATACAGATCTCCAGGGCTCCGCGAGAAAACCTAAGGGCTCTGCGAGCTATTCGTTTACTCATGGAAATACTGATTGGCTAATTTTGTAATTGTCCAAAGAAAGGATAACGGCATTAATTAAATTTGACAACAGTAGCGTCGGTTCGAGGACCCCTGTGACGAAGGCCATATTTGAATGATCAGTTAATAGGAGGTTACATAGGCTTCTGCTGTACTGCGGTTAGTCATTTGACTTTGTGTCTGTATATTTGAGCATTGCTCTCTTGTTTCCTTAAGACTGCTCTCGTTGATGTCAACAAACTCGAAGACGAACTCAAAACCACAAAAGCTGAACTTGATGAAAAAAATTCTGAACTGGAGGAGCAAAAACATAAGAATCTTCTTCTTACATCTAAGCTGGAGGAAGAAAAATCTGAATTCGAATCTCACCAAGAGGAAGATTCTACAAATAAAGATGAAGAAATTGAGAATCTTCTTAAGATGTGGGAAGAACAAGTTCAGGAAAACGCAAATCTCAAGAAACAACTGGAAAGCGAAAAAAAAGATTCTGGTAGGTTATTGAAAAAATACTGCAACACTATACTCAACAGGTTGCGTGACTATTTAATGTGGCAAAAGTTATAAATCTGATATCGTTTTTGGGAAATCATCACCAGTTTTTTGTAAGCTCATATTCTTATGGGTCTCGCATTCCAAATTTCATCTAATATAAGATTGGTTGTAGTTTTGCTATTGTCTTTCTGGAATTCGGTAGATTTGATAGGAAAAAATGATCGGAGTGATGGCTTTTTATCAGCGTTTAATTCTATCAAATTAGCAAATCCAGAATGATTTAAAGATACTCAAAACTGTGCTCAATGTACAATATTTTTATAGAACGTTTTCACATATTTACTCTGAACAAGGCTCTGTGAAGCAGATGCTTTTTTTGGGAAGAGCTACTATTTTTGGAAGAAAACCTAAAACTGAGATTTTCCAGTGCCAGTATAGTTAAAGTTTTAATCACTTCGCCACTCAAGCACCAACTAAAATTCACTCTTTGACAGTTCTTGCGACTGGAAACGAAAAATTGTTGATGGATATTGAAAAACTGAAAATCGAGATTGGAAAACTCGAACAAGAAATTGTTTACAAAGATCAAGAAATTTCTGAACAGAAAAAGTAAGTAAATTACCCGGTTTAAGTTAAAAAGTTGAAAACTCAAGGATGTATAAATTGAATCAAAAAATTCAATTACTACCAGAATTTACATTTTTCGGTGAAGTAATCCCTAATTCTGAAAAAATCTAGCACAGAGTTCCCTGGGTTTTCCGCGGGACAGGGTTATAAATTGGTCGCCATGGCGATCTTGGCTGTACTTCGGCGCCTCTTTGTCGTAAATTTGTTTCCAAACAGACGGAGAGGCCTCGTGTCATTGTATTTCAAATAAATTTATTTGGGGCTATCACAGAAAAATACGTGAGTGCTCTTTAAAACTGATAATCTGATTTCTAATCAAAATCTAAAGCAATATTCAGCGAAGTATTTTAATAAAGAGAAGTCAAAAATAATTTTCTTTTTCAAACTCAAATCAATGCATCCAATAAAACTTACTTACTAATCCTTTATCCGACATGGACTGGTAACAGGACGAAATACCTTGGTTCCCCATATGATTAAGTCATTTTATCAGCTTTCTTCTTTGTAAATTCCATCCTATCCTAAATTTCACCCTTTTAGTCTGTAAAAACATCGTTCAAAATCACGAAATTCTCTTATCATAGCTGTATGAAGCATAATTTTGGTCACTCATCTGGTCAATGAGATGAATTTTCCTATGTTAATGCACTTTAAAAGTCTACTTCAGCTTGTGTACAGCTTGTGGCTCTGTTTTATCTTTGTTCACGATTTTTTTTCCTTATTATAATCATAATGGTGATTTTGTCTCTGGAAATAAATATGTTTTTTTCGTCTTACATTTTTCCTAAAATTAAGAATTGAAAATATAGACGATTTGAATATTCGATTTGTTTTTGACATCACAATATTTTTTTTATCAAGATCTCTGGAACAGAATTCCGCAGACAAAAGTCAAACAATGAATGAATCTGTTAAAGTTGGTGAAAAGACGTTTGGTGAAGCTCTCGGTCAATGTGAAGTACTAATGGAACAAAGAGACGATGCCAGAAATAATTGTAAAATATTGCGAGAAGAGCTTGAGAAATTAAGGTATTTGTTTTTATTTTTGTGCAAGAGAAATATTTTGCCTAAGGTTGTTATTTTATGGATATTTCTCATAGCAAGGTCACGCCCACTCACTCAGAAATAAAAAAGATTGACATCTAAGCAAAGTTACAGGTGATCACGAGAGTGTTGAGAGCTTTTGATTCATCGAATATAACAGTGTTATTTTTTCCTCGCAACCCACCCCTTGCACTGGTCAAATTTTTTTTACGCGACCTTCAGGAAGTAGAATAAAAATAAGGTAAAACTTATTAATACAGAAAAAAAATGATAAAATTGACAACGCCATCATACAGTGCATGTACTTGCATATTGTCGGCTTTCTCGCACAAAAGATTGAATCCCGGCTCTATTTCGGTGATTCCTCGGCCCCCATTGAGACCTTTCGTGACCTGCCGGGGGAATGGGACTCCCAGTTTGAAAAGTCTTGACCCCTGGCGTAACAGCATTCCTATCAATCGAATCAAATTTTGTATATTTTCGCAAGTCAATATTTATGAAACTATATTCCAATGGATAGTGAAAATTTTTATTTTACTTTTTTCAGAGCTGAAAATGAATTAATGAAATCACCAAACCGACATACAGATTTGAATGAATCTGTGAAGTTCGGAGAGAAATCAATGAATGATGCACTTGCGGCTTGTGAAAACTTGATCGAAGATCGAGACCAAATAAAAATGGAATTCGATGATTTCAAATCAGAATTTGAAAAATTGTAAGTAGATTATCATCACCTTGTCGACAAAACTTTCATGAAAAAAATTTTATCAAATGGATATTCTCATCAAAAACTTAGAATAAAATAAAAATTATGCAATATAATGGAAATAGGTACTTTAATAAGTCAATGGTTATCTGCTGGACTGTGAATTCACAGTCGATTTGATGAAAAATTCAAGTCAGGGTTGGGTCTATATTTTTTCAACTCAAATCTGCGAGTTTGGGTTGATTATAAATTTCCTCTTGATTCAACATTCCCTTGTACGGGTTTATGATATATTCATCTCTATCCATCTGTAGAAAATCTGAATGTGAACAACTGAAAAAGAAAATTGGTGTCATGGAGGAACATGAAGAATTTATACAAACTGAAAAAGAAATCTTGTTTGAAGAAGAGGTATATCTTATTAATCTATGTTTTTTAGTTTTTGCCGTAAATTATTATGTATAAAGTAAATTCTGAAAGATATTGAAAATTTGGCGCTCTAATTTGTGTACCAATATGGAGGTAACTAATTTTGTTCGCCTATTTTACATCAAGTTGTGTAAAGGGACTGAAACCTATAGGCAGGGGGTATATTCACTTGGCTAACACAGACAGTCCTCGGACTCGTAATAGAACTAAAATAAGGAAAATCAGAATAAAAATATGGCCTAACCCTAACCTGGCACACATACTACGAGAGTACCGGATATGGTATGCTAATTTTAACCGAAGAGTAGTTTTTGTAATATAAGAAAAAATGTTTAAAAACTAATTTGGTTGTTTTTATAATGCTAAAATTTATCTTTTTTCACTTCATTTACAGAAAGAGAATCTTCAGAGAATTACAAACTTACAAGAACAAATTGAAGAACTGAAATCTGAAATAGAAAAACTTCGAAATGATAATTCAAACAGTTCTGATACACAAACAACTACTACTGATAAGGTTCTTTTTACCATCTTTACTTCACAGGTTTATGTTTACCATTCTCTTTATCAGTGTTGCTAATTAATTTAGATTGCGCTGCGGAATATCAATCCATTTTCTTAAAAAATGATTTCTACATTTTGGATTAAAAGATGTCATAAAACGATAAAATCTTTAAAATTATTATTGGGAAGAAAACTAGATATCATTTAATATGCACAAAAAATAATCTCACGTTTAGCATCAACTGAATATACACGTATTGTAAGACTATTCCTGGTTGATGAAGTCAAATTTTCTTTTCAGTGCATTATGTCCTGGATTAAATAAAGTGAATGTGTCGATAGTTTGAGAACCATTTATTTTCCCCTTTTTTATCATTACATCTGTTCGAATTAGAACCCTGTATGACTGTATGTTTTTCTTAGGCCTGTTTTCATGATAACTATTTGTAAAAAATTTCTGCAATTGTCTTCAATCATTTCTCTAATATTAGGATTTAGAAGCTGAGCTTCAACACTTACGAGAAGAAATCTGTAATTTGCTTAAATCATCTGAAGATGCTCAAGTTATGTTACAAGAATCAAACAAAAATCTTGCTATTGCTAATACTACAGTGGATTCACAGAAAGTTGAAATTGTAAGTTATTGATAATTGGGCGCATGTTCACTAAACGACGTCGTAAGTACTCCTTTTTGGCGTGGCACAACCATTTTTGCACATGTTATTCCTTACCCCCACTTGGCTATGCTATCTAAAAATTACGTCACAATCACTTAACAGAGCTTGCCAAAGTATAGCTACGATCGTCCGAAATGGCATCTGTGCCGACGATAACGAACTCACTAACGCCAGTGATCTATCTCATATCGGAGTCGTTACAACGAGAAAATGAGAGAAACAGCTTGCTCGATTTCAGGCGATTATCTGCGAGTCTTGGGCGACAGCGAGTATAGTTTGGAGGGCCTTACATACTACAGTACTGTGACGTCGTAGTGACATAATTTTTGAATGACCTAGTCGGGTGGGCTTTGGACTAACATGCAAAAATGGTTTTGTCACACTAACTAGAAGTACTTACGTCGTGTTGTGAACATGGCTCGAAAATTGTATTGAATTTTTTCGTATTTATTCATTCTACCAGAAATGATGGTTTATTATCCAATAAAGCAGTCATTCTCAACCTTTTTTGATCAATTCACTCCTGTGCCTATTTTGTGACGCTTGATTCCCCCTTAAGATAGAAATCCCAGGTTCAAGCGTCTGATAGTTCACCAGTTAATCCAAGATGGCCACCTTTCTCTCAAGACATAAAAGGTCTGGGGAAAATATTCTTTAACTCTTTTTTTTCCGTATGACGAATATATTTGTACTCCTCCATCCTTGGTCATATAACAATATAACAATAATAGTTATTTTCGGGCTATTTTACATTTATGTTTTGTGAAGTATTCCCGCACTAACTAAAATCATTTTAGGCATCCAACTATGATCCATGCTTGATCCGTCAACATTTTTTTTTTTGTAAATTTTTTATTTTACTACTAAGTGAATTTTATTTGTGTAGGTATTTCAAAGCTTAGAGATACACGAAAGTATTTGTCATTAATTCAAAGATAAGTCATTTGAACGAGCAGGAAACAATTTCGAGCACATAATAAACAAACGAAGATTCCAGACAACTATCGTAAACTTGCTCTCACATAACATTGATTATTTCGCGTTTCACTTGCGAAGCTCAGTCTGGTTTTTGTGCAAAGATTACGTATCGCTCGTTCAGGAGAGCTCTCGAAATCTCGTTTTGTGTAGCACGTGTTCACTGCAGCGATAAGAGAGAGAAACTCATTCTCAAAATTTTTTGAAATTTCTTTTTTATGGTCGGACGGTTTGTGCTACGTCATTTGGGTGCGTTTTAGTAGAAAGATGCGAAAATAAGCTTTTTAAAGAGATATTGGGGGCGTTTCTTGCACGTTTGATTAACTGGTCATTACATATTATAAAATGGTACAAAAAGCCGGTTGTAACCAGCGGAAAAAGAGGGTTTAGAATCCTGAAAATGAATGAATTTTTCATTTTTTATCAGGAAAAATTAGAAAAAGAACTGAAACGTGTTAAGTCAGATGTTGATAGCTTCGACACAATGGCTGAATTAACTAAAGATAAATACGAACGAAGAATAAAAGAACTGACTGACCAATTGCAGAATGCTTACAATCAACTCGGCAGTGATGTTCCACAAGAAGGTGAAATACTTGATTATTTCAATATTTCTGATTGGTGAAATGCAGATTGTATGAAAAATGGTCATAATTATGACATCACAATTATTAATATTCTACTTGTCATTGAAGTTTCATCAGTCATTCCTACATTTTCTGTATAGTTTATTAGTAGTTAGGATTCTGTCAGGTGATTCAGCAGGTTCCTGGCAATTGAAAATTTAAATTATTTTAAAGCTAAATTTAGATAAATTTGAAGATTTACAATAAAATTTAGCATAATATTTATATTTACTGTGTGAATTTTACACGAAATGAACAACAATTTTGATATTTGAATTTTTATCAAAATAACGTTACTTACTCATCATCAACTAACCACCACTGAAACTAACTCACTCAGTGATGTACTCGACTCAATCCTCAGAATTTAGGGACTCAGGGACTCTCACTACTTGTATCCAGTGAATAGGTTTATATGCAGTGTGTCCAAAGAATTTCAAAAATTTTATAGTAATGACAATTATAAGTTTAAATAAATTTTATTGTATGATAAATGAAAGCCACATGCACAATAAGAACTATCAATAAACAAAGACAAAGAAATTTTTGATTCAATTTTTATTTAAAACCGGGCGAAATTTTTTGGACACTGTATATTTATAAATTATACTTAATACACCATGTATTGCCTTGTTTTATTATCTTTATTTTTGAACAAAATTCAATAAAAATTCTCCCCCATTTCGCAGTGGAGGCTTACATAAGGACTTTGCTTTAAGTGAATATGTGTAACTTTTCTGTTCAAACAGTCGCTGTTCAGGATTCTTCTCAATTAGATGAGCTTAAGATCCAATTAGATGAAAAGGAATCTGAAATACAGAATCTCAATGGGAAGTTGCAATCCTCTAATGCCGAAATGGAAGAGATTAGAACACAACTTGATATTTGTGAGGTAATAAAAGTAATTTTTTAAATAACCTATATGTTGATGAATGATGGAAAATTCTCGATGACGAATAACGCTACACAGTGATGCTTTGGAAGGAAATATAATATCAGTTTTTTCCAATTTCAATCTTGCGACTACATGACTATTTAGATTCATTAACTAATTATAGGCCTATTGCCTAATTCAATTTCCTTTTTCTCGCAGGAAAAACTTTCCAAGATCTCTCAAATTGATTATCTGGAGCGAGATTCAATTCAGCAAACTAATGAGAATTCCGAACTAAACACATTTTTGCTGGAGAAAAACCTCAACTTGGAGAGTCTCAAATCGAAGTTAGAGGAAGCAGATTCTCTTATTGCAGAAAAGATGAAAATTCTCGAAGAGTGTGAAGCAGGATCCAAGAGAATCTCTGAGCTGGAGGAAGAGCTTAGAATATTAAAAGAAGATGTTGAACATGTTGCTGAGATGAAAATGAAAATTGAGGAATTGGAAAAAGCAATTTGTGAAAAAGATGCTGAATTAGAAGAATCGAAAACACATCTGGATGAGGCTAAAAATGATGAGGATGTAAGCAAGCTAGATTCTCTCACCCATCTTCTGCAAGAAAAAGAATCTCAAAATTCATCTATACTGGAAAAGATGACTGAAATGGAGTCCGTTCTCTCCCAGAAGGATGAAAATATTAAAATCTTGCAAGAAAACTTGGATGCGGCAGTCGGGAAGCAGGAGGAACTTGCAAAACTACAGCAAGATGTTTTCCTAACTTCTTTCAGCGAGGACTGCACTGAGAAAGTACTCAGAGAAGAACTCGCAAATGCGAGAAGAGAATTGTCTGAGATGAGAGAAAAGTGAGTTGTTTTGAGAGTGTCTTTTTTTATGGTTTTCACATTGCAAGAATAAAATGTTTTAATAACCATTAACAGATGTCTAAATGGGTTTGATTTCAGTCAATATGACTTATGCTGGTCTTGTAAGTGTTAAGACAATAGTAGAATATTGAAAAATAAATTTCAGTCAAAGTCATCCAGTTTTCTTTACGTTTCATTCTAGTTATTCAAAACTCCATACCAAGACGGAGCATGCACAAGGAGCGTTGCTTGCTGAAACAAATCGTGAATTAGATCAACAAAGATTGCTACAAAGATCAGAACAACAAAGAAGAGAATCGACTCTTGAATTTGCAAATGAAAGAGAATTGTCAAACAAACAGATTAACGAATTGTTATCTAAAGTTAGTGTTCAATTTTATAATACAGTCTTTTTATTTGAGTAGGTTGTCGTCCATTACTGTATTGATTGGTATACATTCTTTTCTGTCTGTCTGTCTGTCTGTCTTGTCTGTGTAAAATTGTCTTGTCCTACTTGCTAAATCAATTTAATGCACATATCAAATGACCTTGTCGAATGACTGTACAGATGCAGATGATTTATTTAACATAATATTTGTCCGTCTGTCTCCCTCCTTTTGTCTGTCTGTCCGCTTTGTCTGTTTAAGTCTGTCTGGATTTACTTTCTAAATTAATTTAATGCAAGCTTGTGAAATGGCAGGTGCATGCGACAAATTTTGCAAAGGTATCGTTTGTCTGCTTACATCGTCTGTCTGTTTATATCTATCTTGTTTTACTAGGTATAAATAACTTAATGCAAGTATTAAAATAGGCTTTACAGATGACTGCATATGCAGGTGCCAAATTAAAAAAAAAATCGTCATCACAAAACTGCAATATTTACAGAATATTACAATAATTTTGAATATATTATATTTTCATTTGGATACCAACCAATCATTAGATTTTGTTGTAACTGAATTCATCCAATATCCCTCTTTGTGTGTTATAATATCTCAGTTTTAGCTACGTAAAGTAGCTCTCCAATGGCATCTGAACCGCTATTTAGCTTTTGCCAATTGATTCATATTTTTAACAGTTGATAATGTGTGATTAAACTTGTGCGACTCAATCTTATTTTGCAATCACAATTTTTGTAAAATACAGTCTGACTGCCATTTTCAATTGTATTGGCTAATCATGACTAAGATTTGATAAATTGCTGAATATTCAATAAAATATATTTTTCTTTTACTTTGCTTTGCATTAGATAAGTGATCTTCAATCATCATTATGCAAATCTAATGTTGAGAAAGATATTGCGACAAGACAAAGTGATAAAATGACAGAAGAATGTGAGTTCCTGAAGCAACAAGTGAGTTTTTTTTAAGCGAATTTGCTTGAATCATTTTAATATGCACTCACTCAGAAGTATAGGAGACTCATCTCTGAGCAAAGTTATCGACAATTACTGAAATGTCAAAAACTTTTGAATTGGTACTCCCGTAGTGTGTGTGGCAGGTTAGGGTTATATTCCGATTTTTTTTTCCTTATTTTAGTTCTATTATGAGTTCGGAGTCTGTCTGTGTTAGACAAGTGAATGTCTGTCCATAGGCTTCAGTCACTTTACACAACTTGATGTAAAGTAGGTGAACAAAATTAGTTTCCTCCATGTTGGTGCACATACTTCTGGAGCGCCTTTGAATTTGCTCAAAGCAAGGTCCTACGTACTCACTCACAATTTCTGAAATAAAGAAAGACTCATCTCTGAGCAAAATCACAAGTGATTTATAATATGCCAAGAGCTACTGAAACTATACTGAATTATTAAATGCTGATTAAAAGATTAGAAGCCTTTTTATATCAGTAATTTTTCCAGATTTTCTGGACTGTGGGAAGTTTTAGCTTGTTGCCAGAAAAAAAAGTTGTATTTCAATCTTTTCCAATTCCCTAATTTGACTCGCCATGACTTGGCTAACACATACAGTCCCCGAACTCGTTATAGAACTAAAATAAGGAAAATCGGAATAGAATTATGGCCTAACGCTAAACTGGTACATACTAAGGGTAAGTCTTTTCCTTAATTTTGCAGCCGTGGGAATCACAAGAACTAGCTACACTGTGATTAAGCTCACTTCACTTTTTATATCGTTTTCAAAAACCAACCTGAACGAAATATCTCTTATTTTTAAGGTGAAAAATCTAGAAAACGTACACAATAATCAAACATCTGTGATTCCCCGCAACCAAATGATGGATCCTGATAAAATGGCCGTCAAAATCAAACAATTGTCTCTCAATCTTGATCTGACCAAGCAAACCTCTGGAAATTTGGCCACGGCGAATAAGAAACTTCAAGGTAGGTCTAAAATAGGCTTTGATGATATATTTTTTCAATTATGCGTCAGAATTATGAATTCCACAAAGTAAACTTTCAAGGGGGATAAAAGTAGTCAAAAGCCGCTACGAAAACTCAAAGTGATCGTTTGTTTCAGATGAAAACAAAAAATTGGAAAGTGAAGTCGTCAGAGTCATCAGTTTACAAGGCGAAGTCACTCGTCTTGAGGCTGTTCTGGAGCAGGAGAGACGAACTCGTCAAGAGGAAGTCTCAGGACAGAGAGCGAGAGAAAAGGAATCGTCTGAAATGAGAAACAGAATTATGGAATTACAAAAACAATTACGGGAAGTAAGTTCGGGATTCTTGTTACTAAGGTTGTTAGACTTTTTATTGTTACCTGATTGATATTTATTACTTTTCCAGATGGAGACTGATTTTCAAAAACAAACAAGAGAATCATCTGAGAATCTTTCTTCAATATCTTCTGAGAAAAAGCTTCTCCAGGATGAAGTGAATCTTGCAAAACAAACGATTTCTGCCCTTGAAAACACTCTTAAGGAAGTTCGAGAAAAAGAGGAAGAATATAGATCGCAACACGAAAAGATTCAGGCTGAATTTGGATCTACAAAAACGAATCTGGGGGATGCAGAATCTAAGATCCAGGAAGATGAACGAAACATTGAATCGCTCAAAGATCAACTTAATCATCTTACCAAGCTTTTAGAGAAAGAAAAAGAGAAGTTCAGTCAAGTGAACAACCAACAAACATTGCTGATTACTGAACTAGAATCTTTTAGAGAGGAATTGGAAAAGAGTAAGAATCTGCTCAAAGATGAGGAGAATAGGAATGACTTGCTTCGACAAAACCTGGATCAGGTTAAGGAAAAATTAGATCTCGCTCGTCAAGGCATGGATGATGTGAGATCAGAAATTTTTGCTCAAGAGAATTGTAAACAAGAGGAATTGATGAAAGAATTACGACAAATTCAGGATGAAATGTCTGATTTAAAAGCAGAAAAGGAAGAATTGGAAAATAGGATGCAGGATATGGATGAAAAATGGAAAACTGAAAAAACCGAGAAAGAGGAATGTGAAGTCCAGATCGCGAACATGCAGGAGCAACTCTCAAAGATGCAAGAGGAAAGAGATTCACTCACCACATTAAAATGTGAATTGGAAGATAAAGCTTGTGCAGCTCAAAATAGTATTGAACAATTGCAAAATGAGAAAAAGACTAAGATTCAAGATGAACTTCTAAAAAATGAAGAGAATCCTTCGAATAATCTCCAAGTAGAATCTGAAGATAAGATGTTGCAAATACAGGATGAACTTCGGGATCTTCAAAATGAAAAGGATTCTCTTATTGAAAAAGTCTCAAACCTTGAAAAAGAACGGGATAACCTGACTAATAAACTGGAGGAGATGCAGAATAAGGATGGACAAGAAGATGTAGAAGTAAATTATAAGAATCTCCAAGAGGAATATGATGCCTCATTAAAAGAGAAAGGGATGTTGCTTGCAAGAGCGCAAGAATTAGAGAAAGAAGTTCAGTTGAAAAATGAACAAATTTCTTCTTTTGAAAATCAATTGGAAAATGATGAAAAGACTGAGGAAACGGAGGAATCTTCTGTGACAAATGAAGAATTGCTGAATAAAATATCGGATTTGGAATCTGAACTGGAGGAAATTATTATGGCAAAAGAAGAGGCTTCGAGATTTCTTGAAGATGCGAAAGAGAATCACGAAAAGACTATCATAGAAATGAGTGAAGTGATAAAGAAAAAAGATGATGAAATTAAGATCCTGGAGGAAAACCTATCAAAAAATACCGAATCTGAATCTGTGACTGCAAAAGAAGGACTGGATGATTTGAAGTCCAATTTGACAGAAAAAGAGAGCGAGATTCTAGATTGTCGACAACAAATTGAGAGTCTTGAGGAGAAATGTGAATCCTTGCAGCAAGAGATTTCTCAACGAAAAGTGAGTAATAAAGACGATGACGGAATTGGATTTGCTGCTGACTTAGATCAAGAACTTATCGACAATCTTTACGATCAGGTAGCAGAACTGAAAATTCAAATCAATGAAAAAGATGAACAAATTGCTGAATTACTGAATTCTCTGGAATCTATGAAGGCAGGAAATACTCTCAGAACTTCTGATATAGAGTTACAACAAGAAAATGAGAATTTGAAATCAAAAATTCATGATTTGACAGAAGGAATGAAACTGAGAGAAGAAGAATTCAGTAATAATATTCAATCTTATTCTGAACAGAATGAAAAGTTGCTGAAAGAGATATGTGAAGGAAATCAATCCTATGAGATTTTCTCATCTGAAACGCTGAAACAAAAGGATGAGGAAATTCTGAACTTGAATGCTGAAATTGAAAGAATGAATTGTTCTCAAAAAGATCTTGACGAGAAAATATCAGAATTGTCAACTCGATTGCAAGAGAAGGTATCTGAGTTGAATGTTCTTCAACAAAAAACTACTGAATTAGAAGAAAAATCACAAGTAATGAAAAATAATCTTGAACAAAGAGAAATGGAATTATTGGCAGAGATTAAAAAGAAAACTGAAATAATTGCTTCTCTGGAAGCAATGAAAGAAGTATTGGAAAACAAATTGAATGATGAAAAGACGGACTATGAAAAGCAGGATGTTTCTCGAGATGAGGAAATTCTACTCAATAATTCTGGAAATGAAAGAAATGATGTTGAAAAGGATGAAAACAATGAAAAAACTCAAAATCTTCCTAACCTGGAGGATGAATTACAAGAAAGAATCTCAGAAATCAAGCTGAAAGATAATGAAATTGGAGAACTTCTCAAACATAATAAAGAAGCTCATTCGAAGATCTCAGAACTGGAAGCACTATGTTCCTCTGAGCAGGAGGCGATGTCTGAGCTAAAACGTCAGCTTCTTGATCTGAGCAAAAGTTTAGAGAAAGAAGATTCTAAGATTACTGAGTTGAAGAAGACAAAAACGGATTTAGAGGAAGAGCTTCACTCAATCAAGCAAGACAGAGAAAAAGTTCTGGAGGAAATTGGACAATTAAAACAGGATTTAGAGAAAAAGGATTCTGAAATTGACAAAGTTAGAGAAGGGCTCGGGATCCAAGAGAATCTCAACCTGGAGGAAGTGACGAGTGAAAAAGTATACCTGGAAGAAAAATGCGCTTGTTTGCAGGAATCTATCAAATCGATGGAAGAAATGATTGAAGAACTCAAGACCAATCAAAATGAATCTTACGCTGAGAATGAAAAGCTTCAAGAGGAGATTTCAGAGTTAAGAAAGACAAAAGATGACTTACAGATTCTCAAATCAGATCTGGAGGACCAACTGGATGAACTGAGCAAAATGCTGAAAAAGTATGAAGAAAGCGAGGATTCTAAGAATAAGGAAATTGCTCTTCTCCAAACAGATCTTGAAATTGAGAAAGAGAAGTCATCTAGTCTGGATTCAGAACTTAAATCTATGTTTGATATGATCCGAGACAAAGCATCCATGATGGAGGAATCTGCTTTATCGCGAGATGCTCTTGAAAAAGAAGTTAAAATTTTGAAGCAGGAGATCGCGGATTCAAATATAAAACTGGAGGAGAAAAATTTAGAGGAAGTTGGTAGGATTCAAAAAGAGGAAGAGTTGTCATATGAGAATCTTAGTTTGAGAGATTCTAAAGATTCTTTGACATCTGAATTGGAAGTTGCAAATAATTTGAATCTTAACCTTGAAAAAATGCTTCTTGAAACACAAAATAAAGTCAGAGAATTAGAATCTGGAATTTCGGAGATGAAGAATCTGAAGGATCCCATAGAATCTCAAAAGATGAAGTCTGCAAATCTTGAAAACAAGATGCAAGAAAATATTCAAGATTTGAAATCTCAGATCCTAGATTTGACAGAATCGAAAGAAAATCTCACATTTGAAATGAATGAAGCGAAATCAGAAAAATCTGCTTTGGAAGAAAAATTGAAAGAATTTGAAGAATCCCGATCTACTGATTTGGAACTTGAGAAAGCCACTCATCAAGAATTGTCTGAAGAACTCGAATTGTTGAAGGTGAGTGCGAGTCTCAGTCATAGAAGCTAGAGACAATGTCGCAATTATCTAATTTACTGTGCTCTATAATTCTATTTTTTAACTATGAATGTTAAGTGGTTAAACATTTTCTGTGGTCGGCGGCCCACAGTTTGCTGACCACTGGACTTGCAGTCCCCTAACTTTTATCATCCTCATAATAAGAAGCCAACAAATGAAAATAAAAGAATAATTGCATTTCAGTCAAAGGTAGTCATCGCGAACTGTGCCTAGTAAAAATCTTTGCACATGGCCCTCAGAAGTTTGCTCTGTGGCCCCCAAGGCGGGCCAAGTGCCTAGTTTGAGAAGCCTGTGATAAACCATAAATTTCTGTTTAGACAAAACTTGAATCTGCAATGAAAGAAAAGGAATTCTCTGGTCAAAATATCGAAAAATTGAAACTGGAAATGGTAGAATTATCCAAGAAACATGAAGATGAACTTCAAATCCTGAAATCTAAAGAAAATAGGAATTTGTCGGAGGTGAGGATTGTTGCTATTTTTATCTAATAAGATCTAAAAAAAGATTATGCTGCATTGAGATTTGGGTTGAAAGATTTGAATATTTTAGTTTGACATCCTAAACAATATTTGGTACTCCCGTAGTGTGTCTACCAGTTTAGGGTTAGACCATTTTTTTATTTCAATTTCCCTTATTTTTGTTCTATTTCGAGTTCGGGGACTGTCTGTGTCAGCCAACTTGAAGATACCCCCTGCCCATAGGTTTCAGTCCTTTTATACAACTTATGTAATGTAAACTGGGCGAACAAAATTAGTTACCTCCATATTGGTACACACACTTCTGGAGCGCCGACGAGTCAGCAAAAAATCTTGACTGGTCGTTTTGTGACTCGCGTGCCAGTGTTGCTTGGTCATCGCACCCATCTCAACAACATTCAATACACTCTTTACAATACCTAACCTATTAATTATATTTTTCTTCACAGCTTGAACAAATTAAAAACCAACTCAAAAACAGTGAGAAGAAAGCACATACTTGTTTGGAAGAAGTAAAAGGACTGTTATATAAAAAGGAATTAGAAGTATGACATCCAATCATTTTTTTTATACATTTAAAAAACATTTCATTTGTTTATTTACGATCTGCCAGAGTGTTTCTATTTCATTTTTTTTGCAAATGCTCAGCTGTTTTAGGTTATACCACCGACATGGCTATTGTGTCAACTGTCAAGAATTTATGTGGTCTTGGTTGACCGTGTATTAACTTTTTGTGAATTGGCGTGGAATTTTCATTCTGCTTAAATTTAATTCATTGTATTCAACAATATAATTTCCATTTATCTTGTTGGTATTGTTTGGAAAAATTCTTTGTCTCTACAGCTAATTCACCAAACAATTTCAAATTCCAATACTTCAGTATTTTTTTTATTCAGGTTCAAACATTACGATCTGAAGTTAACAAATGGGCTGTACGTCACGAAGAAGATAAATCAGATCTAGAGAAAGCTATTAAAGCTGCTAAGGATGAAATCTCTACACAGAATGAAAAGGTTTGTTTTTGGAACGAATCAATTTATTTTAAATTAATGTAGTACTTCCTGAAGGGCCTATTTCGTGGCCCCCAAATAACCGCTTCATGGATCGTCAGGAAAAATCCTGATTCAACCTCTATTATTTCCCCATATACCCAAAGATTTGAATGGGTTATATTCTTTTGTTGATTATGTATGTTCTATTGATAATATTTATATTTTTTACAGAATTCTCTTGAAGTATTCAAATTGGAAGAAAAGTTACAAAAAGCATATGGAGTGGAAAAGGTACGCCGCCATGTCTTGTCCATTTACCCATGTTACTTATTCATTTCATACAAGATTTGGACACAAAATGTTGATAGAATTTTTACTCATATTTTCAAACAACTTTTTTCAACGTAAAATTATATTTTTTAGGAGTTAGAAAATCTTAAAGAATCGTATTCTGAGATGGAATCCAAATATATGTCAGAAAACAAAAAATGTCAAGATCTTATTTTGCAACTTTCTGAAGCTAAAGACATATCTTCAAAAAAGGTTTTTACTTTCTACATCCTCCACAATTTCATTCATAATGACTTAATATTAGTTGTCTTATCATTAATTTTTTTCTACTGATAAAATTTATCGCTGAAATAATATTTTTTATCACTACTGCATTTTGATAAGTATATATATCTAGATATACAGAATTTGGTACTCCCGTAGTATGTGTACCAGGTTAGGGTTAGACCATAATTTCAGGTACAAATACTACGAGAGTCACTTGGCTAGTCCTCTCAAACTCGTAATATAACTAAAATAAGGAAAATTGGAATAAAATTATGGCCTAACCCTAACCTGGTACACATACTGTACAAAAGTAGAGTGCCAAAATTTTATCTTTGAATTATACATGGCATAGCACATATTTTAACATGATATTGGGTATAAATTATAATAATTCAGATCGCTTTTGTCATTCTATATTTTACTGAAATGTTTTTCTAGACAATGAATAAAAGTACATTGGTAGAATATGAAAAGAAATATGAAAAATGTCTCCAAGATCTCACACAAGAGCAAGTAAAAGCGAAAAATCTGACTGATGAAATTACAGCTATGCAAGTGGAGTTCAAAAAGGTGAGACAGATATTTTCATGTTTTCTAGTTTTCTAAAAAATTTAGTAGAAATTGTAATGCTTCGAACAGGGCTTTGTACAAGCGGCCAATCATATCTTACAATAGCTAATATTTTTAAAAGGGATAGAATTTTTATGGTTCAGCATTGCCTACCTAATTTATTTCCCCCCTGTGGGGTGAGGGACGTGCTGAACGTGGGGTATAAATCGGAAATGCATAACCTGTGGCATTAATGCAGTTTAGTCTAGTGCTTTGGGTACTCCAGTAGTATGTGTATCAGGTCTGAGTTAGGCCATAATTTTATTTCGATTTTTCTTGTTTTAGATCCATTACAAGTTCTGGGACTGCCTGTGTTAGCCAAGTGAATATACCCCTGCCCATAGGTTCGGTCCCTTTACACAACTTGATGTAAAGTAGGCGAACAAAATTAGTTACCTCCATATTGCTACACACACTTCTGAAGCACCGCTAGGTCATCCCGCCTTTTTCATTCTTGAGCCTATATCGTTTGTTTATGTTCTTCCTAGAGGTGACATGAACTTTTGCTGACTGAGCTTGTGGGTTGATAAAGCGATTCAAATCATTTGATTCACTGACCCTATTAACCCAGGTGTACCATAGGGGGCCTCCACTGGGCTTCTCGTGACTAGAAACGGTTATTATGACATCACGTTTTTCAGTACCATGACTTTTTATTACAGCTTTGAGCTTAACTTAATTTTAATTTCAACTATTACCAAATATACTTATAGTTGCAATTTGGTAGTTACGCAAATTTTTTTATAAAATCGATTTATGACATAATAACATCTACAAAAAGGATTCTTTAATTAATGATTGTCATTTTTTGCTGAGTAATATTTTTTTTTATATTGTCAGAAACTTGACGAAGCCACGGAAAAGGCAAACACCGATTGTTCTGTAAGTTTTCAGTTTTGATGGGCTCATGGCGCCTCTGATGGTCAACTTTATCCAATTCCATATAATCTTTTTGAAAACTTAATTCAATGACATGCATGTTGTTAAGCAATGTGTGCACCAAAGACACAAGAATTTTTGACATCTTTTGGTTTACTATAACCGGTTTAATGCCATGAAGTACGTTAAGAATATCTGTTTTGTGTGTTACCTGGGTAAACCTGTAACTTGAGATTACATGAAGAGTGCTGCGATTCGAATGATATATATATACCATGCTGAGTACATGTCCCTGAACCCGTATTCTCGAGTCAAATCGAGTTATTTGTCATCTGAGTCGCAGCCAATTTACAGTTTGTGTCACTGCACTCCCAACTCGGGTTGAGCTGATTTTGGAGCCCCCACGCCCCCGAGTCAATTTGGCACTTTTCGAGTAAGTCGTTTCACCTAAATGACTCAAGAGTTAGGTCACTTTGAGTCTTTAAAAGTGGTGACACAGTTAGAGAGGTCACTCCACCTTCAAATCTGGCTGGTCATGATCGGTTACCTGTAACTCATGACATCACTGGTCATGCTCAGCCATCTGGGAAAGCACAAGTTGAATAAAATACAATAAAAATAAAATTAAGTACTATGAAATCACAGAAAACAACAAATTCTGTAAAATGTAACCATTTTAAGGTTTCACTTTTCAATTAACATTCTTTCAGAAACTGAACCTTCGTATCGATTCACTTGAAGAAGGACTAATGGAGGCAGATAAAGAAATTGAAGATGAAAAGAAAAAATATGAAGAATTACAGAAGAAATTCGAAGAAAACGAGAAAAATCATAATAGAGTTGGTGCTACCAGAACAAGGCGCAGTGATAAAATGGTTAGTTTTCTTGTGTTTCGGACTGATTTCTAACTTTTTAGACATCAGAGCAAGCAGTCTTCGCTCATTTAGAGGAATGTGGCTGGGAGAAATTGTATATTTGGAATTGCTGTAATTGTCAGAGGGGGATGCTAACCACTGTGTTTAAATTTGGTATTGATTTCTAGCCTCCTCTAAATCTAATTGGGGGCTCCCGAAGTATGCGAACCAAGATGGCGGACATCGTAATGTAATATGTGTACTAGGTTAGGGTTGGGCCATAATTTTAGGTATAAATACTACGGGAGGCTCTTGGCTAGTCTTCGAACTGATAATAGGACTAAAATAAGGAAAATTGGAAAAAAATTATCGCCTAACCCTAACCTGTTACCCATGTTACGTTCCGATGTCCGCCATCTTGGTTCGCATACTTCGGGAGCACCTCTAATTGTGATAAGACAAAGAAGACGATGGCTTGACTGCATAATATTCTGAAGACTCTCTTGACTCCAATTACTGAAGAAAGAAGTCTAACCCAGTGGTTTTTGGACCAGGGGTTAATAATTTTGCCCACATTAATAGGCGGGCCATGTTAGTGTGACGTAAAAAGTTGCATTTCATTAACAGAATTTTATTTACAGTGTTACATAAGCAAAAGTGGAAAACAATATGCGAAACAACATGTACCAAAACTAAATTTAATCGCAATCTCGACGAATTCAGATTTCAATAACAACAACTATGTTATCCATGCAGAATTTATTATAATCAGAAATTTATGGCAGCATCAGACGGGCCGGATTGAATCGCCCACCGGGCCAAATTTCGCCTTCGGGCCGTAGTTTGCTCTGGACAGGAAGTCAGTGTGCCATATCTTATCATTGTTTTCTTCCAAAATTAAATACAAACAATTTTTTTACCTTTAGAATGGCGAAGTCGATATTTTAAAAGAAAATTTACAAAAATGTGATGTAAAATATAAAGAAGAAAAACAAAAAACACAAGCACTCACAACTCAATTAAAAACTGAGAGAAAACGATGTGCTGAGTTAGTTGCTCGACTTGAGCATGCTACTGTAAGAAATGTGAGTTGGAGTATTATCGACATATTCAGTTTTCTTGATTGCACTACAGCGCTCATAGCTGAAGCATTATAACAAAAATATTATTTTTTTGAAATAAATTCACATTTCAAATTTTTTGTCATTCACTGTTTTTTACACAGAAAACCAAGCATGCAGGATTAGACACTGACGATGGAAAGGAATTGTTCATGGAAAGAGAAAAAAACAAAAGTTTGACGAAAAAGTTAAATGAAAAAGAAGAAGAATTTTCTAAGGTTAGCATCATTTTGAAACCTTAGTTAACTGAATATCTGTTAAATTTTTACCCTTCATCGTAACATGGAGAGACTGAGATGTGAAAACTCTTCAACTCGTCAAAATAATTTTGACTGATCACAAGCACTATAGTTGCACGGAATTTAAATTGTGTTTTGCTTGATAAAATCCTAAATTAAATAGGCCTAAAATTGATCACATTTGTTTGGGAATGTGATTCAATTTGGCGCACAGGAAGTGTACACAAGTACCAGTATGGGGTGTAAGTCTCCGAACTTGTGATAGAACGAAAATAAGGAAAAACATAATTAAATTATGAACTAACCTTAACCTGGTGCATATACTACGGCAGTACCTTTAATTTTAATATGTAAATGTGGAGAAGTTATGAATTTTCATATATACTTTTTTGCTATCGCTAGTTTTTTTTTTTTCAAAAAACAAAATATTGGTATTTTTTAGTGTCCCCAAACTTGTTTTGAGTGTTGAGTCATATCCTAAGTTGGAGTCACTGGGGAATCAGAGTCACTGAGTTTAAATGTCTCGAGTCACTTTGAGTTTAATAAATAATCACTCAAGCCTTCTCACTATATGCAAAAACATGAGTCTGCATGATACTGGGTAAATATAGCCCTGTATATAGTCCTTTGTTTTTATGCTAATAATTGAAAATCTCTTAATTTTAGAAATTGAAAGAAGTACAGAAACGTTTTGAAGCCACCAAAAAGGTATTCTTGTTTTTATTTACAATTTTGTATTTGTAAAGATGTTTATTTTTGCAGTCAATTATAATTAATTCTCTGTCCGTGAGGTATTACACCAGGGCCTCTCAAAGATCCGTAAACAAAACTCTATAATTACTGGGGGCTGGTCCTTCCAGAAATTATATTTCGGCATTCTTAAACGCGCACTTCCTCAGCGTTACAGCTTTTTCCATATATAGTCCAGTGCAAATACGAGCAAATTATAAAATAACCTTTAAAACTGAATGTCATTTAATAAAAGGAAAACTTCACATATCCAAAGTTGGGCCAATAATCTAAAATAAAAAATTAGGTACAGTCGAATACTCGGAAGATCTGGATTCAGACTACGGTCTGCCAGTTGAGTAGCCATACTTTACACTATCAAAAAATATTTTGTTATATTCTCGGTTTAAAATGCTGAATATAACCAATTGTAAATTGATTTGAGTTTCCGATTTAATTTTGAATAAATGAATAATATCGAATCAACTTTGTTCCTATAATCTCAGTGTTTGAATGATCGTATCAATGAGTTGGAAGACAGTTGCATGGAAGCCGATCAGGAATATGAAGAAGAGAAAAAGAAAACATCGCAATTGGAAGAAAAAATTCTTGTTCTCGAACAACGAGTCAAAAAAGTTTCGCAGGTATCATCTACAAAGGTGGGTATTCAATTTTACTTCAATGAATGAATGTAGTCAAAAATGAATTATCAGATGTGGCACAACGGGAAAATCAATTTTAATACCATTAAGGCATTATAATGGTTAATATTAAAAGAGTGATAACTTCAATAATTCATTGTAACATGCAACTTTTATCAATAGAATCTAGGGCGTAGCCAGGAATTTTCAAATAGTGGGGGGAGGGGGTGGGGTATGTATGATACAGAAGAAAAAAAAATTTACATTTTGAATAATTAAGAAAAAAGATATGGGCATTGAGGTGTATTTTTACAAACAAATAAATTGTGTTTAAGGATGAAAATTTTGGGCCTCAAAAAGCGCTCTTGAAAGAAGTTGAAGAGAAAGAAAATATGATTTCCAAACTTCGGATACAACTGACTACTAATGTTGAACCATTAGAGAGAGAGTAAGTTTTACTTGAATTTTAAACAAATGTCTATTCAATATTAGGGCTGTGGATTCGGGAAAGTTTACAATTTACTCCAGACTCTGAATTTTGACACGGACTCTGATGCAAGTTTTCTTTCGTAGACTGTTAAGAGTACTACTGTAGTATGTGTACAAGGTTAGGGTTAGGCCATAATTTTATTTTCATTTTTCCTATTTTAGTTCCATTACGAGTCCGGGGACTGTCTGTGTTGGTTATCCTAGTAAATATACCTCTTCTCTCGTAGTAATCAGTCCCTTTACACAACTTCATGTGAAGTAGGCGAACAAAATTAGTTACCTCCATATTGGTTCACACACTTCTGAATCGCCTTGCTTCCTTGTTCATTTGTTCATTATCCTTGTAAAATACAGAGTGAACCAGCTTAAAGAGGAATTGAAAGTAAATGAAGAAAGAATGTCGACACTGAAAAAGAAGATGACTTTTATGTCACAAGCTACTGATGAAGGTAACGGCATTTTAATGGAAAATAAACGTTTGATGATTGTGGCATTTCATCTTACCCAAGATGAATATGGAAATCATATCCTAAATACACTGGACAAATATGTTTTGTATTTTTTCATGTTTTGTCGAAAACATTGACTGAATTTTATGTTATATTGGGAAAAATTTTCGTAGTCAGACACGTTAAAACATGTGTAAGGCAAAACTGGGTGTTTTTGTAAAGGAGCAGAGGCAACGAATCATAATAGAGCCATTACTTTAAATAGTACAACATAACACCACGTAATTCTCTCTCCTTTACATTATCACTATTTAGGCACCAAAACAAGATCAGGTAGAGCCACACGAAGCTCAGTTGCATCTTCGAAGCAATCTGCATTCTGTGGAGGCACTGGTGGTCTAGTTGTTCAAGATACAAAGGTTTATGTATTGGAAATGGAGATTTCTGATTTCCAAAGACGAGTCAAATTTCTTGAGAAAGAACTCGCTAAATATAAGGACATTGAAACAAAGAGGAGGTATGTGATTTTGACTATTTAGAAAGCACATTTGCACACATGTACAATCAGCATTGATGTGAAAATAGTTACCAATGTGCAGCCTTACATAACAGGTATATTTGTGTCTTTTATTATATATTTAGGACTGAAAACATGGAACTCCTTGAAGAAAACAACAAATATCGTTCGATTATTAAGAGGTTTCGAGAAAAGAAACTTACATCTGGTGATGTGTTATCAGGTATACTATGTGTGTAGATCAATATCTAGCCAATACTCTTGCAAATGTTGTCACCACACATACTTGCAGCCTCACTCATGTGTTTTTCAACAAAGTTTTTATTCAATATTTTTTTAGCCAAAATTCTCACATACGATTTCCTATTCGAGTCTGCCACAATTGTGTTTATCAATTCTGGTTTCTGTTCCACATTCACATTTCAATCCAAGACTTACACACATGCATTTTTAAAACAAGGTTTCCGGTGATTTTTTACCAAACCCACACATATTTATTTTCCAAATCAAAACATCTGTACAGATGTTTGCCGAACGAAAGCTCTTCCATATATAGGTTCACACTGTGAAAGAACTTCATCATTTTTTAATTTTACAGATATAGTTCACGGTATTTCTCACATGTTTGCCGAACGAAAGCTCTCTCATATATAGGTTCACACTGTGAAAGAACTTCATCATTTTTTAATTTTACAGATATAATTCACGGTATTTCTCACATGTTTGCCAAACGAAAGCTCTCCCATATATATTTTCACACTGTGAAAGAACTTCATCATTTTTTAATTTTACAGATATAATTCACGGTATTTCTCACATGTTTACCGAACAAAAGTTCTCCCATATATAGGTTCACACTGTGAAAGAACTTCATCATTTTTTTAATTTTACAGATATAATTCACGGTATTTCTCACATGTTTGCCGAACGAAAGCTCTCCCAAATATAGGTTCACACTGTGAAAGAACTTCATCATTTTTTAATTTTACAAATATAATTCACGGTATTTCTCACATGTTTGCCGAACGAAAGCTCTCCCTTATATATTTTCACACTGTGAAAGAACTTCATCATTTTTTAATTTTACAGATATAATTCACGGTATTTCTCACATGTTTGCCGAACGAAAGCTCTCCCAAATATAGGTTCACACTGTGAAAGAACTTCATCATTTTTTAATTTTACAAATATAATTCACGGTATTTCTCACATGTTTGCCGAACGAAAGCTCTCCCTTATATATTTTCACACTGTGAAAGAACTTCATCATTTTTTAATTTTACAGATATAATTCACGGTATTTCTCACATGTTTGCCGAACGAAAGCTCTCCCAAATATAGGTTCACACTGTGAAAGAACTTCATCATTTTTTAATTTTACAGATATAATTCACGGTATTTCTCACATGTTTGCCGAACGAAAGCTCTCCCTTATATATTTTCACACTGTGAAAGAACTTCATCATTTTTTAATTTTACAGATATAATTCACGGTATTTCTCACATGTTTGCCGAACGAAAGCTCTCCCTTATATATTTTCACACTGTGAAAGAACTTCATCATTTTTTAATTTTACAGATATAATTCACGGTATTTCTCACATGTTTGCCGAACGAAAGCTCTCCCAAATATAGGTTCACACTGTGAAAGAACTTCATCATTTTTTAATTTTACAGATATAATTCACGGTATTTCTCACATGTTTGCCGAACGAAAGCTCTCCCAAATATAGGTTCACACTGTGAAAGAACTTCATCATTTTTTAATTTTACAGATATAATTCACGGTATTTCTCACATGTTTGCCGAACGAAAGCTCTCCCTTATATATTTTCACACTGTGAAAGAACTTCATCATTTTTTAATTTTACAGATATAATTCACGGTATTTCTCACATGTTTGCCGAACGAAAGCTCTCCCTTATATATTTTCACACTGTGAAAGAACTTCATCATTTTTTAATTTTACAGATATAATTCACGGTATTTCTCACATGTTTGCCGAACGAAAGCTCTCCCAAATATAGGTTCACACTGTGAAAGAACTTCATCATTTTTTAATTTTACAGATATAATTCACGGTATTTCTCACATGTTTGCCGAACGAAAGCTCTCCCAAATATAGGTTCACACTGTGAAAGAACTTCATCATTTTTTAATTTTACAGATATAATTCACGGTATTTCTCACATGTTTGCCGAACGAAAGCTCTCCCAAATATAGGTTCACACTGTGAAAGAACTTCATCATTTTTTAATTTTACAGATATAATTCACGGTATTTCTCACATGTTTACCGAACGAAAGCTCTCCCAAATATAGGTTCGCGCTGTGAAAGAACTTCATCATTTTTTTAATTTTACAGATATAATTCATGGTATTTCTCACATGTTTGCCGAACGAAAGCTCTCCCAAATAAAGGTTCACACTGTGAAAGAACTTCATCATGTTTTAATTTTACAGATATAATTCACGGTATTTCTCTTTTTATTTCAGAGAACTCTTCCATTATGAATCAAACCATGAGTAGCAGTGTTGATGAAAGACCACAAAGAAAAGAGCTTCCATCAGCACATGCAAGTCAAGAAGATAACTGTAAAAATCAGTAGCATGAATATTTATACCATACTGATGCTTTGTTTTTGTGTTCATAAAATGTCAGCCATCCTGTGAGCAAGGAATGAAATTTTTGAATGGAAAATCGCCAAGTGCACTGGCCAGGCAATATGTGACATACTTAGTAGTCATAGAAACTTCGCATGTAAAGTATAGGTGAATATGAATGTATAGCTATATTTTGTAAGATTTTCTTCTGTTATTGTTCTAAATGTATCCATCGTATGACTTCTATTATTTTTTGCTTAACTTAAACTTTCTTATTGTTCAATCATTCTTTTTTGCTAATTTCGACTCACATTGAATTGGAGTGACTTTTGGGATGTTTGTTTTGTTTCTGCCTTTGTAACCAATATCATTTCCGTTGTTCCTATCTGCTTTATAATTAACCTATACTTTCTGCCAGTCCGTGCACTGCCTTGGTCTGTTCTGTTTGTATTATATATGTAAATACACCTTACTTCTCAATGTGTTATATTATCTAACTTGGGATACTTTTAAACATGAGCTGGTTGTTTTCAGTAAAAGAAACCGGTTGCATATGTGCACATTTTATTAGAATCTGTGGTTTTGTTTCCGCACAGTATTCGACAATGACGATCGAGAGAACCGATCCTCCCTCCGGCTGCTTGATTTAGGATTCAGAAAAGTGATTGTGTACGTAATTACAAGATAAATAATTGCGCCTATAGTTTTGGAGGCACTGCATAATCACGAAGAAAATTCCTTCTAAAATGCTGCTCAAAAAAGCTTTCAATTGCCATTGAGTACATATTTGCGAGCGTGGCGTGCAACTGCCTGTATATGTTGAGTAAATCAAAAATACAATTCAAAATTAGCAAATAGAGCGAACATTCGGTTTGAAGGCCACCAAATCTCACTTATTCCGATGCGTGTAAAAGGTGTGTGGTGGGCGTTGACGTCGGTGAAATATGGTCAGCTTATGGGCTGACATTTCAGTGACAAGCCCACAATGGCGTTCGGTCGGATGCAATCACTATGCTAGAACTGCGCTTCAGATTAATAATGAAAACTAACCGCCTCTTTCCATATTTCCTTTACGTTTGATTACATTCAATGTTTTTATTATGTGGAATGACGTTGGCAAAGGAAAATGTTCTTCTGCTTTTTTAGTATATGTTTTGTTGTTTTATCGTCTCTCGTGTAGTCCGCTTGCACATTAATAATGATTGGGAGAAATTAACACACTACAAAAATCCATTGAACAAACATACAGCAATTCTACAGTCGTACTGTATGTGGTAACGTTTGCCGTCTCAGCCATTGTTTATTTCCGTTCTGCTTCGCTTGCTAAGTATAAGTCTATACCACAGTCTTTTGTATCGGCAATCGTAGAGTACCTCGAGAGTTGCGAAATGAACACGGGTTGTCTACGATATCGATGTAAGGGATTTGTCAATATTACGCTGCAAGAAATTATTCCGTTATTTTCTCAATCTGTGATGGGTAGTAGCCGCGACAAATTAGCTCCCAATTTCAAGAAATTCATTCCTAATTACGAGAAAATTTTGCTATGTCATGCTGATAAATCAGCTGGCCAAGTTCATGGATGGAAAAGATTTTTTATGTCGGGTATTTCCAAGCACGCCGCAACCGGAGCTATTTATCGATTGCGACATAACTATTAATATGTCGACTGAGTTGTCAATGTCGACGATCTTTTCTCCCCAACTGATGTGTTTTGACACTTCCCTGTATTGGTTTCGCTGACTGTACAAAGTATACTTTTCGGGGAATATTTCACATAAAACAAACACAGGCTAGATAGACACACATTCAGCAACTGTTTGTCAAAACTTCGGGCATTGGTTCAGATTACATATCACTGAAACAAACACAAAGAAAACTTGTATTTCGGTGGGCGTAACCCTAGATGTTACACCTCCAAAACCATAATAGCCGGTCTTGTTTATGACTGAGCGACGTCCGTAGCGAGATCGTTAATTCAAAATGGAATAATTTATGGCTTAGGGCTTAATAAAACCGAACCAGAGAATGTGAAATTTTGCAACCGTTTGACTGTTTTTTTTTTTTACAACGGAGCGGACGAGCGTTCTTGCGTTGACCAGTTATGCATTTTTCATGAGCGACTTGATGGAAATGTATTCGATATCTGATAACACATTACTCCGCTAAAACTTGCCGGATAGCCTTCTAAAACACTGCCTTCATAACTTTGTGCCACATTTGCGAATTCCACATTAAATGATAACAAGTCTTGGCAAAATAGTTTGCATTAAACTATTAGTCCCCAGGTACAATATTAAACACCTAACACATTTGGTATAAAATTCATACAAAGCAGGACCTCCTTTTGAGCGCAACTTCAGGTGTAAAATTGAATGGTATGCAACATAAAGCTGTTTACAGTGTATCTATATATGGCTTACACCTGCCGGTAACTTTTTTCAGAGGATGGATAAAAAGCTAATATTGGTCATGATAATTGGCAGTGGCATTAACAATAGGCTCATCTGGATATTATTCAACATCTTGAGTTGAATGAATATGCGAAACGCCTCATACAAAAAATTAAAGTATGGCTGACATACATATGCTTTATCCTAGCTTCAATTAATAGTCTTCTCCAACTCATAAATTAATTAAACGAAGTTTCAAGATTTATTTCCAATTTTTTCTCAAAACACACAAAAATATTGAGGCTCCTTCAAGAACAGAAACAGACGTTCAAAACATTGACACGTGAAAGATGTTATCAAATACATGATGCTTTTTACAAAACTTTGAAACTACAAGAACAAAAAAATTTTCTGTCAATTCAAACCGCCTTGATGCGATTGAAAGTTTGTAAACAAATTAGTTGATTCTTCGCAATAGAGCTCAAAAACGTAACATATTTATTCAAGATTGGGTAACTTGAAATAATGCAAATAAAAAATGGGAAAAATTTTTGCTGCAATGTTTTCCATTCACAAATTTACTAAATTTGTAAACAAGTTTATCAATAATGAATAAGGCATTTCTGAACTGAGCTTCTCATTATCTACTCTGTTCAAAAACACACTTGAACATTCTCAGCCATGTGTTTAACAATCATACAATGTTTAATATGCCAATTAAATTGTATGAACAAATTTATATTCATAGTTCAAATTTCGTTAGCAAACAAATAAATCTTTATCGAATTCTGAAACAGCCTTACAGGTGTCTCTTATAATCATTCATAGCTAGCACTTACATAAAATATGATATTTTTCATTAGGTTATACCACCCAACACGAACCTAACTTTGCAATTTTACACCAACAAAAAACACCCCTTCAAGTGAGAGTGTGCTACACCTCATCATAAAATACAGAAAATACACACAGTGCAATCTGGTGGACCCGCTGAAAATTCACTATAAAATCCTATCAGTGGAAACGTCACCCAAAAAAAGAATTTAGTTTAGGTGGATCAACAATAGTCCATTTGTGATTTAGAAGAATAGCCCATGTTTAAAATATTTCTGTTTGAGCATGCCAAAATATCCTGATGTATAAATTAACAAATTTCCGATCTATAACACTCAACCCAGCACAATTCAAACTCATCTATAATGTTTGAATTATAATTTTATAGGTTAGACTATTTTTGAATGTAGCTTCCTCATTTGGTATAGCGTTACTGCTTTCTGGGACAAACATGACGTCAGGACACGTAAAGTGCGCAAATTTGTTAAATTTGAACAAGAAATAAACATGTTCGAATTTGTACATACATATTAACAAAGAAAATTTATCCTGAATTCAACTTATCACGTTCAAGAGTAACAATCAGGTAAATATGTCCGATTCAATTCTCGGAAAATTCTAATGTGACATTACCAGATCTAAAACGATAGCATAGCAGCGAAATCATGCGGAATTAATGTGGTGTCTGCTTGTGCTATTGAGAAGCGCACATATTTGTGACGCATATTTACGCTATAATGCAGTCTTCCACAAAAATAAAAGTGCATTTGTGTGGTAGGATTTAGTCCGCCAAATAAGATATTGAAAAAAAGTGAAAAAAATATCATATCAGCGAAATAAAAAAGAAGTTTGGTTGTTTGTATTTTAAAAAAGTGTGTTTAATGTCCGTCGCCACCATTTTTGGTGATGCAATATTAAATGGGTGGTTGAACATCCAATTCACAACCACCCTTCAAAATCACTAACTCTTGCCTGGAACTTTCAGAAAGCCGATATTATTGCTCGCAGTTGTTGGTACAACTTGAGGACTTGTGCCTAGTTGTTTATCTGAAGTTTGCATTTTAGAAAATGCTAGTAAAGCTTCAGGGAATGCAGGAGGTGTCGCAGGTGTGTTGGCAGGAGGACACATCTGAAAGTATAAAAAAATAATCATTGATGAAAAGGATAATAAACTAAAAGCAAATCAAATGTATACCAAAACATTCCTATAATATTTTGATAAAAACATAGTACAAATGAAAAATAATACTTACTGCATGCTGATTATGTTGTTGTGGAATACCTGATTCCTGGAAAAAATGACTTAATGCCGTCTGAAAAAAAAAGTTTATGATTAGTCAGACAGAGATACAAAACATCGTATACAATTACTAATTCACATTTTATTACTCATTACACAACAAATATTTACTTATAACGATTTAAAACATAAGAGTTTTCCTCGACGAATAAAATTGAAAATGACTCCGTAGAGTAACATTAAATCAATATTTCTCAAATATGCCAAAAAACGCATTGTAAAAAAAACATATGAATAAATTACGACTTCAACAACGAAACAACTTCAAAATTCATAGCTTTACCGGCCCTTTATAACACACTCCAAGGTATAAGTATCACACATGTACAAGTATATATTCATGATATTGTTGCAATATTAAATAAAGAGCTTTAAAATATCTCTATAAATATTTTATCATTAAAGTTTATGGCGTAAACCCAGATTATGACATACAAATCCATCCCAACTAAAACTAAAAAAGTAGAATTTTTACTGTTTGATAATGTGAATATAATTCACAAATTTGATCTAGAACATAATACACCCAACATTGCACTGTATAGTATTAAGTTGCAACCTATTAAATAATATGTTATCGACGTGTGTAAGAATATGCAGCAAATTTATAAACCGCAAGTTTTAAAAAAAACATTCCTAAAAAAGTACCACAATACAACAACACAAACTATATAGATGCAAAAATAAAAGAGGCCCTAAGGCATTGAAATAATCAGCGCTATTGCTTTTACTATAGCTTTAAAAATATTGATGAAAAACTAATTATTACTAGGCTTATCGTTGTCATCCCTATTTGGTGTCATGAAAAAAGGTGGTTACATTTCCTACCAACTTATAGATGGCCCATAGCCATGACTCGATTTTATGTATGTATAAAGTTCGAGATGTGTGGTTCTTTACTCCCATTCTTATCACTAATGATTATTTTTTTTCATGTGCAATATTTTTTATTGTGAGATATAACTTCACTTAGGTGGAATACTAACACTTCTCAATCTTTTAATAATATGATATGTTGTTTGATTTGTGAAATTATTTTTTTTCAAAGGAATTTCACCTATAAATTACTAGTCCTTTTCGTAAAAATACATTTAGTTTAAATATTATGCAATAGTTATGTACAAAACTTGATCACATGCTTGTCACTCACTATGAGAATGATGAAGTATACTCAAGTTGAGTTAAAAAATTCTGTAAATTAAACTAATTGATGTCAAGGTTCGCCAATGCGAATTTCGGCCAATCACATTGGGTGTCGCTGCTAGATAACCAGTCTTGGTTTCCCGCGGCTTTTCTTCCCCAGTAAAAATGTGTGTTTAATTTTATTTTTGTCAATTTCGGTCAATTTTACTGGATGAAAAAAATGAACTTGACTATGACTATAAGATTTACTCTTAAATTCAGTCAAAAAAGTAATAGGATCGCCAAACCAAATGTAAAACATCAAGCAAAAATTGACTTATATGTGAATGTTGTTCAATAATACAATGATATAGAAATGATAAAGCTGAGGCCTCTTATAGACTCCATTTCAATAACAAGTATTCAATAGCATAGGTTTATAAGCAACGTCATTCATTGTTTCCCATAAAACAAGAAGCAAACAAAGGATCTATTTATCATAGGAAACTATCAAATGACTGTTTACAGCCTCAATTTCTTAAATTTGGTCTATGAACTATGCTGAATGATGCAATTACAAAATCATTTTATGAAATTTTTTCCAAACAACTAATAAAATTAAACTTAAAATGTTTATAAATTTGCACAACCCCCATAAAGGTAATTTCTTTGGTGATATTGGTGATTAGAAGGATATTTGAGATTCCGATGATAATGAAGATCAAATGTGGTATTAAGCTTGCACATAACTTTTTTACGAAGTTTGCTCAAAGCAAGGTCACGAACACTCATTTAGGAAATGAAGTACATTCTCTGAGCGATGATACGAGGGACCACTGAAGTGCCAAGTGCTACTAAAGACTATGGAAAATTATAGCGAGGACTTTCTCATTTGTAAATACTGAATGACGCTGGGCTTGGATAAGCCCAGGTCAATACGATCAAGAAAACAGCTATAAAGTAATGAATTACGGTCATGTAATTTAATAGATCATGACAATGAAAAGAACAATGAAAAGCTAAATACTCAGAACGCAACTTTATTAAACTTCATGAAAAATATTCGTCTGAATTCCTAAACTAAAAAACATTTATTTTCGACAACACCAACCGTGACATTTTTTGAACAAAAATAACCGAAGTAAAGATGGACCATGCCTAAAACATATGCAATTTGGTTGAGACAATTTGCATAGCGCTACTTTATGTGAAAACTGAGACAATTTTCTCACTTATTTCATGGCAATCAATCAAATTTACACCTGATAATAAAATACTTATGTTGGATCATCCATCATCAATATATCGTGACATTCTGAAAGTCTAGAACATTCTGAAAGTTTAGCTTGACAAAACTTCATTTGTAAACAAATTGTTATTTTCACATGATCCAGAATAGATCAATATAGAAGAATTAAGATGACTTGGTAAATAGAATCAAAAAATATTACACTATCAAATATGAACAACTTTATGTGATATAAAAATATTAATAACCAACTGAGAAAAAAAATGCAGAAAAACGTATTTCAGATTTTCTATCAGGAAATTCATATATTCGTTATATTATGCATTGAATTTATTCTACTACAGTCCTATATAAATATACTCCATTATATTTGAATCAGCACAATTTAACTGAAAGTAGAATTCAATTGAATCACTAACAAAGCTGAACCTGTGTGAACCACAATGCAAACCTACAACATTGAAATTATAGTAATGTCACGTCACATATGAATCGAACATAAATCATGATTTTTCAACATGACGTGATTACATTCATGCCATTGTCATACATGGTGCAATATGTCATAGAGAATAACATACACAGACAGGCAAAATTAAACAATCAATGATGCATGTCTCGTCAATGATGTTGACAACCATCTTAAATACGAATGTACTGGAAACGGTATACATACTAAATAGTACAATCATATGACATGTTAGTCATGACGCCCTTCCATGCAAAGTGGATAAAGGTAACACGCCCTTAATTGAACTCTGTAAAAGTTTAGGTGATAAATCCCATGTCAATATGATGTATGAAAAATATGTTTTATTTCAGAGCTATTATATTATTCCATCGAATGACTCTGGTTTTCTATACTCATTATCGAGATATGCCATTTCTCCTTACCTGTATCAAACATGTTTGCGTTATTTTCTATGTGACTGATAGGGGTATTTGGTTGTATTAAGATCTCTTCTAACAGTTAGACTTACATTAGATTAAATGTGTTATACTTCATTCACAAACATTGACACTCATTTATACAAAGACACTCAAGTTGTTGATCTGTGAATAATCTGCTCATCAGAGTTCCCAACACTCATTATCTCTTTCAGAATTGCTGAGTAAGGAATTAAGTTAGGCACTGTTCTTACAGTACACATTATCACCCAATCTTATCTCATGATTTATTTGTTTAATTCTACCACGCAAAACATAAAGTAGTCTTGTTTGCCAAATTACAACAAAACTAGAACCAAGGGTACATGAACTCCCTCAACAGGAAAGTTGCACAAAATAAACAAATATCTTCAGCTTATTAATCGTTTTCGTTCTTCATATCTTTCTTTTATAAATTTATACAGTTACTTAGTAATTGATCAATTATCTTGGTATGTCCAGACCTTTGACTATTGCTTTTGAACTGAACTGAATAGGAATTTCCCATAACAAAGTATGAACGGTAGAAATTGACTATTTGCATAAACATTTTCCAGAGATTTTTCTACAGATGTGAAAGAAATTATTATGTTTGAATAATTATTTAAAGGCAAATCTTGCTACTTGATAAAAGATTGCTATACGAACTTGGTCAGAACCAATCTCAATTCAATTGTCATACCATATTTTATTTAAAATGGCTAACTTACCCGCTGAAGATTTCTGAGTGGCCCGTGGGGTCACGATGTCTTTAACGAATCTAAGCCACTATTGAAAATTCTGATAAAAAAATTATTTCTTGTCGTTCTAACGCGCGAGAAGCACCACCCAGCTATCGAAAGCTTTTTTAATCTCTTTACGGAAAGAGATTCGAATTTACTTTTATCTTCTGCCTGTATTTTAATCTGTTTTCCTGCCTTATTTCTCTGAAGCTAGGAGAGGCAGTTTTCTTGAGCTCAATATTTAACAGCACTCACTTGTACGAGCAAGTTTTTTCATGAATGAACCATATCAAATCCCCAGTGAGATCATCAATTTCTGACAGTCATATTAAAATACGCTTCGCTACTTTGTCCAGCTACACCGCACCGAATATTGACAATCTTGTTGAATAAAAGCAGTGCCAAACTTTACATTAAATATCTATGTGTGATACTTTACTGTATCTTCGTATTTTCATTGTTCTTATAGATTTGGTGTGAGGTTTTTTTATTCATTAACCTGTAGTCGGTGTAGTGAAAACTAGGAAAAAACTACCATGTCAAGTGGCCCGCGTAATCATTCGTAAACTACATGCGGCCCTTCAGCCATAAAAGTTGGACTACCATGATTTAAAGGAATAATGAAAAATATGCTCTAACCTATCTGGACAAGTCCTGTTTAGAATTCATATTTTTCAATATCTGTCCAGAATGTTTCCATTTTAACATACCGTATATCTTTATGAAGAATAAATTGCCATTCATCAGCAGTTATTACCCTGCATGGGTTCGCAGGTTCAAATCCCATGCGGGGATGGTTATGTGCAAGAGGATTGCTGGGCTCGTCGCCGCCGTAGGGTGGTTTACGTAACCGCTGGTCAGTTACGGCTTCCTCCACCATGAAGTCTATTCTTCCGAAAACAAATATCTAAACAATCACATACCCGTCATGGAATGGAAACCTAACATGAGGCTGTGGTTCACCATATGGTTAAGGCATCTTATTGCCTTTCCTCTCCCCAGGGATAAATATGTAACTCCTATCCCATTTAATCTAACTTATGCTTAATACTACTTTGTGTAACCCATAGTATTTTAACAATTCAATATAAATTGATAATTTTCACACAAAATCATAATATTTGGTTAATGATCATTAATCACATAAATAACCGCAGTGAGTCCTGAAAAACTTTCATAAAAAAAGATAAAGCCTTTGACAAAAATTTCAATAAAAGTAATTACTGAAGCTCAATAATTTCACCCTGAGATTTAAAAAACGAAATCCTGACTTGATAAATGAATATAAATCACTGTTTTGATTACAACTTGGTACTTGATATCGTAATGAAGTAACCGTTGCGGAAGATTAATCAATGTTAGAAGTTGGAATCAACTTTCCTCAAATCTCAATATGCTGATATGGGAGACGAGTACAAATTTTTGTTGGGTATGGAAACGCAAGCCGTTCATTTATAGATTAGAGTTTGGATTCAGATTGAGGTATAAATTTATTAACACCCTACTTAGCACATAACTACACCAAAATAAGTTTAAACCATTGCCAAACTAAATTTAATTTAAATGATGCCCAGTTTTTCAAACTATAGAAAGAGTGAGAGAGCATTCATTGTTTCGTCAGCCAGAAAACAAGCATTTCGATAATAATAAAAATATATACCATATACGCTAAGTTTAATCAGTATAGTATGGAGGTAGCAACATGAAAACACGATAATCAGAGTCAGGTCTCCCGATTAATGCTTTTGAAACAAAATTGATTAACAATTCCCAAACTCAACATGGACTGGTAACCGCACACGAGGCGGTAGTTCGCAATATAATTTAGTCGTCTTATTGCAGTATCGGCTTTTCTTTGCCCAAGATAAACTGATATACCGGTACAGATAAATGTGTTGAAATATATAATGTCCTGAAAGTCATTTTCAGTGCTTATGTAAGCAAGTGAGTCTATAGGATGTTTATATTGGACCCACTTCAGTTGAGAATCGGGTTATTCTCAATGAATCCATAAATATGAGGCCTTTACCAATGGCTGAGTGAACCAGTTTTACTGTTTTATTGAAAAATCTGATAAAACATTAATGGTATATTCATATTTAGATATAGTCTTTGACTGATATTAATAATAGTAATCTTACTTTTCAATAGTCAACACATATATATTTATATAAAAATTAAGGAGTAGGAATTCGTTCAATATATTGAAAAGTCATAACAACAAACCTCAAATTGCCAGTGTGTAGCTTGTAAAATTTGCCTTGCTTCGTGGGCAGGACATCCCGCAGCTAACACAAATTGATTCACCATTACTTGATGCTTAAGTTCATCCATGATTAAAAGAAATAGAAAAACCTACTACACTCCGTGATTTCTTTTAATTTATACAAAAAACTGCGCAAAAATTCGGTAAACAAAAAGCAGCGCAGACAATAACAAATGAACCCGAGGGTTTGTTGACTTCTTTGGCTGACTGCTTACGTAACAATCATTCTCGCTCCTGATTGGTCGAAAGCATACTACAAGGCGGAGTCCATAGCATTGTAAACACAAAATCAACACAAAGAAAAGAACTTTTACCGGTCGTCGACAGGTGGCGACTGTGGTTCGTGGATGATAAAAATTGAAAATATATATATACTAGTTCCTAATGCTAGCACTGGCTGTTTACATTAAAGAGTCAAGAATTGATAACTTTTTTGAACGTATCACATCTCTGTTATAATTTAAGTGAGTAAATAAATAGGCTACACTTCTTTTTGGCCAAACATTCTAATTCAAATTCTGTACGCTTCTGTACGTTTTGCAGTTATTTTAAATTAAAACATGTTATTTATAAGTAAATGGATATCGCTTTTCATATTTTGTATATTTGAAAATCTCGTAATTCTCCACTTTGTAATTTTGTTTTTGATAAATGAAAATATAAGACATTCCCCGAAAATAAGCCCAAGTGTTATTTTTTCGGAAGAATTGAATTGAAATAAGACCCAGTACATACGCACATTCCTTCTGATTTTTTTTGAGTCCATAAATCATCTTTCAACGGGGACGAGAAAAAATGGAATGCAGGACTTCCTTCTTTGGTTGAGAAAGGAACGATACGGCCATTAACGTTGGATTCAAGTTGCGCATCCCAAATAACGCCTCAACAACGAACGGCAAAAAATTGCACCAAATAAAAACAATAACAACGATTCAGAAAAACGATCGCTGGTTGGTTTGTTACCGGATACTGCTAATATGCCTCCATTCAGAACAAATTCACCGAAGTTTTCTGGCAACCACCGTTGCTACGTGAAACCAAAATTCGCTTCCCGTGAAACTGCTTCTTGGTACGCGGCGTTGGTCCACTTCTATGTCTTGTTAACTTTATTCTGGAAGATCTAGTTCAAAGATGCGGGGACTGTTGGTATTAATCTTAGCTATTAGGTAGTGTATATTTGCGATAATAATAGTAGTAACGCCAGGCTAAAAATATAAACACTTACTTACTTACTTGTTGATGTCAAATGAAGTAGAATTTCATTGTTTTGTAGCTACCATTTGTGTTGGCGCACAAGGCTAGTTTATTTTTCTGGCACCCCACATGTTAATGAGCAATAAATCATCACGTGACAACTTTTGCCTACAAAGATCTCATCCTATCCAAGAAAGAATACTTGCATTGTTAACCCCTGTCAGGAAGAAACCAAAAGTTGGATTTTGTCCGAATGATTATTCGATCTGGACAGTTCAGTCACTTACCCACCGTTTCAATGCTTCAGAACCAGAAGAAACATGCAATAGCAAAGCGAAGTCGGGTGAATCAACGAGGGCTGGTTACCTTCAACAAAACAAACTAAAACAACATATTTCCACAGGGGTGAGTTCAAATATCGTCTCGAATCCAAACTTATAGGGGGAAATAATTAATTAAAAAATTAGGTACGCGAAAAAATATGCTATCTATATAGTACATTCGACAAAATATGACTACACTTTTTTGTTATTTTGCGCTTGGTGAGCGATTTTTGATGATATAGAAACGTTTAAATTTTTTCTCAACAGGAAAAATATACCCTAAATACTGTAATAACTTATTATTTGAGTAACCCAAATTCACAACGAAAATGTTAAATTTTTATATCACCTTAAAATGAAATGACTCATTTGCATTACGTAGATGTCATCACGTAAGCCTATACATAAAATCCAAGAAAGATTCTGGATAAAATAAGATTAACTGGATAATTAGCGAAGTCCGGCAGCACTGTATTGCAATTAAATCACATTGATTCTTGAATAGTCTTATTTTCTGCAGATGAATCAACTGAAGAGATGAATGCAAATCCCATCCAGCAGGTAAAAAATAGTGAATTAGAGACAAACGATGAACAAGAGAGCAGTGACGGGAAAATAATCCAATTTAATACGGAATTAGATTAAATTATCTGAAAAAGAAACAATCACAGAAAATCGAAATTCTGAAATATCTGATAAAGATGCGGAAAATTCCGGATAAAAAGAAGACGAAAAATCCGGCTCTTCTTCTTCAGTGGAGCTAAAAATATTAAATGAGGTAAATCAGATGAGAATAATTTTTTTAATCACGCTTTCGTAGCGTGAATTAATTTTTTATATACATTTATAAGAAAATTTACATGATAATTTTTCTTGTTAAAGACTCGCATTGAAAAGGCTGCAGATGGTAAGGAATCTAGACAAATTGGTGATATAACCACCTCCGTGGAAATATCATTTTCAAAAATATCGCACGGCCCCACTGTTTCTCACTCCGTCAACTCAAGTTCGACGTTGAAAGATCCTTATTTTCAATTCGAAGAAGATTCGGTAATTCTTTTTTTTAATTTACTTTTTCATTTTACTCCGCCAAGTATATTATCTACCAACTAACATATTCCGTATGTATCTGTACCAACGTTGTTCCAGATGTTGGACATTAATAAGAATGGCATTTTGTCAACCCCAATGCCGGCGTTCATTACATGTTCAGGGGAAGTTTTGTTGGTTTTAAACGGAATATGGGTGGATTGTGATCATTGCGAACTTTGTTCAAGCATGTTTAAATCCACGGACACTTTGGAAGGTGAATAACTAACATATACTGTGATATTGTTTGTAAACCTTGTATATATTTGATGGAGTTGACGGGTGTAATTCAAATGCGCTTTGTCATCTAATTAGAAATTTTATGACTTTATCTCTCTTTTTTTCTAACAATAGGACTTGGATCAATAAATACTGTACCAAAAACATATACGGAGTATCGAAAAAAATGCAAAAGAATGTCCAACTTTCAATTCAGCAATCGAGAAAAAAAAATGTGTTTCAGAAAATTGTTTGTTCCGAATTGATGTCGCTCTACGACATCTATCAACTAACGTCTACTGGAAAAAAAACTTACAGATATCAGAGAACAACTTGAAGGTCTACTCTACGTGCATTGTGACCCTTATATAGGATTTTTCTTAATAAACTTGAAGAAGAAATGCGCCAAAAGGAAAATATGCCTTATAGTGGTGAGCATTTCATGTCTGACTCTGTGGTTTTGCAGGATTCAAGTTTTTCTTCGTGATTTTAAATACATTTATTTATATAAATACGTGTGTTTGTGAAATGATTACAAGAAATGAAACCCCGTAAGTAAGAATATCGATAGGGAGATATTGGAATAATAATCAAGAAAATATAACAAAAACTATAAATAAATGTGGCGAAATAGTGCGAGTTTGAAAATATTAGTAACAGAAGGTCATCAATTGGTTATAGTTAGAGGCGAGAAGCACAGAATACAACATTTTTTAATCAATACCTGTACCTCGCCATTGCTAGTAGGCTATTGGAAATGAATTAGTAAAAACTCAAAAGTCGATAATGTGACATATTTATGACATTTGAAAAGATAGTTGGTCGCTGAGCATTGCTTACTTGTTTTATATGACAAAGATTCATAGTTATGTACGTCCTGTTTGTGTCGAATCCTTACTCCGGTTGACATTGATGTAGGAAAGTACGGAAAAAAAAGGCTGTACCGGTACGGACCAGCAGTCTATCATAAACGTTATTCATAAGTGCGTCAAATTGACATAAGTACAACGGCATTTATCAAAATTCGTTTAAGCAATATTGTAAAAGTAATGTACTCTTTACTATTTTCATCATAAAACATTTACGAAAAATAATCGAATACAGTATTAATCGTCCGTTTCTCCAAAACATTTGTACAGAAAGCAAGCAATAAAGCCTTGAAATGTATCTAACGAAGTTCCCAACCCAAAATGAAGGAGTTGCCGATACTGAGGACAGCTACAACACAAGCCAGTGCGAAACTGTATCCAAATGTAACTCCTTGTTCGAATGCATGTGTGTGAGCAAGATATGCCACAAAAGATCCAAATCCTATGACGTTAAAAACACCTTAAAACATGAAAATTAATTATTGACAACGATAAAAAAAACGACTGTACGATTGCAAAGTGTAGCGGTTTTCAAAAGTTTATGGGACACATGTTCTGACATAAATTCAATCACATTAATGGAAATACACGCAACTAACGCTTCCATTTATTCACTTTTGGATGAAAAATTTATATCAGAATTTATGACTCATAAACATACCTGAAATAAAACTCAGTTTGGCACTTTGTGGATATGCTCGGATCTTCTTCAACATCGTTAATATGACAAGTGCAATACATGTACATCTCATAAATAATGCCATTATAACAAAAGCAGCAGCCGTTCTAGCGCCTCTGGTCGGATCTAAATTACATCCAGTCTAACTATAACGCAGCATCAATCAGTGTTTGACGTTAATGATCATATTTCAGAGAAATGACAATGCAGACAAATGCTATGGTAAAATAATTTTTTACACAGCCATATATTTTGATATCAAACGATGGTCAATTTAGATTATTAGACACGGAGTGTGCATTTGAATTGTTCTGCTAATTGTTGTTGTTGGGGATATGTGTTTTGGAAAAGATTCGATTTTCTACGAAACTAATCGCCCAATCGTTTTCAAATTTTCAGTTCTCAAAGTTGGTTGAAGTAGATAGACGTTTATCAAATATAGTGCAATGATTGTTATCTTTACAAAACAATAATATTCGATTCTGATAAGCATATTTTAGGAAAGAATTGCAACAATTGACTATATCAGCAGATTATTCAAATTACTCACTCATATTTGCGCAACGGTCTGGACCACAAGCTCTGAATAATCCACCGTGATAATGTATTGTGGTCTCATTTTGTCCATCGTATACTTGAACTGTTCTGATCATCCAGCCTGTCGTTCCCAGCACCACAATATCAAGTATAATGTTTAATGACGTGACAAGGATGAAAGTAATAGCAACTTTCTTGTATAATTTGCCTTCCACATTATTGAACATTTCGTCACTACGAGTTGGCGAGCGGTTGGTGGTCAACTCTTTTTGATGATATTAAGCGATAAGGTTACAAATTGAATTTAATAGTTTACATTTGATCTGACAACTTGGTTCACACATGTTCACAAAATGGTACTGATATGTAAGTAAGCTATACCATATTTTGAACTTTTTGCAAAACTAAGATTATCTATGACTGAATCAGGCATTTTAACAAGCCAACTATATAGCAGGGGGGTGCGCTAATCAACTGATTTCTTTGTCAGTTAACTCATGATGCACAGCTGCGGTGTGTAAATGATTAAATTGCAGATTTAAAAAATGATGGAAATTTCCCAATATTTCTCTATGACACAGAGTCTATATTAATACTAAGAATAACCAGTTAAATGTTATTAGAATTCACTCTAGCTGAAGTCTAACTGAACTGCTTTAATATATGAAATACTTCAGTGCTTCAACGTATATTACTTCAACTAAATAAATTTTCTCGCTTTTCATTAGGTGAGCATGTTATTTTATTTTAGCTAATTTGAATATGATTGGATGCATATTTATTGACGTAATTTGATAATTCAAATTATTATTTCTATTATACACGAAATTGGTTAGCTAATCTAATCAAAAACTATCTATCCAACCGGTTAATATAAGTTTGACATCAATGTCAGGGTGACTTCTCCACTTGTCCGCATCCCATCCAAGCATAAATGTTTCAAAAATTTTGCTTTATTATTCATATGATCTCACCAAGATTATTTCTGTCTATGGCTATAACTCATCCGCGTATATTGGCTGAACAATACATCAGTTTACATGATAGTATTGATTTTGCAAAACATATTAAGGTATTTGATTGATTCTTTTGAAAACGATAAATACACAAATGGGTACTAAATTGTGACACGATATGCGTATGTGATCGATGAACTTTTGCAGGTCTGTCTGTAATCAAGGACTATAGTTGAGTCCAAATTTTGACTCGAATCAATAAACGCGATATTGGTAGATGTATTAAACCGATTAAACCCACTTCTCCAGCTTGTCAGAGAATAATTAGCAGTGCGTTTAACCACTAGCAATGCTGCCTGGCCCGATTTATAAACTTATCCAGTCGAACTATTATGAATGCGTCGGGTGTTCGATTTATTTCATTTCAAATTGAAATAAAAAGGAAAATGCCAACAAGACTGAAATAAAGGTAGCATATTAAATGTTTCTAATCTCGGCAATGGATGACTTTGTCGGCAGAATGCACCGTTTAAAAAACGATTTCTATTTTCCTATAAAGCTTAAAGCACGACTCTACCTCAACGGTCACATATGATATTAGGAAAATAATCTTAATATGATGGCTTAATTAATCATACGGTAAATCACGACTCATCGCCAATAGACCTGGCATCAATTGTTCAATTAAGACTACTCGTGGCGACGCTCCCAACCAAGTAAGAAAGAAATTCCGATGCTAAGAATCGCTACAACACAAGTCAGTGCGAAGCTGTATCCAAATGAAACTCCATGTTCAAATGCATGTGTATGCAAGAGATATGCTCCGAACCACCCGACTGTTATAACGTTGAAAATACCTAAAATATGAACAATGAACTAATTAAACAATTAAAATAACGATTGGATTATTTAACTTGGGTGACTTAAGCTCCATGCACATATAAAGCAAAGCTGTTTTAAATTCAATAATTTTTCTTTTTCAGTTGGAACACAGACTCAGTAGAGAAACGTACAGCATTGGTGTTTTATATTTAAAGAGTAAGAATGTATCCGGTACACAACGATACCATGCTTAGAAAAAATACTTGAGCGTTGCTGGCAAACAAACATATATATTATTTAGAAAAATACACGATAAAGTTCGTATATATATATTGAGAATTGTCAACTCTAAAAATTCAGTTGGTCTTGTACTTCTTCCAACGTCGTCAAATGGATGACAACTTGCATTTAAAATGTGGGTAGAGGGTTCATATTGAATTGAACATGGTTGCGTTAAAGATTACTCGTTTGCTGACAAGAGATGAATTACAGAATAAATTCCAACCTAACTCATTTAGACTTATATGTACCTGAAATGAAACTGAGTTTGGCAGTTTGTGGATTTGCTTGAATCTGTTTTAACATTGTCAACAGAGCTAGAATGAAGCAGGAGCACCTTGTAATCATCCCCATAATCAACATGGCAGCAGCTACCATAGCACCTTCGTTCAGTACTGAAAGTTGAAAATAGAATGAGTTATTGCTGTTTGTTTCGTTATGCAAAATTCACGATAAGAATATTAAACGTGACAAAAGCAATTATTGTACACAAAGATGACTTATAGATCGTTTTTACCAGGGTTGAAATTTTTATTGTTTAAAAATCACTCATTATATAATAACTAAAGTTCCATTACAATGTTATAAATTAGTGTTAAATGTACATGGTGAAGTATAGGTAGGGTTACCATATTTTTTTTCACTTCAAAGCGGGACGCCTCCTGTAACACTACAGTTTCCGATTTTACTACATAGGCCTATATTTAAGCCATCCCGGCTGTCTTCATTGACCATATTGTCATCTAGAGTTCATGCGCATATTCACTGTCTAAATATCGGGTTTAGTTCGAAAAATAGAAAGAAATAGACGTTAGCGATACAAATGATCCGAATTTAGATTTTTTATGTACAGCAAAGGGAATAAAGATTAATAAAATAGTCTTCCGTTTTCAAGCATTGAGAATTTACTTATTCGCCCAAGCATGCTTCTCTATAGATAACATCTTTAAAAAAAACATTCAATGTTACATTCCCGTGAACGTCCGACCAGGACGAAGTAGAATTAATTTTACATGTGATACGTTCGCTAACGATGTTAGCGGGAAACAACGAAACAAACAAAATAACGCATTCACCTTCAGTAAGTACCCAAGTACGCTAGCGTTGCGCTAAACCCGCAACAACAGTAACGAGAACATGTTCGTGTATTATGCTGGATGGCTGAACTCAAAAGCGGGACTTTTGGCTGACTTGTCGGGACGGCGGGACAAGACGCTAAAAATCGGGACTTTCCCGCCTAAAGTGGGACATATGGTAAGCCTAAGTATAGGAGTATATGCAAACAAAACTCACCCATGTTTGCGCAGCTGTCAGGACCACATGCAACAAAAATTCCGCTTTGATAACGTATTGTGGTTTCATTTGTATTATTCAAAGCTTGAACACTTCTGACCATCCACCCTGTTGACCCAAACGCTATAATATCCAGTACTATATTAAATAACGTCACTGTGAGAAAAGCGATAACAACTTTTCTGTATGTTTTTTCTTTGTAACCATCAAACATTTTTGCTGTGCCGTATTTGCTAGAAAAAAAAAAATAAGGATAATAATTATTTATTCCCATAACAAGTTTCAGTGGGGTAGTCACTCTCGTGTCTCGTCGTCATCTCGAACAATACTCTGTTGGACAATCAGCCATACAAGGCTATACCGAGTAGAAAGACTGAATCTATCCGCGAGTACTGACTACAAGATATATATATATATAATTGTAAGGGACCAAAGATGGCTGCTAGACAAAAGCATCGAGGTTTTCTATCAGCGATGGTTTATACATTTCAACTACTCCCTAATATATTATCCATACTCCGCCATCAAGTCTTCATAGTATCCAATTAGCAATTGCAGCTTAAGTTTAATGTCCATAGAACGCTAACGTAAATTCATGATGCAGTTTAAAAACTATAGATTTTTTGAATTTGAAGTAGCAGGCTAGTATGGTTAAGAATTCGTCAGATGTAAACTAACTCGGCTCGGCGGTTTAGCGTTAGGAATACGTTTCTCATCGCACCTCTGATTAATAAAACACTCAGACAAACAAACGAGCAACCTGAGGCACAAAGTTGCAAATTTAACTGACTATATATCAGCTGCTATCTCGAAACTAAAAAGCAATATGTTTGGTGATTAGTAGGTAAATGTATTTAACATTTGTTTGTATTTGAAATATAATGATTTCATTGCACGTTTCTTCATGTTTGTTATATATACGTTAATTCATACATTGATTGCTAACTTGACTTTTTCTGTGAACGAAAACGTGGCTTCGTTGGACGGAAAGAGTGATCGGCAGGTCTACTGGTATTTAAAGTGTATAATGTGGTAATTGATTTTGAATAAAAACTCAAATATAACTGATTTCTTTGCCGATATTTATAATTTACATCAGTCTATTGTAATGAATAAAATCATCCACTTAAAATATATTAAATTGCCGTATTCGTTTATGCTAGGAAATTAGAACAAGATGATGATTAACAACAACATAATAACGAAACGATCCATATATACATTTCGTGTCCAACAAGAGAGCGATGCTCAAATATATAGACACGAAAGCATTTTTTCGCGACAGCAACAAGCACTCAACAACAACAATTTACGAAACGATTGTTATGTACCGGTACACTCCGTATCCAATTAATATTATTATGGGACGAACGCTCTTTCCATATATGACACGGAAAGAGTTAAACTTTCAACACATTCTTCAGTGTCCAATTAATATGAAGCAAAGTTTGACATGGCATGGCGTTTTAATACCAGGAATTTTGTATTCCATATACAGTATTCGCTCGACTTTCGCGTCGACGAAGAATGGCATTTACGCAATGTAATTAGTCGAAGTTGCATCACATTAATGCGGCATCAAGAATGACAAACTTACTAACGGTTTCTTTTATTATCCAAGCAACAACACTTCCCGTAATTGTCGCTGGTAAGTTTTTTTCATTATTTAATAAAAAAAATGGGATTTGCATTGGAATATGCAAAATATGCTTTGTAACGTAATTTTCTTTTATTTGTGTAATCGGTATATGGGTTCAAATGTGCGATATATATAATGCAAATTTTGCTATGTGGCTTGCGGATAAAATATTCCGTACCATAACCTAAATCTGGAATGCTATTACCATAAAACCACCAAAAACTCTCATGAAACAGTATAATCGTTAGTGCAATGTACATCAATAACAGGCACGTTTGAACAACATATGAAGTTTGACTTGAAACTAGATTTGTCAGTAATTCTGCACCCAATTCTATATCTTGTCCTCGGCTACTGTGAGACGAAATTGTTTCACCCCAAACAACAGCACGATTTGCGCAGGCTAAATATGAGCAGATATTCTAGGAAATTTATCTCAATAAGATGACGTTTTCGTGAGTTTTCTAATGCCCCAGTATCATCAAATTAAAAATTAATTGGGTGAATAAACACATTACGTGAGACGGCCTGCATATTGTATTTTTAATGCCTCACTCTGTTCGTTGGATGGAAATCTATTAGTTGGATTTGATTGCATCACAACTCACTGTGAAGTTCTTGTAAGTCCCGCCATTGTGTGAAATCTTCACAGATGCAAATGTACGCAGGGTCATACTTCACCGGGTGATATTCATTATTTCTTTCTGATGTTTGTGTACAAACGTACCCAGGCAAGGAGAATAGATGTTGCGTTGTAACTTGTATGTGCCATTAGTCGTTGATAAGATGACATTTGGTTTGTCATATTTGCGATTTATATTTTTATGTGCCAAGGAACTGTAGTAGAAACCAAGTAACTCGAGAAACGATAAAAGTGCTACAGACTTGAAGACAATAATATACCTCATTTTACAGATATTTCTTGCTCTAATTACCCTACAATTCCGGAAAATGGACATATATTTTGCACTAATGGAACGTCGGTTGGTTCAGAATGTATTTTTACATGCGAGCCTTATTTCTCTTTGGTAGGACCAAGAAAAATTGAATGCGCTCAAAATTTTTCAGGAACAAATTGGACCAACTCAACTACCTCGATTTGCATAGGTGAATAGTTTTGTGTAGTGTAAGATTAAGAGATGCTAATGTTTCCTAACTCAGATTCGATAGAACTGTGTTAGGAAGAAGTATCAAGTACTTCAGTTCAGCAAATTCACCATAAGCCGTATATCTAAGTCGCAACATTTTACACAAAAAAGTCTGCAATACCTTATCTGCCTTTGTATATCTTCTTCAATTAATTACTAAAATATTACAATAAGTAGGACTTTCTGTTTATTTTAAAAGCCGATCGCTGCAAACCAATCAATGAAACAGTTCCGAACAGATATGTTACTTGTACAAGAGAAAACCAAGTGACGTCAGTATGTCATTTTAAATGTCTGCAACAGAATTATGCATTGCATCCAACGGGGAGCAAGACTATCAAATGTATGAGAAATAAAGAATGGAATGGAGAAATACCTTGTTGTGCACGTAAGTTATTCCAATACCTTCAGTTTTGTATATTTTAAACGCTTGCTTGCTATTTCATTATATTTTGTTGATAAAGAGTAAAACAAGAAACCGAATATCGTAAACTCATTTTTACAAGTGTGCAGAAGTCGTGTTAGGCTTTCTACTCCTGGGATTTTCCTAAAAAATTTCTATAGTATTTTAATATTGGTGACATGTGTATATCAATCAGCGACATATTTTTTTACAATTCGGGGTGCTCCCGAAGTATGCGAACCAAGATGGCGGACATCGGAACGTAACATGGGTAACAGCACAGGTTAGGATTAGGCGATAATTTTTTTCCAATTTTCCTTATTTTAGTCCTATTATCAGTTCGAAGACTAGCCAAGAGCCTCCCGTAGTATTTATATCTAAAATTATGGCCTAACCCTAACCTAGTACACATATATATTATATTCCGATGTCCGCCATCTTGGTTCGCATACTTCGGGAGCCCCCAATTCGGCATATTTCGCAGATGGCACTGGAAATTCAAATTTTCAAATCATTTCTAATCCTAACTGGATAATTACTAATTTTGCGTTAGTGGCGGGGGATTAGTAAAAAATATCCTGACGTATATAAAAAAGCGTGGCCTATCTAAGCTGGTAGAAAACAATTTCTTGAAATCTCTACCACCTTGCAGCATGCTTGTTTCAAGTTTCAGTTCAAACCATTTTTACAAAATAATAAATCAATTATATATATTGTTTTGTTATTCAAGCTCCCTGTCCTCCTCACAATGTGATCGATGCGTATGTTTTGCTGGATTCATCCGATTCTGTCGGAGCAAAAGACTGGATTTTACAGAAAAAGCTTGTCAAGCACATTTTGGGGTAAAATTGTTTTCAATATCTTCATATAATTTTAAGTTAAAATGTATATCAGCTATTGTCATCGAAAACATGAAAGACTTGAAAAGACCAATGTCTTGCTAGAAACTTCCTGATTTATTCCCAATTTTTGTGTTTTTAGGCATTTTTCCTTATCACCAGATTCTACAAAAATTTCTATGATGCGTTACAACAGTATAGTTGACAAGAAAAATCTGATTTATTTGAATGATTATCTAGAAGACAGACATTCGGAATTTTGGCATGCTGTTGATTTACTACCATATGACGGCACGGGTGAGTGGAGTTTATGAGAGAAGAAACGAAAGTTATACATCTAGTAGAAAATGCTTTTTTTTTAATAAATTTTATTATCTTACTAATCATCAGGTTCAAATATTGGCCAAGCAATTAGGTATCTCATTAGCAACATGATGTTGCCTGAAGTAGGAAATCGCCTGAACGTACAAGATTTAATTATCATTTTTACATCTGGGAAATCGGAAGATAATTATCTGAACGCCATAGCAGCTCTTCAAGCAACCGGAGCCACAGTAAGTATGATTTGCTTTTCCAGATCGCATATGTGATGTGAATATTATTAAATTCTAGCCGACAATTAATTTCTAATCATACTTTGCACGCGAAACATATTTATTCCAGCAGTTTTTTATTTCTTCCATCTCACTTCTAAGTGGCATTTTGATTCAAGTCCATTGAGGTGTACATAACACCTCAATGTTCAAGTCACACGAACTGATCTTGGCCGGTAGGCTATTGTTTTGTCATTGTGGCAATTAATTTGCTGTTATTACATCATGAATGCACGCTGCAAACAATGGGGTTCTAATATCATTTCTAGCAAATCAATCATAATAATTTACCAATCTAAGTGCCCGGTATCAGAACCTCTACCACTAAGGACATTTCCTAGAAATAATGACAAAAACATTTCCTAAGACAAAGACCTTCAAAATAAGGACAAATCTTAGAAATACGGACGTTATGCAGTCCTGTGTATAGTGTACAAAATTACAATAAAGTTCTTCTGTATACGTTTGTGGCTTATGTTAATCATCATTATTAATATATTTCAACACAGGTCTTGATCATCGTTGTTTCAAAATCTAATTTGTCGAACTTGGATCTACTACGCCTTTTTCATCTATCTAGAAATACAGCTTTACAATTGGTGTTTAAAGAAAGTTATGAAGAATGTTTAGATGTATTAACTGAAGACAAGATTAACCTTAACCTTTTTTGCTTTAGTTCTTGTTTAGAAAAAATAGAACTATAAAAAACGAAGTTTAAGTGAAATGGTAACATCATTAAATCGAATATAGATCAGATATACCCAAACACTTATATTTATAAAACTGAATGTTGTTATCTCAGTTACTATGTGGGTATATAATGAATATTGCAATGTATTCGTTTTCAACCAAAAAAAGAAAAGTGAAATATTTTTAAAATCATTGTTTATTCTTTACGTCACCAACAGAACAAAAATAGTTGGCATTTTAAGTTTACTTTGTCTGATTTGCCGGTCTCTTAAAAAAAAATCATTTGTAGTTATACAGAGTAGAATAATCATCCTCGACTGAATGTACAATTATGAACTTTTTCCATGGAAGACATTCTACGCTTTGTAAATGGGAAAAAGATGAAAACGCAACAAATTTCAGACCATATTTTCTTAAAAAAACATATATTATCTTAAAAGTAATCCGAGGTTGAATCTAACATATATATATTCAGTCTTAATCTTTTTTTTTTGAAGTGTATCAAAAAAAGATCTCGAGAATCCATAAACACTGAAAATCGTTTTTATTCGTTGACCGTCATTATCCATTGAAAAGAATGACCACCACCAAACAGAGGCATATACTCGTATAGCCTTATTAATTAATTTAATATAGAGGACTTGCACGGGTCACGTGACATTGTTACTGGACGGCAATAAAACAAAAACGTCCATTTGGCTCCTGTCAGTTGCAAGTCGGATTATACGTTTCCGTTTTGTTTGGCTGTTGAAAATGGTTATTTCGTATTGTTCCGCTGGCTGTACGTATAGTATAGACAACGAAATGGATCTTCAGCTATATTCCACTGTTTTCAAAAGATCCGGAACGTCGCGCAATGTGGATATCATCTATTGGCAGGACTGCTTGGTGTCAAGTCCAGAAGCCATCTTACTCGTGTTTCACTGTTTGCGGACAGCATTTCGTTGATAGTGAGTCATGATGTGCCGTTATCATTTTTTTTAAATATTTATAAGCTCCCTCATTTCAATGGATAGCAGATGACAAACTACTGTTATTGGTAGGCCTACTTGCAGACTTGACTCGTGTAAGGTATTAATCAATAATTGCCATAAGGTATTGTTTCCCTAGTTAGCAGGTAATCTATTAGTAAGTGTGAAAATTTGAATAGATAACTGAAGTTTAATGCCAGTGCTAATGCAAAAAATAACCAGAATTTAATTGAATTCTCCATCTGAGAATACGCTCGCCACCGCATCTCTGATCCCCATGGGAGTTTCACAGGTTCCAATCCCATGCGGGGATAGTTATGTGCGAGGGGACGAGGAGATTGCAGCTCTCCTCCCACTAAGGGTGGTTCACACGACCGCTGGTCGATTACGACATCCCCCACCATCAAGTCCATGCTTCTAAAACAAATAACTGGCTAACTAATCCCGACATAGAACGGTAATCGTACGATGTTGCACCTTGCAATCTGTCCCCAACCACAGATAAATTCTATCCTAAAAACTACCCACATTGGTAGGCATAGTTGCGTTTTAAATTGAAAGAAATCTTAATTAATGGTCAGAAGGTGTTGTCTGATTATTTTGGTAGTCAGCAGGTAATTTATTACTGATCTGATACACAAACTTGGCACTGTCAAATGATGATTAGTGTTTAATTTATTTTCAGGAAAAAGGGAAGATAACCCATTATCAGCTGCTTACATGTCACATCGATATTTGAATTTTCGCCATCCCCAGAGAAGAAGAGAATAGTTAGAAAAAGGAGGATTTTGAAGAAAGGAAAAAGGCAGGACCATTTCAACAAATTCTGTTAACTTGTATGCGTTGCAATATTAATTCGCAGTTGTTAGCATAAACATTTAATGTGTCTTTCGACTAGACCTACCACACTTTAAAAAAAAGCCGCCCACACCCCTTTTCACTAGAACCATAATACTGTAAAATATTTGATAGAAATTACCCCCCGAGGCATCATATCTTTCATTTGAAAGGGCTGTGGAGGCAGATACATTTTTTACTCTAAATTATGGAATGTTACTTCCAGGTTATCTTATCCCTTCTTATAGATATCTTGAGGTTAGTGACTCCAACTGACCCAAGCATGCCACACTGAAAATTCTCTTGTGTACCCATAAAATAAGGCTGTTGGAGCCTTCAGACCTTGAAAACAGTCGAATCTGAGCAGGATGGATTCATGTGAAACACATAATACACGTAATATGCATTTAGAGGCAAAAATATCCCATCCTGAGCAGCACCGATCCACAACATCCTGCCTATGGAATCAAAACATTAGACAAATTGGTGTACTGTGCGCATTCACAAATTTTTGCGAATCAAGTGTGCCTTTTGACTAAAGAAAATTTAGCATTGAAATGGTCAATCTCAATATCAACCTAGTATCAGCAGATAAAACCAATTGTTTTTTAAAAATACATTTTTGATGTGCTTTATTTTTCAAATATAATTTATAATTACTGTAAAGTGTGTGATACATTTGGTACCATGAATACTATTTGCAAATTAGCTTGGGTTACACCCCTCTCAAATAAAAGTTTAGACTCTTAAGTCGTATCTCATAATATTCTTTAAACAAAAGGTTGCGGCTAGCTGGCTACCCATCAGAATTTCCTTTCAGATCACAAAGTCGCAATATTACGCCTCGCTTAAGTTTCATTGGCAACTGTATCTGGTTGTAGTATCGGTGTCCAACGTTAGACTGAAACCTTCACGACCAGACCCACCGAAACAATTTTTTTTTCTTGATAGGGTCGTCTTGAAGTTGATTTCGTTAAAGCACAATGGACACTTTATCTCCACCAATCCACAGTAATGACAAGTTACTTTGTCATTACGATAAGCATCAATAAATGGATACTGAGGATGTATTATCAAGTCACGCAAGCTGAGGTCTTGTGCCACTGTGGTCTTGTTGCAACTTATACTTTGCCATCCATCTATTCCATGGTCGCACCCATATCTGTAAGATAATGGATACAGATAAGAGTTTTCATAAATCTAACGATCAAGGAGTGTGAAATTTAGGGCTGGGCATTTTCGAATACCTTGTGATTTCAGAATCAAATCGAATAATTTTTTTCGAATCGAATCTCGAATACTTGAAAATATAAAATTGTAAGCGACTTTATCATAGTAATTGGTCCTCTCAACAAATGAATTACTGAAGACATAGAATGAATCACTCAGATAGATTACTGAGCGTTCACACAGAATAACAAACACGTTTTATCAATAACTCACTACAGAAAATAGTCATATGTTAGAATTTCGTTGAAAAAATATGACTTCAATGAAAAAAACATTGGGGAATTCACCTCGACCATTAGCGTAAAGATAAAAACAAGATGGCGGCAATTCGAAATTCCAGTCTGAACCGATTCGAATAATTTACTATTCGATTCGAATATTCGATTGGAAATGCCCAGCCCGGGTAAAATTTATGTCCATATCCCACCACAGCCACTAGTCGTAAATGAATTTGATTCCGGGTAGCATATCTTTTTTACCAATGACAATAAAAAGACATTTTGAATCAGTTGTATCATGACCAGTGGTGTTAAACTTTAGTTATCTATTCAACCTTTCACACTTAGTAATAGATTACCTGCTAATCAGGAAACAATACCTTACAGCAATAATTCCTTACTGTCTTACACAAGTCAAGTCTGCAACTGCAAGTAGGCCCACGCCTAGGCCTACTAATAACAGTAGTTGATTATTAGATTAATTCCTTACTGTCTTACACAAGTCAAGTCTGCAACTAGGCCTACTAATAACAGTAGTTGATTATTAGATTATTGATTATTAATTCCTTACCGGTACTATCTTACACAAGTCAAGTCTGCAACTGCAAGTAGGCCCACACCTAGGCCTACTGATAACAGTAGTTTGTCATCTGCTTTCCATTGAAATGAGGGAGCTTGTGAATATTTAAAGAAATTGATAACGGCACACTATCACCACATTATCACTCACCATCAACGAAGTGCTGTCCGCAAACAGTGAAACACAAGTAAGATGGCTTCTGGACTTGACACCAAGCAGTTCTGCCAATACAGCAATAGGCAATAGATGATATCCACATTGCGCGACGTTCAGGATCTTTTGAAATCAGTGGAATATTACTGAAGATCCATTTCGTCCATGTCTATACTATACGTACAGCCAACAGAACAACGAAATAACTATTTTCAACAACCAAACAAAACGCAAACGTATAATCCGACTTGCAACTGACAGGAGCCAAATGGACGTTTTTGTTTTATTGCCGTCCAGTAACAATGTCACGTGACCCGTGCAAGTCCTCTATATATATTTGAAGTTATAAAACGCAGAGCTTATCTCAAATAAAAAACGCAAATACAAAATTTATATTTGAGAAAAAAATTGTTGAACTAAAATAAAATAAATTTTGTATTGCTGTTTGGCATTCAATTTTAAATTTGATAAGAAGCGACTTTTCTCTTCCCGAGATAAATATGAAAATGTAATCCTATCTTAATCTAACTAAGCGTTTACCGCGTGTTGTCGTTAGAGAGCAGCTGTTTATGATGATCAGCTGATCCAATAAAATACTTGAAATTTATATTCTGACTGCTTTCTGTTTTGGGAAGGTTAACTGTTTGCTTCGAGGGACTCTAAATTCAGACATTATATAGAATGCAAAGTACTGAAGTACATATTTGGATACTACATGAATTTATTGGATTTAATTTTCACTGAGATACACAGCTGTAGAAATGGGGGAGAGGAATAAGAAAATTCTTTTGGAACAATTGCAAATAGGCAAGAACAAATATTGTGCAGATTGCAATGCGCCAGGTAATCATAGAACTAATACAGTAATATGAATGCTGATGCGGTATTTTTTCAATAAATGTATTTTGAATTGTCCAGAAAGTGCTTTCATTTTATGTTTATATAAACTAGCCTACAATGCTGCAATGAATTCGACCTGTAAAATAACTTGCAATGAGCAGGTCTGCTGGTGCGATAAATATTTTTCAGATTACAATATTCAGATATTATTGGCAAACTTCTTTAAAAATTACAAGTTGGATGCTAATTTCTATCTGTATATTGGTAGTTGTAGTTCAAACTAATTTACAGGGAGTCCTCGACTTACGACGTTGTTCCGTTCTCGAGGCGCGGTGTAACCCGAATTTCAGTGTAAGTCGGAACATTATACTGTACAGTACATATATTACTCTACACATATCGTACTGTATTGTAACGTATGGTACTGTAATAAAATGTACAAATAATGCAAAGAAGTACTTTATTAAAAAAACAGAAAACAATTTCATATCACATGAATAAAAGCAAATACTGTACAGTACAGTATTATCATTTATATTTTTTATAGAGTGCGTTCGTAACCTCAAAACAGCGTTTATGGAGTGCGTGTTCGTAACCTCGAAACAGCGTAAGTCGCGACGGTCGTAACTCGAGGACTCCCTGTATTGTTATTAGAATTTAAATACTTTTTATTCATATTTATCCCGGGGTAAGAGAGACGATGGCATATTTCAAATATTCATATGTGAACTATAGTCTCTCGTCTGGTTACTAATGCAAGTTGGTATGCGGTTAGCTGAACATTTAATCATTGTAGATGCACAAATTCACTTTCGTTAGCCACCCTGCTATAATGGTGAAAAAAATCAGCAGAACTGTATCACCCAATTACGGGTCTTACTACTTACTGAATACAGCGCGAAACACCACAAAGAGCGCGAATCAGAGGGGAAACAGCGCAAAACAGAGGGAAACAGGGTCAAACAGAGGAAAACATCGCGAAACAGAGGAAACCAGCGTCAAACAGGAGTGCAGTTGTTACCACTTCATGACGGCTCCTGCCACGAAAGAATCACGGCGCCTCTCGTCTCGGCACGTTTACCGGTATATTTACAAGGTTATTTACCGGATTTGGGGTCATCATGTGAAATTTTATCTTTTTTTTTTATCTAACCCTAACCCTAAAGCCAAATCAATCAAAACTGTGTCCATATGGAAAATGTTCCAAATTACGGTACCCAAAATGTGTCACCAGCAGGCACCACCCCGACTCATTGCAGAATTTTTCTCTGTTTTGCGTGCTGTTTTGCACTGTCTTCCTCCTGTTCCGCGCTGTTTGCGGTATTTTGCGCTGTATTCAGTAAGTAGTAGGACTGTCCAATTACCCTCCAAGAATTCAAACTTGTATTGTGGTGGCAAGAATATTACCATCGATTGATTAGCTGTGACAACCGTGAATACCACCGAACAATTTTTTTTGTTATTTCCAATTATTTTTTTATGTGCAGCCTGATTTGTGTTTTTATTTAAAATGAAGGAATATTTAGTCTTACAATAATATAATACAATAATATAATATTTTTGAAATCAAATAAATCAATATTTATTGAAATTAAATTATTATGTTTATTTTAAATAAAAACATATCAAAATTCTATTTGGAATGATTCTGTGTGTAGGCTTAAGTTTATCTGTCAGATTGAACATTGATTATATTAAAAAGTCAAGTTCGCTATTTTAAGTTTTTATTACCTAATATCCATCATTTTGTTAATTATCATAATTGCATGATTGCTTATTATAAACCAATGTTTAATTTTTTTTATTTTTCATAACAATAACATTATTTTCTAGTATCTCAGTCAAAAATATTTTGAAAATCAATATTTCACCGTTCATATAATGATATAATAAATAATAATACAATAATATCACATACGGTACTAATATATTAATATCATATATATATATATAGCCTATAAAATTTCAAAGCGAATATTAACTGTTCTATACTCTATAGTTCCTACAGACCTATACTCTATGGTTCATTCAAACTGTACTTTCATCGCTATAGTCATGTTTTTAACCTCCGCTGCCCTTAACCCCCCCCCAATATTATAGTTTTTCATAGCTTGAGGTTATTAATTTTTAGAAAATTGTTTTAGAATGTTATTTCAAATTCTATTTATTTAAATTCTCTTTGATTGAAATTGTAACTTGACTGTAACTCTGCTCAGTGATCGATCACATTTAAATTTAAATTAAAGAATTAAAAAAATATGTCTACATCAAAATAATGAATGACATATCAAAGAATTTCATAATTTTACTGGAATCAGAATAAATTTACACAAACGGTTTTGTTTCCCATGGCTCTGTGGTTAAGGACCTTTCTGTTTTTACCAGCTTTTTTGATGTTTAACCCAAGACACTTAAGGAAGGTATAATGAACTATACCAAATTATAGCTATTCCAGTCCTTTCATTCAAAGTCATATTCACATTTTGCCACTATTTTTGACTGAGATAAGTTTATTTTGTTCTTAGTTTAGAATCAATCATTTGTGTAAGGTGAAATAGCAATCCCAGCATCTCACTGATTCATTTTCATTTCTGTTTTTCGGTAAGTACAAATTATTTTACTAATTTAAAAAAATTTTCTGTTGGAAAGACACGCAATATTGTTTTTGTGTTCATTCATATTTGCATGAATTTTAAACAATTTTTTGTTATTACAATCCATTGTGCTATTTAAGTTGAGATTAATTTCTGATTAATTTAATAGGTTTAGGGTATAATTTTCATGGTATTCAGAGGTGCACATTATTTGTGTTTCTCCCAATATCACAACATTGAAGTTTTGAAAACTGAAACTTGCTCTTTGATAATGAGACGGTGACCGGTACATTTGAACCCATACATTTGCATCGGTAGATCCGCGGGTTCAATCTATATGCGGGTGCTAAAATCCATGGGTTGGGGTTAGTATGGGTTCAAATATCCATAAAAAAAAAATTCCATAGGTTCGATAGTGTGCAGGTGCAATTGTCGTGGGTTCAAATTAGGGGTTCAAATGTACGTGGGTTCAAATGTAATGGAACCTAATGAGACAAACGGTACAGCAAACAAAATCAATTGTTTTTTTTCGATATTCACGAATTGATGTACCTTATTGACCATATTTGTATTTTGTAAATTTTCAAGTTTTGAATGATTGCATCCAAAAAGTATAGAATCAGAAAATGGGTTGAATAGGCTACCGACAATTTAATGTTTCTTTTAAATAGCCAACACAGCTTTTACAAGTTTGAATATCTGAAGAAAATCTGAATAAATTTACTATAAAAATGATAAATTCAATACCTCCATAAATTAATCCTCTCATCTTGTTTTATGTAATTTTGAATGTTTTTTTGATTTTTATACAATAGATCCAGAATGGGCATCAAGCAATGTTGGCGTGTTTGTTTGTGTGAATTGTTCAGGAATTCATCGAATGTTGGGAACTCATATAAGTCGAGTTAAATCATGTAAACTTGATCAATGGGATGATGATTCCGTTGCGGTGAGTATTTTCCACTGATATTACAGTTTTCTTGTTATTTTATAAGTGAATCTAATATTCGAATCGATTCGAGATTACCATAATTGTATGTAGTATTTCAAATTCTTGAGGGAATAGGATAGGATTTTCATACTTATCCAGGGGAGAGGAAAGACGATAAGATGGCTCCAGGTACCGGTCCATGCTGGGAGGGGATTAGTCAGCCAGTTATTTGTTTTCTGGACTTGAGTTGGATGTAATTTTAAAATAGTTTTAATTGCACTAGCTCAAACAATTTTAATAGGTACCACAGTAAGATAGAAAATGCGTTCATCCAATTCTTAAGAACTGTAAAAAATATAAAACAAATCAAATCATTATTTGTCGTCACTTCATTGCATAGCAAATTCAAACTCGTTGGATAAAAATTATCTTCTATATTGTGTTTGCTGAACATGACTCAAAATTCAAAAATGTTATTTTAGAATATTTTTATAACAATAGTTTGTTTGGTTTTGTACATCTTTGAGATTTGAATTTATCCCATGAAATATGAATACAGTCTGTAACATATGAGCCAAGCTCCCATGCAATCTCGCTGTGAACTGTGAATGGTATATTAGAATAGATTGTGTTTGTTTCATACTATCTATATAATATAACACAGATTCATTTACTGCACATTGCCTCAAAAAATTTATATTTATAAACCATGTACCTACCTAAAAATGGCACTGGTAATGTAAACATAAATGATATGCAATAGAATTATGAAATTAGGGAATATAGATTGTTTGATGAACTTGCTTAACTAATAATCAAATACAAAATTTGTATAATTATCGAAAATTATTAGAAACATCTTGTCATAATGCAACTAATCGAATGGTAACAAATCCACTTGTTTTCAGTTCATGTGTGAGCGAGGAAATGAAGTTGTGAATGACGAATTAGAAAAATATTTACCTGTGTATTATCATAAACCAGTATCAAGTGATCCACAGTAAGTGTTTTGAATTAAGAATTTTTTTAAGAATGAATGAGGCTCTAGGTAAGATACAACTTTGCATCAAGTAAGATAGAAATCTTTTTAAATTATTAAAACATAGATATATCTAAGATGCAATTACAATAATTGGAATGGTTTTTTAAGTACCGTAATTCCAAGGATGCTTTCTTATTACCTCACTTGATAATAGCACAACTGGTTGTTATTTTTTCTAATTAATAATTAGACACGTAAGTTATTTATCTGAACTGTATGTTATTGATGGGTTAGATTTTTGTGGATTGATCAACAGCAATATATGTTTATCTTCAGCTCTTTGTTTGGCTCAAGCGTGGGTAACACATTCCCCGTCTATCCAATGATTAGCTTGCTTGTGTCCGCAGGTTCCAACCCTGTTTAATGTAATTATGTTGAAATAGGAGGTTAGCTATTTCCACCGGTATCCGGAAATGATTGTGGTTTGACTGTGGCTTCCGACTTCAGATTGATAGAAATTTTGACTCCAGCTCCTACCTCCCATAGAAATACAATTTTGTCATAAAAACATGGACTTATCTAGGCCTTCTGTAATAGACTGTTAGGATTAGTCAACTTAGATTTTAATCGAAATTGAATTACATTGGAATAAAATTATGTCTTCAATTGAAAATATGTCAAACTCCGACTTCTGACTCTACAGCCCTAATTATTCACCTGCGATCTTTAGCCTCTCGTCTGAATACCAATCCATGCCAGGTTTTGGAATAGTTGACGATTTATTATTTTTCGAGGCCATGGTATTGTACTCATATTTTTTTTATAAGCTCTTTATTATTTGATCTCACCCCTAAGACGAATTTGTGGTCCATTATTCTCAAATTAACTTTTATTTTACCAGAGTATACAAAGAGCAATTTATTCAATCGAAATACAACAGAAAAGAATTCAAGCAACCTGGTGGCCCAGCACATTATGAAAAAGGCAGATTAGTCGGTAATTTACATAAACGGGGAAAAGAAGATAAACAGTACAGAGTTCGGAAATTTGTTCTCGATGCTAATGAGGGAACGTTAAAATATTATATAAAACAAGAAGTAAGTATGAAGAGTTGGGATTGAGAAACAAAAAAAGTTGCTGTTTTTTTAAAACTATCATTTGTGAATTTCACTCTGAACATGGCACTGTCACTGATATTTAAGGATATTACTAGCTGTCAGAAGAATTATGATTTTGAAAAATGATAAATTCCAAAATATAATTATTGCCAAAATCAAATAAGATACTTTTTCAAATACATTCTGGAATAACATTTTCGAATAATGCGAAATTGTCACAATGCACTACACAAGATATTGTGATTATTATCTTCACATAAAAATATTGTCACATAAAAACACACTAGCTCTTGTCAAATCGTCACACGTAGCAAATTGTAATATTTAAATGTATAGATAGCGACATATTTTGAAACACATGATATTAACACATTGCAAACATGTAAGATATTGACGCAGAAAAAACACACATAATATAATAGTATCACATCACAGAAAAATATGAGGCTTTGAATAAATATGAATTTTTACTATCAATTTCTCGTCTGTTACAACTTACAAGATTCACACACACAGGGAGATAAAGGCGTTTAACACATGAGAATAAATTTTTGAATGAAAATACAACTTGCTATTAGTAAAACACACAAGTGTTTTATGCAGATACGTGACGATATATTTTTTTACGTTGAGTATGTTCCATGACTAACCATTATGCATTAAATGTAATATATTAGACGTATATATGACTCAATAGATGAGTCGTAGTAAATTGAACAAAAAATTTGAATGAGCTTAAACATCGGTCAAGCATGGTATCATACGTTATCTAAGGCCCATATGTGACTGTGACAGTGTTACAATCGATTCTGCTTTAAAGGAAAACAAATGTAAGGATTTTGGTTTGGCAAAATATTTGAATATCCTACTATACAGCTGTAATGGCATCTTATTAAAACAATTGCGACTGGTTATTGAAAATGGATTGAGGACTGTAATATGTTCCATACGATACAGCATTAATAAAATATATTTATGTAATGTTTCGTCTGACCAAATTCAATTGATAAATAATTGTAGAAGGAAGTCTGACCTTGGTCAGACGAAACGTTACAGAAATATATTTGTGTTAGTGTGCAGCAAGACTCTTGAATCACTTAGGATAGTTATCTTTACTCTTGCTACAGCATCCTTGCATTATATGCACACTGCTCCATCGAAAGCATAGAAGACGGATAAGTAGTTAGTCTTGCAGAAACCCAATCGATAGCAAAATAAAAGTCAGATATGAAAATACTTTTTCATTATGGCATACTAAGCAGAATGCAAAATGGCCTTTTAGCAATCTTGTAAGTTGTAATCATGTGCAATATTATGTTTGTTGCGACGTGATATGAAAATAGTATGTGCAATTCTTGCGTGTATGATACAATAATATTCTGTGTAAAGCTACAATGATATTTTCACAATTCAAAAAAGTCTTTTACCCTAAATAAAGATATAATGAATACAAAATTATGTGCAATGATATTGCAATATCTTATGTGTTGTGATCTTTTGATGTGACATTTAATAATAAGGTAACAATAAGATATTAGACTTAATCACATGGCGAACCACTGCCTGCAAACCCACACTTGGTAATCAGAGGTACGACCACAAGTGTATTCCTAATGCTTAGCACGATGCACCACCCGGCGCACCAGTATTGGAAAACAGTGAAATTCTACAATAATAGTAAAGCTCCCACTATATTACGTAGTTTGGATTTCTCATTCTTTATTTTGGTCTGTTGTGAATAGCGTTAATATGAATTTACAGATTTACATTAATATGATCTTGTATTTACAGGCCAAAGAACCAAAGCAGTCTATACCATTAACAACATTACATGCAACTTTATCTCCAGAAATTATCGACCATCCGAATGGTTTACAATTATCGTTTCTCGTTAATGGTGTTACTAGACATATTTATCTTTATGCTGACAATGGAAAGGTATGTGCATTGTTGTCTTTTACTAAGCCTTATTATTCTGATGGATATTCGTGGGCGTTCTTTAACCTTTTACTGATATTTGTAGCCTGTCATTGCGCTATACTGACACTTCATTTACTGTTTAATAAGTATTCAAAGTAAATATGGTGATGGATAATTTTTGATATTTTGTTTGCTAATAATTTGTCACTGCTGTTATTTTTGGTATATTTATGCCTTACAATAAGCATGATTTAAAAAGAGACTTTTGTTCCATTTGATACTGCCATATATTATATAGCAGTTGTCTTTTATTTTTAGGTATTGAAAAATTTTTTTACCCATCCCAGCTTATTCTGATTTGGCCTAATTCTACACTATAATTTTAAATAGTCTCAGACTCTCAGTACCTGAACTTCGATTTGCGATCAGTCACCTCTATTTTTGAGTGAGTGATAAAACTATTACCTTGAAGGGGCCATTCCAAGCAAAAGTTGAATTTCATCAATTTCATTGAAAGTGTAGTGAAAGTAATTTTTTTGTATTTTTTATATCAAAAGACATTGGAATTTTATTGGACTATTAAAATTTCACCCAAGTTTTTGATGGTTTTTAGAAAATGGCCTGAAATGTAGAAATTTTTGTGTAATTGACATATTATTTTGTGATGATTCGTGACACAAAGTGTTTGATTGTGTGATACAGTTATTTCATATGAAATCGACACACTCGATTTAAGTTAATAAAGTTTAAATGTTTGCAGTGCTGTAGGACACGTCTTCACCCATTTAATGATTTATTACCAGAATTTTAAGAGATGACAGAGGCCGCTGTTCTGAAGTTGAAAATGTCTTGTAGTGTCACATACGATATGCACATTATTGAGATGGATTTACAGTGTTACATTAAGTAACTTGAGCAACACTTAGAGGGGTCCTTCAGCTACTGCACCAGGAAATATTATGGGGTCCTGCTGTACCATCGCAAAAATTTACAGCATAACACAATGTAACGTTAATGCATGGTGGATTTGCTGTCCTGTATTGTCACGCTATATTTTACGTTATTTTTTATATCCACTAAGTAAGTCTTGTGTGTAACTTTTGTGCAATTTTTTCCATATTCAATAAAGCAATTGATTGGACAATGAAACATAACATGTAGCTGAAAATATAAAAATATATTGCATCTAACAACATGCAAAATTTCTGGAATTGTCCTGTAGTATCACTTGCAATAGCCCAGAGAATATTTATTTTAATTGATTAATTAATGTTAGCGTAATTCTACTCTATGATTCCTTATAGTCTCAGAGCTCAGAGTGTGTGCAGATGAGAGATGACAATGGTTTGAGCGAATTTCTTATAATTAATTATTTAATCTATAATTTTTGTCAATCACATCCCCAATTTATCAACATTTATACATACCTTTGGAATATCCATTTTTAACTGCGACTCATTAATCTGTTGATTGCACAGTTATTGCTTCCGTGTTTACTGAACAATAAAAATATGATAAGATTACGCAGATTAAGGAAGTGAATCCAATAATGCTGCTAAGTACGAAGCAATTCCTTTCTTCTTTTCGTCAAGCTTGCATGAAACGTTTATTCGTTTCAAAATTTGTATTTGTGGCAATTTATTTAATATTTGAATCTGTAATGATGACGAAATAATTTGATGATATGTTTTGAGCAGTGATTCTGAAAACTTCATGATTAGTGGTCCTTGGCTTCCTTCTAAAGACTATCAACGCTTGTGACTCCCTGCTCTTCTCTAAAAAAAAATTAGTTTTGTCTTTAACGGGTTTCCATCTGTTATTTCATGCGCCAAGTTTAATAATAAAAAAGCCGATAAACCAAAGCAAAAGAATGCATTATGATGAGAGAATTAGAAATATTTATTTAAAATTAATGTACCGTAGTAATCACATATGGTATTTGAGAAACCCAGTCCTAGAGAATATTTATTCAACAATTCAAACAGTATACATTTGTATATTTATATATAAGACTAGATCATAATTTTGTTTGAATGAGGTCTATTTATATTGTTTAAAATCAAAATTATATTAAGGCAAAATCATAGAATAGCTGTTTGTATGAAGACATTTTAATTAGTGTGACAAAATTTAAAAAATGTGGTCTTCTTATTAATATTTTTTGTCATCAATGATTGGTATGCCTAACGAAAATGGGCATCATTTCAAACTGAACAAATTCTAGTAGAATGCAGCATGCCAATGGCCTACCCAAAAATATGACAATTGAAAATTCATGCTCAAAACCAGCTATGTAGCGTCGTTCTCACGATATTGCAGCATGTCTGCATTGGAAGTAATGATTCGTGTCACGTGCAGGAAGCTTTTCATTTCATTTCGTAATACAATTGACCTTTTAAAAAATTTATGTTTGAAAATTTATGATTTTAATAAAATTGTAATAAAATAATATCAAATTTTCAAGTATGAGTTTATTTTGACTCCATAATCAGCATAACAGATTATAAAATATTCAATAAAAATGAATTATGAAATCAGGAGAGCCAACCAAACTTTGGGTAACGGCTAAAACGTACGATTTCCAAATAATAATGTGTTACCAAAAGAATTGGTATGTGTTCACTCATCTTAAAGTATAATATTAATTCATACACACACACACAAACACAGAAATATAATAAAATAAATAAAAAAATTATAGAATCTTAGGATAAATCACTTGTTAAACAAACAAAAAAACACCGAAAAAATTTTTTTTTTAAGCTCTAATAATCTTTTGTAAGAAGCAGTCAGTTATACTAGTAACCTTTGTGAGTCATCTAATCCATGTTGCTTTATCAGCAAAATATATTGATGTTATTTCTATGACAAATTTTCCAAACGTAAAACGGTCCTGCTACTGCTATTGAATTGACGCAGTCTTTGCGCTTGAAATTTAAGAGCAAAATTCCAAAAGTAAGTCAAACGTAAAGTTGCAAATCAAAAAATCTTGTCAGGGATTTAGAGTCATTAGAGTTTTAGTTATTTTTTTTTGAAATTCCCCTCTTAGTTTTTTTTTAAATAAATTTGTATGCTATTTAATATTTCCAACTTTTCAGTATATAGTTAAACATGAAATAATGTATTTTTGGGTGACTTATGACTTATGAGGCGGATCAAAAAATTTCTTTTGCGATCCTATTCACGTTTATTTCTTAACAAGACTCAATAAGAATGGCCACTGGTAATTGACAGGTGATTTCCTTATAGTTGTTTGCATTGGAATCATTATAGCTATGCTATTTCACTTTTGTACCATTTGGAAATTACAAAATAATCTTGTGATTATGATGAATTTAATATCATAATTGATAATTATAATATCGTGTGTCTGCGGCATTAAAAATAAGTGTAAATGGTTATTGATCACCTTCAAAATATTTTTTATGCAAAGTGAACTTTGGATTTTAATAATCAATATATACTTTCGAATGGAGTTTACCTAATATTTATTTTACTATATATTATATCTGGATGCGAAATTTTAATTAGACATGCTATTAGATTTGAAATATTTATAATTTATATAATATTTACCGTCAATGATGATAATAATAGCCTGTGTGCATTTTCTGCTACTATTAGTTCTTGAATATTGGAATAATCTTTTCGATTTAGTATAGCAACCTAATTTATAAGGTACACTCATAACCAGGTTAAGATTGGGCCATAATTTTATTCTGATTTTCCTCATTTAGCCTATTCGAGTTCGGAGACTGTCTGTTAGCCAAGTGAATATACCCCCTGCCCATAGGTTTCAATCCCTCCACACAACTTGGTGTAAAGTAGGCAAACAAAATTAGTTACCTCCATATCGGTACACATAATGCTTGATGTGAGTTGAGGTATATAAATTGATATCTTTAAAGTTACTGAACTGATAATCCGGGATGTCTGACACAAATTGAATTTTTGAGTGCATTTGGAATTGTTTATATTCAATTTTTGTGTTTATTTGACAGGAAGCAGTTGATTGGTACATCACAATCCGTGCAACAGTTTATTCTAATTTAAAAGAACAATATTCTGAACTTTCAAATGAGGAAGTAAGAATTTTTTTATGTAAATATGAAATATAAGTAGTTTATTTGGGGTTTCTCAAAATGTCAAGTCGAACACTTGTACCATTTGCCCTTCACTTCATATGAATACTAACCTTTTACCAATCAATTATATCTGTTGTAACCAGAAAACATAGCATGAATATCACTTCATATGCTTACTTCATTCATTTCGTCACAATGTATATCTACCCTGACTCAGAACAATGGGACAACCGTGCAACAATTGTAAGACATGTGTGGTCAATGTTTATATAGGTAGTGCAAATGTTCAGACTTTGATTCTGAATTTGACATGATACTTGTTAATATAACTCCGCCATGCCAGGTATGGCAATAGTTGACAATCTTAATACTGCCTCGATTGGCAATTAGCAGTTATATAAACCACCCTGACACAGAGAGAGAGAAAGCTCAACAATGCTCCAGAAGTATGTGTACTAATATGGAAGTAACTAAGTTTGTTCGCCTATTCTACATCAAGTTGTGTAAATGGACTGAAACATATGGGCATGGGGTATATTCACTTGCCTAAAACTGATAGTCCTCGCACTCATAATAGAACTAAAATATGGAAAATTGGAACAAAATTATGGCTTAACTCTAAGCTGGTACACACACTACAGGAGTACCCAATGCTCCATCGATCGAGTCACATATCATTTCAAGTAGTAATGTAAGGTTATGACACGTACTTACACAATCCATCAATATTTTTTTCCTTTTAAAGATAATAAAAAGAATGGCCAGGAATCAACAAAAACAAGGTTGGATGTCGAAAACTGGACCAAAAGTAAGTACATAATGAACTTATTGCATTCGTTCGTTGTAAATTTCAAATCATAAGAAGTGCTTTTGCGGAAATTCAATATATGTTAGCCCCATAGAATTTTAAAATATGTGGTTGACACATGAATAAATAATCAGATAATGAAAGAAATGAGCGGATTTACAAAAGAAGTAGTCAGAATCTTCAATACTCAGGACTCAGCGTTCACTGTTATCTTGCATTCCAATTTGTTTTCAGAAAACTGAACCGTATAGGAAACGATGGTTTGTTTTAGATGACAGAAGATTATTATATTTTACTCAACCACTGGTAAGCTTTCCTTCCATTTATATTTTTACTTACCAATATATTTAAAATTTGTCGGGACTTTGGACTATGTGGAGTTACGAATTACGAACCTAGCTTCATCTCCGTAGCCCCACTTGTCATATTTGATTTCTGACATCAGACATTTGGTGGTCCATATTCTTTAAAAATCCATGTTAAATACAGGAAGCGTATCCTAAAGGAGCCATCTACTTAGGCAACAGACAAGATGGTTATATAGTTCGAGATGGTCTACCAGCCGGTCAGCAAGAATCTGGGTATGGGATAACTGTCACAACGCCTGAAAGGTCAGTATTCAAATAATATAACAATATAAATCTTTAGTATCACAGGATACATTGTATCGAAATCAATTGATACCTTTGACTCCAAATATAGCTCTGATCAAGTAGCGTCTTGGATTTAGGTGGCATGATTGGTGATAAACAAGGTTGAAGCAAGGAGGGACCAGCGGTCCTCTCGCACATAACTATCCTCGCATGGGATTAGAACCTGCGCACCGATGCAAGGTTATCAGAGGTGCGGTGGCGATCATATTCCTAACGCTTAGCATGATGCGCTACACCGCCGTGCTGAGGGTTCATCGGTTCCATACTAGATGGCAGATAGTAATGTGCAATACATGACTTGTTATATATGAATGTAATGTTTGATAGTAAAATACAGTCCACTCTAGATTTTAGAAGTTCTGGATTGTTTTTGATGTAACTCTATTATGATGAACTTTGTCACAGCGATTCCACTTTATTACAGAGATTTCTTGTTACTATGTGAAGACCAAGAAGAACAAAGATCATGGATCGCAGAAATTAAAAATGTTTTGACGAGACCTTTATCAGAACAAGATAATAAAGGTACTTACTTTATTTATTTAATTGCTTCGACTGTACTGATTGGTAGGATTGACTTTTGATTGTGAAACTTTAAATAATATGAATATACAAATCAAACTCCATTTGGCTGCGTATTTATCACCAATTCCATCCCTACATTTGGGATGTTTAACTGGTTTGCTAATACCGTGTACGTGACCTGAACAAAGTGTTTCCTCATAAATTCTGTTAGAATAAACTTCAAATGTATTATCTGGACTAGCTTTTTTAATATCAAATTTAACCAATTTGGTATGAAAACTGCTAGTTTTATTCTAAATTGCCATAAACCCAAAATCAAATGTAATCCGATAGGTTTTTACTAGATTTTGCAATCACCTACGTAATTATTTAATATTGAATTCAATGGAATAGCATGTTATGTGTGTTTCAAATTTCATATCATTGATTATTTTCAATACATCGTTTTGTTAAAATTACATGTCGGATTTGTTTATGCATGCAATAGTGATTTAGTTGTTGTGTCATCTAAAATGTTTTTAACCATTTGTGAAGTTAATTCTTATTTGTGAACGATCATCACTTCATGCATTCACTCATTCTGTTAAATAAATAATCTGAAAGTAGAATAAGATTGGCTGTTAATCGAATTGATTGGATCAAATCTACTGATAATAAATATTGGTGATGACCAGTTTTGGAAAGATTCAAGTCCAGTTTTGCAACAAGCCCAACAACTCTATCGAACTCATCAACTCAGTGAAAAGACTTGGACTCTGCTAATCACTAAGGAGATCATGTTCAGACGACATAATGTTGTCGAGACATACGTAATTAAATCCGTTGATATTTGTGTCACTTTGATCTCTATTTTCGATAATTATTCTTGCTGATTTAACTTGGCATGGGAGATTTAAAAATGGTAACTGTGTAACATAGGTTTTATAAGATATAAGTGACAAATCTTTGAAGAATGCTTCATACTCATCATGCCAGTCGAATCTTCATGTAAAATAAATACATTCCAGATTTAATAAATCATAAACAAACATATGAAAAACGAAGAAAATCAGTAGCACGATTGGCGAGCACTTCTTTGAGTGCTGTTGTACCGACATCTCCTAAGGTAAGAAAGGTGATCTGGATTATTATTTGAAATGACGAATTTGAGAACAAATTCATCAAAAAAAAATTTTCAATATTTTGAACAGTGATTTTGGATATTCCAGTCATAATGAAACAACTTCAGCATTGATTTTTGATTGCATTCAGAAACTGATTATTTCTTGTGTATGAATCGTGGTTCACTCATCAATGAGACACGACTTGCATATATCGTGTCGAATCCTAAAATGATTACATGATTTTAGGCGATAAATTCTGATGGAATTCGCAAATTAGATATCAATATAACCTGTTATAACAATTACTGTATTTACTTCCAACTCCGTGTTCCCATATTCGCTCTTGTGTACAAGGATAGTAAGGTAATTCACTGTAGGTTTAGAACCAGAGCTCCTGACCACACAATGTTATAAGTTTTTGTCCATTATGCTAACCATCAGGCCATTGCATCTATTAAATTAAACAATTGATTCTTTCGATATAAATAAATGTGCTAGATATCTTCTATCTAGCAATTATATTGTAAATTTTTGTTCACTAATAACCCATGACATTTCTAATAACTTACTAACAGCATGTTGGTTACGTAATGGTACTTACTACAAGTATTGTAACTCGTTAAAATTACCTCTCCTCTTCTATTTTGTAGCAGAAACAGCATTTTTAAAAAAGAAGAAAAAGAAATGGTTTTGGTAATGACTCTTCACAATAATATCGAACTCACCGCCAAAAATTGTTTCTGAACGTTGCGTTTTTTATGGAAATGGAAGACAGAATCTTTGCGCTACTATGCAATTCCCCAAAATGGGCTCACCTGACTGGCAGGATCATCTCCAAATAACATATTACCTTGCTCACTACAGTAATATCCCTAGCAGTAACACCAATAAGTCCATGCTTCCGAAATCGAATAACTGATCACATACTCGACATGGAGAGGCAGTGCAGTGTTTCGCCATATGGTTAAGCTGTCTTATCGACTTTCCTCCCCCCGGGATAAATATGAAAATCCTATCCTAATATTTGTTTGACTATGCTACTTGTAATGGTAAATTTCCAATCGATCAATTGTGTTTCGTAAGTAGTTTTTCAATTTAAGTTATGTAGAATTGTGATCGACTTTCCTCCCCCCGAGATAAATATGAAAATCCTATCCTAATATTTGTTTGACTATGCTACTTGTAATGGTAAATTTCCAATCGATCAATTGTGTTTCGTAAGTAGTTTTTCAATTTAAGTTATGTAGAATTGTGATCCATGCATTTGTACCTTTGTCTAATAACTCAATATTCGTAATCCCAATGGGGGATGGAAGTGGTCTTTGACGTGGAAAGACCACTTGGTAAAAGGCATGAACGTGTTATATTTTTGACTTTCATGATGTTATGTATTCATTCTTTGGCGCTCCAGAAGTGTATGCACCAATATGGGGGTAACTCATTTTGTTCGCCTACTTTACATCAAGTTGTGTAAAGGAACTAAAACCTATGGGCAGGAGGTATATTTACTTGGCTACACAAACAGTCCCCAAACTCGTAATAGAGAAAATAGGAATAAAATTATGGCCTTACCCTAACATTGTACACATACTACGGGAGTACCCATTATTCTCATATAAACAAAACAAGTTTCATTTTTATTGCCTTACCGATATGTGTGATAAAAACAATTTCATATTGCATTATCTATCATTATTTCTTCCAAGTGGATATTCAGAGTCAATAATTTTTCCACCTTTGGGTTATAGGAGTCTGGCGAAGCAAAGCAGTATTAGTTCTTTGCTACAGAAAACTTTAATTATTATCAAAATCATTTAGTAGTTTTGCTTTCTTCCTTTGACATTTTATACATTATTCAAAGTGATCAGATAGATAAGCTGTTGTAATCAGGGTGAGTTCTGTACTTCTCTTCGTATGTGCTTGCTTTTATCTAAAACTTTATATCTGGTCGTAGAGGCTGTAGCAAACAGTTCACATTTTCTTTGATGTAAACATTTTTTATTTTAATATACGCAGGTATCTCATTTTATATTATGTATCGTATCTGTATGTAACCTTGCTTGTGCAATTTATTATATATATTTGTATTTTACACTGATTAATGGCCACTAATGCCTTGTCTGTCATGTATCAGGGTATATTCTTTATCACACAATTTTTCACCACTATCGCTTTGGCTCATCTATATTTTATGTTTTTTTATTCTTTTTCTTTAATACAACACTATAAAAATATGGTGTTCTATTGAAGGCATTTTGGCAAAAACACTTTATTCCTTGCCTCCTTTATCAACCAGAATAGGAAGAGGCCATGGTGTTTAGTAGAAAAGGATTACCGGTATGTAAATTTGTGGATAAATTCATGACTAAAATTTCTTGCAGCGACTCACCAGTCCAAAATGTGCTTAGTGAAAACTAATGCTTCGTTGGAGTCATACTGGTTAACGTTGTTATGGAAATAAAAGTGGACCGCAATATTGGATATTATTGTATAGACCTGAGTGGTGACTAAGATGTGTAATTTTTCCGCAATACCAACATTCTAGTTCGCACTGGACTCACCAGTCCAAAATGTGCTTAGTGAAAACTAATGCTTCGTTAAGAGTCATGGAAATAAAAGTGGACCGCAATATTGGATATTATTGTATAGACCTGAGTGGTGACTAAGATGTGTAATTTTTCCGCAATACCAACATTCTAGTTCGCACTGATGCTTTTAGTATCACAATATCTAATTAATTTTTTGAATGGAGGACACCAACAACATAAACTACCTATGCCATTGCCTTGTCCAATACACATCTATATATTAGGTATATAACGCATTTACTACTCTCAGCACTGTATTGCAATAAAAATGACTTATTTCGAACTTGTCTGTGTTGTATTTCATGAACTGTTAATTTAGATAGTGATTTTTGATGGAAAGGAGAAATTTGGAACCATATTCAAGTCTGAGAGAGAGGGAATGTCCTCTACTATCTTTCCATCCAGTTCAACAGCCCATGAAAGTAAAAAATAACAAAGTAGATATTGGGCTGCCTTGTAACACATTGTCTATCACATGACAGTGATGTAATGAAGTCAAGTAAATTTCCCTAATGTGAAATCAATCCATTCTTGCTTTCAACTTTCTTGTGGTGATCTTTCCCTTTTCAATGATATGCACGACAGCTCCCCACCCAGAACATGCATCTCTATCGACAGCATTCAACAAGGATTGTGATATACATTCAAATAGTTGATCTGCATCCATATCAGGTTGCCAAAGTGCTTCACACATACCATACATTTGCTCAGAACTTGTGCCGCTCACGACAAAATCTTCTGGTTCCATTGGGCAACCTATGACGTCCAGCGAACAAATGAAAGGTTCGTACGTTTTTGGATTAAGTCCAGCGATAACTGGTTCTACGAAATACGGACCAAATCGTCGCTCGTACAACAAATTTGAAACCATGCTCATGAAAGTTTTTGGAGTTATGGAACGGTTTTCACGTAATTCGTACAACTTTCTTCTAAAATTAAGCCTCTGTGAGACCGTTTGCACATCAGTAGCGAGGCCAGCAAGCCCGATAAATAATCTATCTCCCATTGGAAAGACTTTTTCAAAGTCCATGTGGATAGTTTGAGCTTGAACACCGAATCTAAGATCAGAAGCAATGGCAACACAGTCTTTGCCTTTCATGGCAATGACTGACCCACCATTATATTCCAAGATTGACATATTTCAGGTAGTCTGTATAAAGATAGTACAGGATTATTAATATTTAAATTATCAAGCTCTCCAAATAAATAGGATCAGAAGAACATCGTATTAAAAATATATAGCTAGACCCGAAGAAGTGATTGCTTCGATGACAGGAATTTGAAGTTGATTTTTGTTCTGGAATATTATTAAATTGTCCGAAGCACTTACTTCATTACCTACAATTATCTTGATGGTCAGACCTTCTCTCATTGGCGCAATTACCGTCATCCGTATGCATAACCTAGCTTCCTTTAATTGTTTATTCAAGATATATATGCTTCTACACAAAAAATATAAATTTGTACAATCTCTTCTATCTAATATATCATTTTACAGTTGTGTAGAGTTTCTGTCTGATTTTTTTAAAATTTTGCCACATGTTGCCCTACCCTACGTTTTCAGATTTGAAATATTCTTGTATTTAAGAAATTTAAAGTCACAAATTCCACAAATCAGTAGTCTTAATGTTGTGTGTTGATTAACAGTAAAAATAGTAGGATTGTATTACAGTGTTTCCCAACAAAAACTGTTACTGCTTTCATTTTCTAGTAAATTTTATTGTTTATTTTATATTTGCATTGAACTGTTGCTCAATGGTAATTGTATGTCGTGGGAAGTACCAGTATCAAAGCGTACAAACTTGGCATCTGTTATTAGTCAGTCAGCTTGTTTTGTGACCATTTACAGATTAAAGGTATGAGCATTAGGCCTACATACCGCCTAGTATTTGAGCATTTACAAAATTTGTTATTCGAAAAATTTCGGGTCTCATGAAAAAACGGTTGGGAACCACTGTTGTCACCTATGAACAGTGAAAAACCTTTAAACTGGCTGGCTGTTTATCGACTAGGCTACAATACAATATATTTTGGCATTCTTAAAACCCAGTGCTCAATAAAACGAAAGAATGAACTAAGTTGTGTGTTGCTGATGTCAATTATTCTAAAAAGCACTGCTATGTGTTAATTTATTCTAGACTTCCTCAATAATCAAACTCCAAAATCCAACCTCAGTATCCATCAGTTTACTAAGCAACCGTCAGACTGTCAGAACTTTGAACTGCTGAACCACTGACATATCCACCCAACTATATCAGAATATTATAACTTTTTACCCAAAACAGATAACAAAATAGGTCAGGCATTTATGAGTAAAATCTCGTACTTGAAAACATAATAAAAGCACATTCACTAACGTGTTGAAAAAGTTAATACCGGTAGCAGACTCGCCAACCAAAAGCATGACAGTGCGTGTTATTTGTGACTAAACAATTTTCCATTTGTGCCTGAAGATGAACGACCTTTGACATCTAACTACTTATTCATGTTTTTCGTGTCTGTCTCCAAAAAATACGCAATTTATAAATGTATCTCGATTTGGAACACGTATGCTCTTGCTGTTGATTTATCGACAGTAATTTTAAAGAATAAAAAAGTCGGTCTGTTTTATTGTTGTAAATTTGCGTTATCGTCTTGTTAGGGACGACAGCTATGAACAATCTTTGGTGAGGTGATATGATTTGTTTCTTGCCAGTTCGCGAACAACATGTAGGTATGTCTATTCACGTGATATACTTTGATATTGTTGCATAGTTCTTGTATGTTTAAGCGCACATGCGAAGCCACAGTGCGCGCCAAAAAATTCACGCAAGCGATTAGAATGAGCGTTTAGGTATTTTGGTTACATGCCGCTTCGATTTTGTGTCTCCGATCGCTATCTGGTTTATTTATTTGGTCAGCTAGAGTAGATATTCAGTCAAACGTCCGATGCACGAACATGTCTGGGCAAGCGTAATTTAATTAGGGTTTTCATAAACCACTGAATTCAATGATCTTCTTTCACACAATCATTATCAGAAGATTCGATCATTGACGGGGTTATGTGCGGTACAATGCCAAGCGAGTTAACCAAGTTAAGATTACGATCTTACAAATATGACAGAAACGCCTCATTCTCATTTGCTGACGATTCTCGGACGATAGACTATTTATATAGTGTCAGTTGAGATAGTATGAATCAATAAGATGTCCTATCATCTTTATTTGTGCTTTAGACGAAAATTCGACCTGGTACTTTATTTGTACTAATGCTATCTAGATTTTCCCAAACGTTGTATTAACGCCATATATATTACTATAAGAGGCTAATGAGCAAATATATAAAATAAATTTAAGAACATCCCGGTGTAGCTCATCGTTGGGAATACCCTCGCCACCGCACCTCTGATTACTCTGCGTGAGTTCGTAGGTTCGAATCCCATGCAGGGATGGTTATGTGCGAGAGGATTGCTGGACTCCTTGCCGCCGTTGGGTGGTTCATTTAATCGATGGTTGGTTGCGGCTTCCTCCACCATCAAGTCCATGTTTCCGAAAACAAGTAACTAACTAATCCCATACCCGACATGGAATGGTAGCCGGTCGTGGTTCGCCATATGGGGAAATAATATGTAAATCCTATCCTACATCCATGCTTTATTATTATATTAATAACAATAAGTATATTACATATATACAACAATTGTCGACAAAAAAGGAAGTTTGAACGGAATGTTGGAAATTGTTTTTTTGCACTTCTCGTATATTTTGTTTGGAACATTTTACTCAACCACTTTCAATAGCATATTTTTCAAGTTATACGAAAATGCTTTATCAGAAACATGACATATTAAAATTACCAGAAAAGCCATTTGTTGTAAGGGCAGGAATCACTGACCATAGATATCGTTTCTCGCGTGCATTAAATAATTCATGCATGTTTTTATGTGTGAAAAATTAGTGAAAATATAGTTCTTTCTCCACTGCTGCTAGTATTGTCTGATTTGAATCTGCCACATTGGAATAATTGCATTTTGTATATGGATAAACAATGTATCGTCCTCTAGTATAAGGACTTTCATTTTACGTGAATATTGTAATCATTGATGAAAATTCAACGGAAAAATTTTAATTGACTTTGAATGAAACGACGGAAAAGATCTCGTCATTGAAAATCTCCGTTGGCGGGGTCGCGCTTCTTCACAGAGGGTGGTAAATTTTCGTTTGGTGTTGAGAGTAGTCAAGTTAGTTTCAGAACAATATCCTCGTAACTCTTTGATTTTGTCACCATGGCGACATTGCGACGTTCGTCGACTCGGTTTCTTTTTCTCTAATTGCTTTGATATTATTGAAGCTGCTCTTTGCGAACTCGGCAATTCGATAGTTGAAAATCGATTCTTGATGTCCGTGAACGGCCACCAATTTTCAACTATATCTTGTTTTAGCCGCTGACGCCGGATACGAAGAGCTTCCTTTATTGTTTGGGGTGCCCTATAATCGTTTTTATTAACATCGAAAAACGAGGAATGCACCCATTCAAAGGCAAGTACAATCAAACCCATTATCATCGCGAAGAGAACTAAATAAAACACTCCCGCTAAATTTTGATAGGTAAGTGGTTTGACCGTTGTATTCTCATCAGTTTGTGCGTTGTCCAGTAGATAACACTTTTCCAATTCACCAAAGTATCTTTTCCATAACGTGGAGAGATAGCCTGACTCTTCAAGTCGTAAAATATGCCTTGATAGAATTGAAGTGAGCATTGATCGTTTTGGCAGTGCAAGAGCATAATCGACACCTCCAAATCCAACATCAACCGTTTTGAGTTGGCAATCTGATTTTGCCGCCTCGAAGTCGAGAACTAATGAATCCCATAACAGGGCGAATATGCCTTTTTTAACCCTTTCAAGTCCGACAGTAGACGTGGGAACTAGGAATTTATCCGGATCGGTCATGATATAATTATACACACTTTTTCCCAATTTCATTTCTGACGATTTCAATATATATTCCACAGAACTGTCAGATACAGTTCCAAACGGAATTTCAGTTTGTGAAACAAGTTCGGAAACGGATTTTAAATTGTTCACCACCCTCGTTTTAGAAGAGACAAAAGCGACCATATTCGCGGTATAGGCCGCTACAAATACAACAGCCGAAAGGTACCATATAACAGTAACAAAACGCGCCGAGGGCGCACGAGGCACCCTTTCTGGTGTCTGCCAAAACAACGATGCCCATACAAAATATAGAGCGTTGTTAAATCCCATTGCTCTGTCGGCGTCTTCTCTGCTCGATTTTAAGCGTTTCAGTTTTACAGAATCCTTTCCTATATGGTAGCCTGGGTTCGAATAACCAGTTTGTATTGTCGTAGAGCTTTTGCGAAGAAATTCATCTATTCTGGGCCCTAAAAAGAAATGCCCCCTCGCTCCATACGGACTTACGTGAGCGACCAGGCACAAAAAGCAGGCTAAGCACACCATGCAAATCCCGATCGCTAAATATAAACTACCATGAAATGGAAGTAAAAACGCAAAGGCTCCTCTTTCAGTTTTAGGGACAAGTCCGTCAGCTGCACGCCTGTCTACAATAAATTTCAGTCCTACATGCATGAATGCGGTAGAGAAATCAACAACTTCTGATCTCTGCTGTGTGACTGTAATAGGTGCTACCGCAATATGTACACGGCCGTTTTTGACGTCGCCAATCATGCCGCTCCAACGACCAGTTTCTTGGTCGAGTCCGCCGTAATTGGAGTCAGAAACCAATCGTAAAGTGTACCGTATTCCTGCGTTTTCGCTAAGTTTTTGTAGCATATCTATACAATATCCATGCAAAGATACATTCATTCCGGGTTTTCGTTGATCTGGAGGTAAATCTTCGGGTGAAACTCTATTGGCCTGTTTTTCCTGTGTGTCGCCACCTTTGCCTTCAATGACAAATGGAGATTCTATGATTGTAACAACGTGGACTATAGGCCTATCTTCTCCAACAGCAGATGCAGCGTGGACAATTCTTCCAGCCCTCCGAGAATTTAGATCGAAAAACGACGCCCTTGCGCTTCTAAGACCCCTCGAGTAATTCATAGATAGCGCATAACTCATATTTAATTTTCCAGACTCCGACCACTCCCCTATAGGTTTCCAAGTTCCTTTATCGGACATAAATATATCATACTCGGTTGATTTTGTTTTGCCATCCGCATCATACGCAATCTTAGTAGTCAGTCCTTCTTCTTTCACTCGCAAGGTGGCATCGAAGAGCATGGTTCCGTTGATTTGGTCTGGGCTGTCCAACATATCCTGAAGCAGCAAACAAGTTATGAAAAGAGCGGTAGTTATATACTCCGTATACAACATAGTAAAGATGGAAAATATGGGGGCTATGAACTCCGACTCCACATTATAAAAAAATTTGACTCTGACTCCGGCTCTGAATCGCTATAAAACCAAATTTTTATAACAAAAACTTCAGTAAATGCAAATCTTCTTTTATATGCAGTCTAGAACGCTCGGTAAATTTCATTCTTTTTAAGTTTTCGCCAAAATTTCGATTTATTTTATCACCATTGAAAGTGTAAATTTCAAATTCCGGGAAGTTCAGAATTCCGACATCGACTCCAATGAAAACATGATAAAATCCAACGCCACAGTTGCCACAGCTATTATTATTATTACACAATCAAGCATAGCATACAATTTTACCACAGTCTAATAACGTTAAAATACCATCCATTTCAACCTACTTTTTGGTAATAAAGACGAAATCCATGAGCAACGCTTAAAATAGCATCAAGTGGTTTTTCTAAATCGTATCCGAGCCCGTGTTTCCAGGGAAATGGTTCTGTGTGATGTTCTTCCCAGAATTTTACCAACGAATGTATTAAAACGCCCTCAGACATCACAGGTCTCGTGCCAACAAGGCCTGGAAGAGAAAATACGAGAAAAATAAAATAGTTATTAGGATGAACAGTTCGCCACTAAAAAAAGATTCAATTTGCTCGATAACACACAATAAATCAAACATACGGGATAACTCCAAAAACATATCATAGATCATTTAAAACCTATTCTAGAGCAGGGATGGGCGAATTACGGCCCGCGAGCCGGATCTGGCCCATCGAAGTGTTTCATCTGGCCCACTTGTGTCTGCTGAAATTACGACTATAGTTTTTATGAATATAAATTTCGGTTGAAAGCATTGATAAAAATAACGTCATAATGACCCCGATTGTTACATTGTGCTTTTATTATTATATAAACGTTAGCCTAGCTGTTGTGAATATTTTGTTTTTCATTCATAAGTTTTAATATTAAGTTTTGAGCTTCCGGCCCAGTAACCAACTCTATTATCTGTAACTGGCCCACTAGGAAAAGTAATTGGCCACTTCTGTTCTAGAGAAAAGATGACTTCCGCGCAAATCGTCCTAGATCATGTGACTTTGGGGTAAAATCATACGCATACAGAAGTTCGAGTGTTAAATTTTCGTAGCAATAATTAGAAAATACATGACCACCGTGCAAAATATGAACTATATATCAACATCTTGAAGCCCCACGAGTGAAACACGTGACAACCACCTCTCTTACAGATTTTTATGATTACTTCATGAAAAAGGCATTTGTGGTCATTGGTATTTTCTTGGTATTTCACGTTCGGTCACGTAAGCGTTTCACGTTAGTTAATGATAGCATTGGAACATGAAAACAATTACGTATTACCCTGAAGCTAATTTCTACGTTTATGTACTTGGAATTCGAAACCACAAAATTTGCGTCAACGTAGGCGTTTAATTTATTCCTAAAATATACGTAAAGCCTAAATATTTCAGTGGAATGTAATGAAACCATATATAGACATATATTCCAAAAAATTCATATTGAGATTATAGCTGAATTGTAATCTTTTAATTCGTGTGGTTATTTTACACAAATGTATCTCTGTTAAAAAGTTTATTTATTAGGTTAATGCTGTTACATTTTGAGGCAATTTAACATGAATAGATACGTATACAAAAGGAAGAGACTCATATCATTCAAACTGACTTTTGGGCAAAAACAAACAATTAGTACAAATTATGAATTATGACACTGGCAGTTGGTCAAGTAAAATATTTATCCATAAGAGATTATCTTAACAAACACAATAAGATAGCAATGCTAAAATATGTGAATACGACAACCACAACACCAGCAAAAATATCAAAATAATTATACCGAATGTCATATTAAATATGTGCGGGTGAAATATAAAAATGAAAAAAAAATGGGGTAAAATGTCAGTTTCCGTACGATTAAATAAAAAAATAAATTGAATCACTGAATCTTTGCACTGGAATAGAATATTACAGTTTCGGCGAATAAAAAATGATTATTTCACAACAACAACACTGCTCTCTATAGATTTTTAACTCATGATTACCGGTACTTCATGAAATTAGCATTCAAGGCCATTGGTATTTTTTTTGTTATTCACGTTCGGTCACGTAAGCGTGCGTATCACGTTAGTTAATGATAGCATTGAAACATGAAAACAATTACGTATTACCCTGAAGCTAATTTCTACGTTCATGTACTTGGAATTCGAAACCACAAATTTGCGTCAACGTAGGCGTTTAATTTATTCCCAAAATAAACGTAAAGCCTAAATATTTGAGGGGAATGTAATGCAACCATATATAGTCAAATCATTCCAAAAAATCACATTGAAATTATAGCTGAATTGTAAATTTTTAATCCGTGTGGTTATGTTACACAGTGGCATCTCTGTTAAAAGTTTATTTATTATGTTGATGCTGATAAATTTTGAGGCAAATAAACATGGATAGATACGTATACAAAAGGATGAGGCTCATATCATCCGGACTCTGGTGGCTTTTGGTGAAAACAAACAATCAGTACAAATCATGACACTGGAGGATGGTCAAGTAAAAATATTTCTCTTAACAAACACAATAAGATAGCAATGCTCAGATATGTGGATACGATGGTTGATATGAACAATATGGCAACCGCAATACCAGCAAAATATTGAAAGAATTATACCGAATGTCATATAAAATGTGTGAGGGTGAATTATAAAAAAAAAATTGGAGGTAAAATGTCAGCTTCCGTACGATGCAGAAAAAAAATGGAAAAAAAATTGAATCACTGAATCTTTGCACTGGAATGTGGAATCACAAGAAAAGCGATTACCTCACAACAACAACAATTTAACAAAACGAGCCATGTCCATGTCCAATTTTGAACTTTAATAATGTATTACCATCAAAATAGCTGGTCGTGATTTTTGAATTCTTATCCTCATATTCAACGAGTAATACTTCGTCAACGGCAACACCGTCCATCAAAATCCATAACCAATTTTTTTCGACCGTCATATCACGAAGATGAGCTTCTTTCAACACAGCTTTCCCATACCCACCTCCAGCTACTAAAACCACTGGATGGGGCCGCAGAGCTTGAATTTGGTCGAGTATTTCAGTTGTTGGAACTTCATCGATATTTTTTGTAATCTGAATCAAAAATTGAATAAAATTAGATTAGATATGGTCATCCGCGTGTCAAACAACCACGGAAATGCGGAAATTTACTGGAATTAAATTTGATCGTATGTAAATAGGTTTTAAACGTATGCTTATTTACAGATTTTCTCGAATTTAATACAAGGGTTTGCCTGCAAATTAGCAATACTGATTGAATCAAATAAATTTTCGGCTCGTTTCGAAGTTTAAATTTTAGGATACAATTGCCACATTCAACGATATAGTAAAAAACCAAATACTTTGTTTATTATTTCGTACATTTAGAATTTAGATGGAATGGTTTATAATGGCTGTTAAATCCAGGTGACACGTTTTATAGCCGTTAAAACACACCACGTGAACGTTGAGCAATTATTTGTGTTATGCAAAAACTACCTAGAGAGCAATCTAGTCGTTATACGATACAATGATAATTGACAATGGCATATACCTGTAATCACGATACATTAAGTAATAGATACCAATGGATTAATACTGTCTCTAACGAAATTTGTGGTTAATGAGCTCTGTAAATCGCTTTAAGCTATTTAAGGAAATACATATTAATGTCGCTTATGCTGTCGTTAAAATTACATCACTCGATTTGATTACTTTTGTCCAACTTTGGTCCAAATATCACGACATCGAAGCATCGATAGTTTATGCTTGGTCCAAAGAAAATAATTGCTCACAATTAGAATACATAATAGCCCCAATTTAGGCTATAAATTTTGTTTTTCGACGACAAGCGTGCCATTTGAGAAGGGTACATTGTGTTACATAACATTTACTAATGTATTAGAATGCGTAGTTCAGCTTTTTTGCTGAATGTGTAAATGCTATTAATATTTTGCATGTATGATTTATTTGAGATCATAAAGAGGTATTGTACTAAGGTTTTCTGGCGCCAGTAAACCAGTTCAAACGAATACATATGATGGAATGAAAACTAACAAACCACATTATTGCAGTGGGTTATTGAATCGGAAACGAAATCATGCATTTCACATAGAAATATGAAATTAACAATAGACCTTAGTCATTACAACCCATCCCACGCGGGAAAAATAAAAGTGGCTTAACAAAAACACTTTAACATTAGCTCTTGTGAGGAATGATGGTCACAAGTGGGTTGCATTACTAACATAAGAAATAAGTTCAATTTGAAATACATTGTCAGTCACAGAATCAAACGATGGAAAAATTTAAAAAAAAAAGTTTGGTTAATTGGATTTACATATAGGCCGGAATTAATAATGCTGTATTCTAAGGATCAAATCAATTTTTTTTTGTTCTGGACTGCAACTAATAATAAATTTTACGGCTACCAAATTATCGACACACCAGTCAGCAGATTATGGGGAAATATGAATACTCTCTCATTATAAAACAATTTATTTTATACCGACCCCGTTACCCGACAGCCCGAAACATATAATCGATATCTGAGAATAAAATTTGAATGTTTTCGCCATTATGTGTTTGCCTTTGCCTTGCCATGGTTAAAACAAGCGCATTCTAAAAGAATCGCACAGAGATTGCTTCGTATTTAGATGAAAATACCAACATTTAAAATACTAGACTGTACAAAAATTGCAATTGGTTGAAATCACCAAGATTTTAATTACAGTACAATTCCAGTTAATTGGTCGCAATTTATCAAAATAATATGACTCATAATCGCACTAAATACATGTGAATCGAAGCATTTGGAATGTCTTGAGTCACCAACCACTATTCAAATAAAGACCGCGATCTTTTAGTTGGACACATGCTGATATTTGATAATACCCCACGCAAACCAGCGATGCGTTAAGAATTCTAAAACGCCTTGTAAACTTTCCAGTATAAAGCTTTTTCAGTCAGTATACTAAAATCCAATTATTCAATTAAACTGAACTTTTCTAGGCCAACGAGATCGAAAATTTCCGTTGCGCAAAGTATATAGGACATAGGTCTACTCTTGAAAAAGCTTTTATATATGTCCGGGTCTAATCCATCGACTGAGCGCGTCGTCCAGATGTGGCTTTTCTATCAATCGAGCTTAGCAGATGTATAGTTCAAGTAATGGTGTGATTTGAATTGATTAGGTTTTTCGATGAACGATTTGCATTTTCAAACCACTAGAAGTCAAAGGGGTACATACCGCAAAATCCGTGATGCGATGTAAAATGCCAATGTGTACCCGACCGTGCATTCTAACAAATTCCCGTGCAAACATTATGGTCCTACCAAGTCGTATTTATCTTTGTTATTCACCATTATTTGACTGAGAATATGTCTACGCTGTAATAAATACGACAAAACACATCTTCAAGAGACATTATGACGTCAAAAACACGCACTCGAAAGGCGGGAAAATTCAACCGCTGACGAACACTCGAAAGATAACAAAAAGCCGGTGAAAATTATTTACATCATATTGACAAACTCCACAATTTATGGTCTGGCGATGACTAGTGTTGTCCAAATAATGTAGCCCCTTTAGAGAGTATCCAATTGTGTTTTTCCACCTATATTTATATCATACGGTGAAATTGTCATGCCGTATTAGTCTTGTGTGTTGTCATTAATGGCGAAGTTCAAAATAAATTATTTTGCCGAAATTTAAAAGTTTAATGCTGTTTTCAAAAATATCCTAAAAATTGGAATAATCAAAATTGCTTTGTTTTTTGATGAATATTTCAATTTTCGTAACAAAATATAGATCTATGTCTATTATTGAATGCAGAATTCTCGATTACCAAGCGGTTATTTTTGTAGCAAAATATAGATCCATCTTTATTATATATTTTGTCTATATATAAATAATTTGAATGCAGGATTCTTGATAACCAAACGGTTCAGAGGGTTCAAGTTCCGAAGAGGGTCTCATTTTACAGTCGAGATAGGACTGTCAAGTTCAAGTAGAAAAAAAATCTCGAATCAAAATCTGTAATACTGTAATATTGAAATCTTCTCACTTTTAAATTCGTGACGTGCTCAACTTTACATCCCCGTTTTCGAGCTATATTTACGATTTCACTTTTCACACCAAATCCGTAATCATTGTCCATTGTGATTAAAGATAATCTTTCCCATCCGTAGAACTGAAGGATATCAAAAACCGCCTGCAAAAAAGATTGTAGAAATAGAAAAACTTCTTCATTTTTAAACATACAACCTGAAATTATAGGAATTTTGTTTGTTTTTACATCAAATTTACACGACCAAAGATCAAATATATACAAACTCCTTCATAACCGCAACGACTCTTGAGGGCTGATGTATTAGTTTATCAATTGTTTGTCCCCATTGCGGCAATTACCATACTTCCAGAATTTGTTCGACATTTTGCATTGAAAGAGCATTTATATATATGTTAAAATAAAAGGAATTTTGCGAATTTGAATTATATGTGATAGTTAAACGGGTTTGATTAGATCAGAAAATAATTTCATATGTCTCTGTCAGATTATGCATTTAAAAAAAAGTTTAAAAAATATGACCCGCATTTAGTTTACTACTCTCTTGCATAAATGAAAATCAGCAAATTACAGTAAAATGAATTTGCCCTCAAACGCCACGAAGAAAACGTGGTCTCAAAATAGCATCGAATTTCAAAATTCGATGACGTATACATACTTAATAGAAACCATTTGAGAGAATATGTAATAGTAGAACAACACAATATCCCCCAGGCGTGTATACCAACAAATGAAAGCTATCTTTATGTCCAATCTCCGGAATGTTACGAATTTTTATTTACAGAATGTCAATGAAATTGCCGAAAATTATAGTCGTAATTTCTTCAAACCGATTTCGCGCGATAGGGCATACTCAGTGGTGTTTCCTTACTTCTCAGTAATCTCGTCTTCGTCTTTTTTGCTAGATATAATTTACATCCAATGTGGCCAAGCCTAATACGGCATTTTGCGGGTCTATAATCGCCCTATTCATTTTTGTAAACTATGTCAACAAATCCGACTCGCTTGGTTGGTCAAGTATACAATAGGACAGTACTTTCAGAGCTTGGAATGTCAGTAGACTATGTTTTGTCTAAAAACATAGTATCAATTTGATACAAGGCAATTCCTAATGTTCAATAAACTTCTATTACCTTTTACATATAATACACCTTGCAAAATAGCCTTTTTCTCAAAAATTCATTATTTGAAATTTAAACGGAAAAGAATTTTTTAGGAATGATTTTACATCTGAAAATCAGTAGATATATATATACATTTCATCAAATCGCAGTCAGGAACGAGGTATTTTTGTAAGTCGGTCGTAAATGGCCAATTTTCATAAGAAAGTATCTCCTAACTGTGTAAAATAAAAAATAAAAAAACATGTATCACGATGGAACAGTAATATAACATGAATGTATTTGCTCGCGACGTAAAAACATATATTACCACTAATACGTTACGTAAAAGCAAACAAGAATGTTTTGTATTTCTCTGTCTGATATGGGCCACACCTAAATATCACAATTAATTTACACTTCAAGTTTGAATGAATATAATTTACCTTAGTTTGAAATGTGTCTGGTGGTGAAAGTCTGATCAACATCGGGAAACGAGAACTCTGTCCCAGTGCCGGATCAGTTGAAAATGGCGATAGATGTGGTAAATTGCGACTTACCGCAAAAGCATGAATCTATAATATGTATGCGATTTAATGATTTTTAGTACAATCATAAAAAAAAACTAAAATTAAATGTTCGCCGCATGATATGTGGTTGCTCATAGTAAAAATCCAGGATTAATCTTATATTTTCCACAGATATACCATATTTCCGTATGCAAAAACTGCAAAAAGCAATTTACGAACGAATATCTGTAAGGGTATTCAAACTAAAAACCTTGCTCTTTTCAAATTTTTCATATGTTTTTTTAAAAAAAAACGGTATGCAACCCCTAGGTGAAATTAAGGTAAAAATTTAAATACAGTACTAAAAGGGGATCCAAATAGAAAGATATTCTGCACTATGTATTATTATGATTATTTCAAATTTTAGATTTTTGAATTTTTTCCATACAGCAAGCAAACAGCAAAGCTATGTAATTTTCCATCCGGGAATGCTATTGTTGATTATGAGATAATTTCAGTTGAAATGAAATTCCTATCGTCTTCTGAGGCAAATTAATTTGATTTTCGTGTTCAGCTAACCTACCAATTTGGTGTTAGTACTGGACCCAGGTCCGATAAAAGAAGATACATTTGCTTTTTCAAGACTGTCAGCTATGAGATACAGTCCTGCCCCTGTCACATCTTGCAAGCGTTGCTGATTTTCTATCGATGGGAAAAATCTGTTATAAATGTAAATAACCTGGATCAATTTGCATTAATTTTTTTTAAAGAAATTTCTTCTATAGAGAAGAATGTATAAATGGCATAAATTGAAAAATTAGTATATTTGGATCAAATTTATTACCGTCGATTTATTTACTGTATTTCCAAAACCATGCGCAAAACATAGTACCGGTACGTTAAAATCGGAACATAGGATACCAAGGTTTCAGTCATAGCATTGGGTCAACTTTTCGGAATATCTATTTTGTTTACTTTGATCAATGGGTCGCTACTAGTCGTTGTTAGTAATACAATGCCGTGTTTAGATAGCTGAACAACTTACTTGTATTCAAGGCTCCACTTATCCGGCATTATATTTTCATTGACGAAATCTCGAACAAAAGACAGAGCTAGCTGTGTGTTATTGTCCACTGGGCTACTTATTATACCAACCAATAACGGAAAATTATCCATTGTCGAATACGTTCCGAGATAAGTTAGTTTCAAGAAGAAATACAGTATACAAAAATACAAACTTCGCGACATTTTGACATGGGGGAATATTAAAACTTGGGTGTTTTCCAACTTTCAAGGAAAAACTCTATGACGCCATAATAATATTGAATGTGATGTCACAAATGACTATTAAACCAGGGTGATAGGAGTCAGTCTTACCGAAAGAACTAACGAAGATAGTAAAACGTTCAATGTAAAGAGTATGACCCTATGAACATTGTTAATCCTAATATATTTACAAATTGCTAAAATCTAGAAGTTGGCGGTGACTTAGATAATTCTGCATGACGTACCTTATAAAGTTTGAATCGTTGAGCCTAACATCTTGTTGGATATAGGCTATGTGTTAATGAATATATCCGTGTAATGTTTGAGTATTTGACCACCATAACTGTCGAAGGGAATAATGAAACACAATGATCATGTTTCAACTTTTTTATTCAAAGTCTTATTTAGCGAACCAGCAAAACGCTAATATCAAAATAGCGATGTACATACAAATCATATTGCTTCCGGCTGAGCAAAATTATAATATAAATCAATCAACAAAATGATGAATCAGTCATTATTAAAATCAAACAAATCAAATATATATGATACACTTGCCAGTTTAAATGTGTGCCATATAATGAATAAAAATATGATAAACTTCTGGTCTCTCAACTATAGATTTTTGAATGTTTTTTAGTCTCGTGTTACAAAAAAGGAATCACAAATGCCATCTCAAAATCGCCAAATTTAACGCATAATATTTATCATTTTCGATCGCATTTGGAAGTGCATATAAAGCACAATTCACCATGGCTGTTGTCGAATAATTGGGCGCATTTGAGTGCGTGAATTTCAGGTGCAATTTAGTATCATGTTACAAGAATGCAAACAAATATTACATTTTGTCGCAATAATGCACGCGTATTTATCATAATTGGATAAGTAAGTCAAGCTCGGGTTGCAGCAAGGCAAGTATATTTGTGTACAACGGCGATGTACAAAATTGCACAATATCAGTTGAATGGAATGTATATGGGGAACACTGCATATGGTATGATTTAGCTCTAGGTGGTGTCAAATGGCTACAACAGTTCCAAATCAAACAAGCTAATAGATCACATACCCTTGTCTAATAGAGAACATTCGTTATCTAAACGCATATATCTAAAAACGACTACAATGAAAAAGTACTTCACTTTGTAATAGTGAACCTGACTCACACTTCAATAGAAGGCGCACAAGAAAAATCATAAAAATAATGCAGTAATCACAATTGGTTAAAATTCGAAGCAAGAATCATTCTGGGAACCAATTAGGAATACAGTAACGCTGGTAACTGACGGATATAAGAATATTTCGCGATAGAAATGAAGCATAAAAGTAATAGCGGGATATTGCAGACAAATAACGACTGGTGTACTCTATATTTTTTGGAGAAAAGGATGGGTTTGTTTAGAAGAAATTTTTTATTTTGAAACTAAGTAGGTGCTAACGATGCTCTACGCAATTTGAAGCCTTTTCTGATGTCATTCAATAAATTATCAATGATACATCCTCCCGCTTGCTCTTCTTCAACCTTTTTAAGAGTATTTTTCTTTCCACTCTCGCCGGATTCGGCCCTAGCTTGTTTCTGTTTTGCCAATTGTTCCTGGCGTTTTCGACGTTTTTCTTCTTGAATTGCACGCTCTTTATTCTCTTTAATAGCTGAAGATACTTGTGTGACAAATTTCACACAAGTTTGTAAACATTCTTCTAATTTGAACTTTTTTATATCTTCAACAAAATAGTTTGCAAGTTGCTCACGCATATTTTCGAGTTCTGCAACATCTTTGTTTGCTCTTTCCATTTCATTTACCGAATTATTTATAAATGGCAGAAAAGTTTCTTTCAAGTCTTCGGATGATTTATCAATCTTATTTCTCAAAGTTTCTAGACCTTTGTTCAATTTATTACAGTCTTGAAGCATAGGTTCGATGGCTATGGTTTGGCACTTCAAAACAACAGCTAATTCCTTAGGAAGATCCAATAAATGTGGATGGTTCTTCTCTGCCTCCTCTACGACGTAATGAAGCAACGTCATCCTTGGTTTATTAGATTTTGTTTCCGTTAATCTCAATAAAGAAGAGAATGTAAAAGCGTCTGCGTTTCCAGAGTGTCCCCCAAAGTTAAGGAAATTACCCATTTTCAAAATGAGAACTAAGAAAGTTTCTAGATTTTTGGACCCTTTTATCGCTTTCGTTGCTTCAATTACTTTCGTTAAGTCAGAAGTGAGGTTGCTGAAAGCTTCGCTGAATTCCTGTTGCATTATCATGGCATCAATACGTAGCATATTATGCGACACGGAAATAAGTCGTAGTAAAAAGTCTTCAGCATTTGCTAGTTTTGATTTATCCCCTTTAAATGACTTCAATGTATCAGCTTCGAATGTATCTGGATAGAATTTTTTTAAATTTCTTAGTCTTTCTTCTGTCATGGCCACAGAAGGCTTCCCGTTAACCAGCAGGGCAATGATTTCCGTGTTTGGCATTCTGAACTGCTTCAAAAATATATTGATATTTAAACTTCTTTTTCCGTCAATCAAAGTAATTTCAGAAGATTCTACTTTTTTGGCTGGAGATTTAGCCTTCTTTTCAATGACTTTTTGAGCAAACAATTCTTCTATTGTTTTGTAATTAGGTTCAAGTTCTGTCGGATCTACGTCGGGGCTGTTCAAAGAACTCCAGACACATTCCACTTTACCTTGCACGCGCGAAGACGGTATTTTTTGCCAGTTAAACTTTCGAAGTTTTGCATTTGGCTTTGGGACACTCACCGATCTACGAACCGGGGCTGCTGCTGCACCGAAAAAAGACGGCGGAGGAGGGATACCCGGTGCACCGGGTGGGGGAGGAGGCGGGGGTGGAGCACCCGGGGCTGGTGGTGGAGGAGGCGGGGGTGGAATGCCCGGTACTGGTGGGGGAGGCGGCGGGGGTGGAATACCTGGTACTGGTGGGGGAGGCGGCGGGGGTGGAATACCTGGTGCTGGTGGGGGAGGAGGCGGGGGTGGAATGCCTGGTGCTGGTGGGGGAGGCGGCGGGGGTGGAATACCTGTTACTGGTGGGGGAGGCGGCGGGGGTGGAATACCTGGTGCTGGTGGGGGAGGAGGCGGGGGTGGAATACCTGGTGCTGGTGGGGGAGGAGGCGGGGGTGGAATACCTGGTGCTGGTGGGGGAGGAGGCGGCGGTGTGGGGATTGACGAACCATTGCCAGGCGGTGGTTGTGGAGTCGGGATTTGTACACTGTTTCCAATTACTGGTGGTGGAGGAGGCGGCGGTGGTGGTACAGGAGTTGCATTCATATTAGAACTTTTAGGTATAAGTGATTTATCTGTAGACGAGTCAGAAGACATAGAACTCTTGATTTCAGATCCTGCGACTGGTTTATGATCAGAATAGCCATTCACCAAAGATGATGCAACGGGAGAAGATCGTCGAGGAGAGGTTTGAGTTGACGACTCTTCCGACGAGCAAGAGTGAAATGAATCACTTGATGAGTTGGACGAGCAATAGTTAGGATTGTGTACTTTGATCTCAGAACTCATTAATTTTAGAAGTTCTTTCTCTGTACGCGATGCACTTACTTTTTGTGCAAATGTATCAATTGCTCTCCAGATCATATCTGACTCTACTTCGTTTGGTTCAAGTTGAAGCAAACATTGCAAAATATTTAAAAAATATCCCGCTTGTGCAGAGTTAGATGTTTTGTTGTAAATTGTTTCAAATATGTCTTTGTGATCGTTTAAATTGACGTTTTTATCTCCAGCGAGTGCACTGTACTCATCTTCGTCTTCGAGTTTACTCTCTTCAAAAACTTCAATTTGAATGAGTAAGTCTTCTACGTCTTCACTTCTCAGTCTTGCTAGGATGTCAAGAAGATCCAATGCAATAAATTCGTTGCGAATCTGCATTCTTTTCGTCAAGGAATCACTTGAAATTATCACAGCATTGATAAAAGATAAAACGGATATCTGATACGGATTATTCTCAGCTTCTTTCAATTCATTGACAACGATACTAAATCGGTAACGTTGCATTTTCGTTTTCATGAAGTTTTCCATAGAATCGATCGCACGACGTTTTCCCTTTTCAGAGTATAGAGATAACGCCGCCATGAGCTCAAAAACTTGCTTCTTGATCATGATATTAGGAGTGTCAATTGCGGCGGATAACTTTCTGGTATATTCTTCATGTTTTATAATGAAGTCCAGCCCGGTTTTAGAATTCATTACTGCTTTTACGCATTCAACGCATTGCAGCAACTCCATTGAACGATTCCATGAAAACTTTTTGGATTGAGCAGTTTGTTTCGATAATCGACCCAGAGTTTCAAAGAGTACATCTAACCCATCTTGTTCCAAAAAAGATAGCATCCATTCAACAGAAGCCGATTGAATTTTATGTTTTAATCCGGAAAAGTTCTGCATTGAAGGATAATGTAAGAGCTTGATGCAAAGTTCGGGATCTGCATTTTCCAAATTGCTAACTTTCTCCTCGATTTCTTCTTTTTCTTGGTGAGCCTTTTGAATCACGGATGTCCAAATCCGTTTCATTGCCATTGTGGCTTTTATGAGATGATGATATAATACGACACAGATATGATTAAATTAAAGACACATAGTGCTGAAAAATAAGTTTGCAGCTCTGGTAACTTTAACAATAATACTACTCGTCATCTAAGCAATACGCAGACATTTGGATACACTTATATATAGTATTTTTACGGAATTGTATAGAAATTTACGTAACTGCCTGGCTGTGATATTTACTGAATATCCATCTCTCTTTTGAACGACTCAGAACGAATATAACAAATGACTGAAAACGTGATAAACTTGAATGATGACACTCGGGTTAAAATTCTATGATAAATCGACATATCAATTAAACTTCTGAATTGTATATCATAAATGAACTTCACTCTTGTGAGCTTATTACGCAACACCAATTTTCGTCTGTAATACCAATTGCGAATGGTTTATCCCGCTCATACCGACGTTTTAACACATGTTTGTCAAAACCAAATCAATTATGCTAATTTTTTCTTTGCTGCTAATGCTAATAGAAACGAACCACTGCGTCACAAAGTAGCCTATTACTATCAGTACCAAGCTTCCATGCTCACTAATATATAGATTAGTTTCATACATAGGAGGCCAGTATAAATAATGAAGGATATATCACAAAGGCCTATTATATTGTGTAGAAATTTGTGGTACAAATATCATCTTGAAATCCTTTTAGCAATTCAGTAATTCTCCAACAAGAGTTATGTATGTTACCCAAACACAGGTTCAATAAATTTATTTATTAGCCCCAATACAACATACAAAATGTAAATCAGACGTTTTAGCAGCATGATCTGCAAAGAAGTTGTAAATAACAATAATGGAATTGCACTTTAGAAATTGACTGATGACATTGACACGCAAAGTATATCATATTTCACTCGGAAAGTTGAAGCTGATAAATTGTCTCATTAATTTTTTATGCGATCAATAAACGCAAAGAGGTTGACTGCCAAAGCTGATTTAATTTTTTTTTTTTTATCAAAAATCGAAATTTTCTATTTCATTGAAAATACTAGCGGAAAATTTGGCAAGAAGAAAAATAAATCAAAATTTAGATCGTAAGATACTACAACAAAAATAAAAGGCTAAGCCTAAGTTCGAAAGGTTACATAATGAATTTTGCGAAGTGCCATCCATAACGTTTGAACCACCGAAAAACAACCTGCAAGAATTCCATCAAGGTAGCCATAATAAATGGCTAAAGTTACATGCATAGTAACTACAATCGCTTTTTCGTCTAAATGCCACCTACAAACTCAATTCTGATTGCTGATCTGTACATACGCTTGTTCCAAAAAAAATCGGCATCGAAATATATTACTACCTAAACTTCCTATGTTGCGCACTTGATTGATAACTGCATTAAAATAGCGTATTTCCGTAAAAACATCGGTAAACCGGACGTGGGTTAGCACTTGTCGAATTCAAATCAGACGTCTCTAAATCATCATTGCCTTGATAATTCTCACGCCACCGCCTTGCACAAATACCCGCTAGGTACGCTTCACCGCACTAAAGTTAACTTCATTACCCATTTCTACCTTCTGGCTGGGGCTGTTATCGGTTAGTTAATTAGAGTAGACCAACGCAGGCGGTTTCGAAAGAATTACAAAATGCTGACTGTGCTACAAATAAACTTGTCGTGTTCAACTGCGCTGATGTCGAATCACACACGCTAATAAATGTGATAGGTCGCAACACGGGGTTCGTTCGCTCTGAGGGCTCTTTGTTTGCTTAGTGTCGAGTTCGGAATTCTGAAATTAGAATTATACTTATTTCATCAGTTACAATATCTCAGCTGTACCCTAACTTTTAAACCGAATTGGCGTTAAAATTCTTCCAAAATCCTATTTTATAACCTGAATAGCTAAATTGCTCAAATAGCCCAATATGAAGGCTCTAACTGACCAATTTATGACTGACCAGGTACCAGATACAACTGCTGGGTATCATTACATAGTAAATTCTGACACACTCTTCACAAGATATACAGTTGTTCAGTTTAGCTAGCGACAGCAGACAGAATGCGATCTCACCCTAAAGGGCACTCGACACTTTATAGTAGGCATAACATATTTTACAGTTGTAATATACCTCACTCTCGTTATGTAATGAAATTGTTGTTGTCTTTCACTATGTAGGGAGAACCGCGTCTTGTGTGAACGAATTTCGCTATGAGCTCATGACGCGACTAGTTACAGAACTGTTGTTTGACCCCAAAACACTAATCTCAACAATATCCCGAGCAAACGTAAATATATGACGTAATCGCAACGAAAACGCCGCAGATCGACCAACATCGCAGTTGCAGAATAGTAACTTCATTTATGACTGACTAGGACCGCATACTGTCTATTTGAAAACCTTGTCATTCACGGAAAGTAATTTGAACGTCGTTTTGTTTTTTCACCTCGGGCTTAGAAGACTTCAAGAAAAGACAAAGCGACGTACGCGCGTTTCGACATTTTAGGAAATAAGTGGTCATTTTTGGCAATTATGTTCTGTAATGACGGAAATAGATACAAAGAAAAATAAAAGAGTTGGTGAAGGTCACGCGTTATAAGGTTCATAGTATAAACTAATAATATTTTACCAAGATTTCGAAATGGTATAAGGAATTTTTTTAATACTGTATTATCAGCGTCTATCCTAAAGTTTCATTCATTCATAAGAAATATCATGAAATGATAGACACATTTGATGGTTTTTAAATCTATATTAGAAGCAGTGTTTAGTCACTTATAGAAAACAGAGCCAGTAACTGATCGTCTCCAAAGCGCACAAATCGATATTTTAGGTACCGAATTGGTATTTCGATCAAGAATAATATGTAAAAGGAAAAATTGAATAATTGTGATTAAAACAGCGTGAGGCAGGGGTGGTCAAACGATGGTCCACGGCTCTTCAAGGCATTTTGTGCGGCCCCTGCTCTCGGAGAAAGTTTTTTTAAAAATAAATGCAATATTTACATTTAAACTTAATTTAAAATATCTCACTATGAATTGTTAAATTAATATTAATTCTTTCATTATTACTTATAACTCATCAAATGCATCAGTCGCATTGAGATAACTTCGTTCATGAACATTGACTGATAATGAGTTATTTTGCTTTGTCCAATAACTTGAGTCAGTTGATGATTTCACTTTCTCATCTGTATATTTCTTAATAATCTTTAATTTGGGATGTTTCACTTATTAGATTTTAACTACCGGTAAATGTGACTATATGATAGGGTCTCTTGAAAAAATTAAATACTTGCGGCCTTTTACAAAGAAGAATTTCTGAATGCGGCCCTTGCATAAAACTTTGTCCATTCCTTGTATAGAGAATGTCTCTCGTGCCCTCTAGTGGATTAAAGACACTTAAAAACGTTCGTTAGATTCGTTTCTTTCGTTGGACTTTGTTTTTGAACACAAAGTACCTACTTTTTGTTTCAGGGATGATCGAATTTTGGTGTTGTCGTGGACAATTCTCATTTCTCGTCAACCAGGCCTATCGATTTCAAATTCTCAGTTTCAGATTGGAGAAGATGCTAACAGTCTAGTACTTTCATTTTTATTTGTTTCAAATATTTTTCAAGATATTTGACCCCAAAAGTTTGCTGTAATTTCTATATAACATCTTATATCTCCATATGCCATATAGTAAAAATCAATAAAAATTTGTGTGTGATTTTTCTACCATCGAGATTGCCATTTGATCTTCAGGTAGACTAAATCGTTTGTTCTAAATGCAAGCGTAAAAAAATGAAGGAACACTGACGGTCACTACCCAGATTGGAGTAATATGAGACTTTATTCCTGTGGCAAAACAGGCAGTAAATAAAAAGTATCTTTATTTTGATTATTCCGATTTAGATAACAAAATCATTGACACACACACACAAAAAAACATCATGAACTAGCAAAAAAGCTATAATATGATCAAACAAAAAACTCAAAAATGATCCGACACATCTTCCTAGTTTTTGATCTCCCGCATAGATATATCTCAGCAGTCGTATTGAAATTTATGATGAGATGCTCAATCATTTATTTGTACTAAAACCTGTACAATTCACGAACTTTGTGTGACAGAAGTCACAAGCGGAGTCGATAGGTCTCTGAGCAGCGTCGCCTTACCGGGCCAGATTGACTAGGATAATAAAAAAAATATCAAAAGATAACAGTAAAGCTAACTAAAGCAATTTTTATTCATTTCAGATAAGTTACCACATATGAAATTTGGATTCACATACGGAACAGAAAATAAAAAAGTAAAATAGAAAGAGTGTGACACGCAAGCAATTTTGTATTATATCGTATTGCCGCCGAATCGAATAACTTCGGATGCTTCTTAACTTCTTGATGGAAATTTCAAGTCGACGTTTCTTGACTAAAATGCATATTTTACTTATTTCTATTTCCATAGAATGAAAAAAAATGCTAAGTACAAAATAAATGATCAGTTAAATGACTCATTGGGAAAAATTTGGGGTCAACTTGACTTGACATGTGGACGATATATGGCATAGTTATCGCTGAAAATAGTATAATTTTATTTCAAGTTTGCTACACCCTCTACAACAAACACAGAGCGTTTGGCCTTGATTAAGATGTCCCACTGGGTAAATTCAGCACATAGACCAAGTTTCATAGAGTAAATTTGGTGTCACATGAACTATTTGAACAAAGATTGAGTTACTGTCGAAAATATAGTAGCTTAGTTATATCTGAAAGTAGGTTGTTTGGTGTGATCCTTGGACTTTTGTGCCCATATAAATTAGTATTGTTTTCTCGTTACGGTTATGTAACTGTATTATATTATCTATTATTATAAATGTTCCTACCCCTTCTTGTAACAATGACTAATCATAAACAAGAGAGCTATGCTCAAATATGTGGACACGCAGTACAAACTGGAATATTTCCCCCGAAAATTCTATGCAGTAAGCCGGTAACTTACTAGACCGATGGTACAGAACTTTCATAGCTTTTCCGAGTCTTGTGACGATGATCCATTCTTCTAATTTTATGTTTCAGCGTGAATTGAAAAACCGTGTGGTCCGAGTCACTTCTGTACTACCAGATGAGATATCGCAGTCTACCATTCCCCATAAAAAACTTTTTATAAAATTATATGCAGTAACTTAACAGTACGACAATTGTATCGAGGTAGCGTTAGCGCTTCAAGGACTATCATAGCTATCCAAGGTTATGTGACGATGATCCATTATTCTTGATTCAGTTTCAACGTGAATGGAAATACCAACTGATCCGAGTAACTTACGTATTACTAGATCAGGTAGGCTACCGCAGTCTATCATTCCCCATAAAAAATTATCGACGTTACCGTAACTTACCAGTACCTGTATCGGGGTACCGACAACGGCGCAGGGACTGTCATAGCTTTTCCATGTCCTGTGGCGATAATATATTCTTCTTAATCCAGTTTCAACGTGAATTGAAATACCAACTGATCACTTCTGTATTACCAGATCAGGTCTTACAGTTTACGATCACGATAGTTCGTGATAATAAAATATGATGTGGTTCGGCGAAAAACAGAAACGGATTTTAACGGCCATGTGAAGGGCAAATTTAAGTTATATCTTCATTTGTTTTGCCATAAATATAAGTAACAGACGATACGATAGCTACAATTGTAGTATGTTTTGTACAACTAAATGTTTATTACAAATGGCAAAAAGTTAGATCATATATCAATGCTATTTGTGTTGTCAAACAATTACCATTGTGTAAAATTCCATCAGTTGCGGGGGCTTAATGGAAATACTCGAATTGAACACGCTACAAAATTAATTCGGGATCGGATACTCATTAACTATGCTTAAATGGGTATCAAAGATAACAAGTAAAACATTTTTTAGTGGGTTAACTTGAATAAAAATTGAACTACACGGATTATTGCTGTTTGATTGGGATGCGGTGGTATTTTTAGTATGGTAAGTTTTTTGTGGAAATGTAACAAAATTATAATAACAGCGATTTGCTGTTGATTAATGCAAGCGTAGTTGGCACCGTATCTATTGTGACTCGTATCAGTTGGTACCGGTATCCATTTCGAACCCATGGTTGCGGCTGGGAATTTCAGAAGAAAAGTCAAAAGCAGAAATGAAGGATTGTACAAGGGATATCTTCAGCAAAGCATTGGGTCTAAATTTAAATGAATTCAACAGAAGAAATATTTACATTTCAAGAAAAAGTAGACGTTATATATAGTCGATTTTATGGCAATCACTCGATAGTTCTTTCTTTATTCTTAAGCGCGAAACGCCGGCATAAGTTTGCACATTTTTATCTAGAAATAATTTGTTTGATTGTTTGTTTACATGCCGTCTCACGCATCAAACGCACAGCCGCTATTCAGATCATTATTTTGTTTGTAAATAATTGCACGTAATTTGATTATGAAGTTAGACGCTTGAATATTGTTTATATAACCGTTTATATTCATGTTTATTGTGATTTGTTTTCTTATTCCTTCGGTGGGTGAACGCGTTTAATATGTTATAAACTTAGTTTTAGGTGTTGTTCACTTTCCAGATTTTTCGCCGTTCACTTTTTTGTGTATTGTTTTATCTTTTGCGAATGAATCAAAATAAAATCTGTCCATCTAATTATCACCAGCGTGAAGATTCTGCATGCTTATTCTGTATTCAGTTGAAGGTACGTCAAACGTTTTTGCAGGTTCTGAAAATCAATTCGCTCTTTATAAACTACCGAGCCATTGAAAAGGAAACGATAGTATATATTTATTACACGTCTGATCGATATAAGAAGGCTTATTAACGGCATGTGATTTGATATTATTCTCATATTAATGTTTTTTGAAAAGCGATGCGCGCTTGAGTTGCCAAAATGAAATTGAGGGTATTTGCAACTGCTGTAATTTTCTGCCTGGGCACGGAATGTATTCATTGTTGTGAATTAGCCGAGCCCGGAATTGAGATTGATTGGAATAGTTTTGGAAGTGATTGGTATGAAATACTGAATGCCAATTTGACATTTGATCACATTCCCAAGTGTTTTGTACTCAGTGATTTCAAAGCTTATGCTGAACGCGGTGCAGGATTCATTGTAGACTATCACTTAAACACCAAAACTTATAATAAAATTCCAACGAACTTCGTCTTACAGCGTGGAAATTATTACAAGATTGGAGGAAATGATGTTGACAGCTATTGGAAAGCTAATTTAAACAAAGACGTTGAAAATCTTACACCCTATGCTGCAAAGTTGGACAATGAAATTGCTAAAGCTGTACCCCAGCACCCCTATTACATCGCTACAGATTACGAAAATTACGTCATATTCACAAGGTGCATGAATGAAAAACTCCAAGAAGGAAACAGGGGTATTTGGGTTCACGCTCGTAATCCAAACCCCACCGCGGAAGATATATTACGCATAGTAAACAGGCTGATCGCGATTGGAAGTCAATGGAGCTCAGTTCCCTTGTTCCTGTCAAAATGCGTTACTGTGGGCGATTTCGACCAGTTTGTTGAAGACCATCACTAAACGACACTATACTCCGTTAATGGTTAATCGGAAAAATTTGTATTTACGACTATAAAAGCTTTCGATTGCTAGCTATAACGTGTTCATTTTATGCAGAAAACAGTTCCATAATCTTTGCTCGAAATTGTTCAACTAACAGAATTGTCAATGTGCAAAATAAATTACACTCAGATGACTAAGATTGTGTTTTGATTCCAGGTCTCATACCTACTTGCAGAAATCTCTTTTGCGTCTATTTTGCAATATTGAACCGGGAGTGGGAATATTATATGTATGAACCTTGCGTGTTAAATGGCAGATTTAAGTTGACACCCCCAAGTAGATAGCAGAGCTTGAGGTATCAGAAAGTTCAGACAATCAATGTCCATTGTAACATTTAAGATTTACACAAGCGCAGAATATTACTTCAATGAAAAAGATTCTGCAATCCTGACGTTTGTTTTAGAATAATTTCCTCTGTAATCTATGTGGTTGTTTTTTCATCTCCCAGATAGTTTTATGCAGGTTACATTACGAAACGCACATGGCGGTATTCACCATGCAACAGTCTCATGAAGAGTTGAATACAGTGGTGGGATTCAAATTTTTTGTCAGCCAGTTCCATCACAAAAGTCAAATTTTTCTGCCGGTTCTGTTACATGTTTTTTTTAGTACAGTAATGCTAACCGGTTCGCTGATCTCATAAAATTCCATGTGACGGTTTTATAGAACCCGTGCGAACCGGCTGAATCCCACCACTTGTTGAATACCCTTGAGGTAATTTCGTTTGGATAAATATTCTGTATTAGAAAACAAAAATGAATTATTTTTTCATAGCCCATACACTCGTCCCCGACAACAGCACTGCCAGTTTATCTTTAAACAAATAGTGTCGGATGGTACATATTTCAAGACCCAACATGATATAAAAACAAGAGAGCAATGCTCAAATATATGGACACGCAGAACAATTCCCCGAAAATCATATGCGGTGACCAACGACTAACATACCGGCGGTGACTTACCAGTACCTGTATCGGGGTACCGTGACGGTACAGGGACTGTCATAGATATTTTAGGTCCTGTGACAATTGAAACATCAGTTGAAATATCTCGTGATATGAGTCAATTATGTACCGTATTATCGGAACAGGTACCGAACCACAGTCAAACATTTCAGATGAAAACGTTACTAAATAACATGCGTCAACTTAACACCAGCCGAATCGGGGTACAATTTTTGGTACAGTGACTGTCATAGCCGTTTAGGGCTGATGGACAATTCGACTACACGGACAACTCACCAGGCCTAGGGTGGTGTAGCCAGTCTGCGGACAATTTCATTCAAACCGCTATAAAACAAAAACCAATATATCTAACCCGTTAATTTTTTCACCGTGGGTGCATTGGCGGCATTTATTCTACACGCTAAACCTCGTATTAACTTTCTACGACAAAGGGTTGAAGCTATACAAATTCCCAAAGTACGGCACTCGAAAGACGTATTTGCGACCGAACGACCAGTGCGCGACCACGGATTTCAAGCCTTGATCATCGTTTATGCTGCGTCGAGACTATCGCATACGCAGCCATACAGCAATCAAACAGACAAAACACGGTGGTCGCAAATTGGTTGACAATTGTTGGTCTTGTGACAGCGTGAAAACATTGGGCTTCTAATTGCATTTCTGACCGTCATATATTTCAAGAACACGGTTATTTCGAACAAAACTCGTTAAATTATAAACAAAGCACCACATCACAGCAATCAAACAGACGAAAACACGGTGGCCGCAAATTGGCTGACAAAGATATTATCGACGTATCGGAAATGCACACCCCCTATTCCCCCTCCTTCAAATGTAGAAACGCGAAACTTTCAAATATGGTTAAAAGAAACACAACTCTACCCACCTGCCAAGTTTCATCTTTTTATTTCTCATACTTGTATGGATTTTCAAGCTTTTGACAGCTACGAGTTAGTTCAGTGTCACCGCGCTGTGTTACGGTACCAGAACTCCTGTCTTGTGACAGCGTGAATTGAAATTGCAAGATGGTCCGTTGGACACAAAATGGCGTCCGATACCCGCAGAACGTTTAGTGACGTCATAGCAAACAAAAACAAATCTTACAGAGCTAACAGGAATATTTGAAATAAATAAAAGTAATAGCCTTCTGGAGAAAAATTTCATCTTCAACCACTGAAAATTTCAAAGCAATTAGTCCAGTAATCAAAGAGAAAAGCGACTTTTTAAAAACGTGTCAAAGAACAAGAACAAGAACAACAACAAGAACAAGAACAAGAACAAGAACAACATAATATTGAAACGATCGTTATGTCCACTACGTGTCCAACAAGAGAGCTATGCTCAAATATATGGACACGTCTAACTCATAAATGTAGCAACACAAGCGATCCGAGTCACACTATACTATAACACCAGTTACCGGTACCGCGCAGATGACCGTTCCCCACAAACAAATCTTAGCGAAGCGAGAATTACGTTCGCTTCTCAGCTGTCCTCGCGGAATCGCCACAAAGTGCCGATATTTTTTATTCTGATCATATCTTCGCACTCAAAAAACGAATCTCTCAAAGTTCACAGAAATTTTTGAAATAAATAAAAGCAATACCCTCCTGGCAAAAAATTATTCTTCAACTACTGAAATTTTCAAAGCAATTGGTTCAGTATTCTAAGAGAAAAGCGATTTCATCGTGACGAAAGAGAATAATAATAATAACAACAACATAATATTGAAACGATCGTTATGTACACTGACGTGTCCAATAAAGAAAAGCCCTACGCTATTGCTGTTACAACGCTGCATCTCTTCGGTTTTGTTCGCAAAATTTCGAAACAATTGTCTAATTATTTAAAAGTATATTATATGGATAGTCCCATACAAAATACGTTTTTATGATTATTTGAATTATAATTGAGCTGCAGCACTAATCATCAAATTTTTAACACAAATAAATATGTTTTCATGATTATTTGAATTCAAATTAAGCTGCAGCACAAATCATCGAATTTTTAACATACATTTTTACATCTAGCAATTTTCTGTAATCCATGAAAACATCGTTGTTTTTCATGATAATCTAATCCTTCTGCGTTTGAAGAAAAATCTTAACTCGATTTAAATCGGGGTCAGAGATGAAGGATTGTACAAGGGATATCTTCAACAAAGCATTGGGTCTAAATTTAATATGAATTCAACAGAAGAAATATTTACATTTCAAGAAAAATTTTATACCACGAAGTTACTAGATACGTCAAGATTTCTACGAGTATAAAGTTCATGTTTCTTGTGTAATCTGAAAAGTAGACGTTATATATAGTCGATTTTATGGCAATCACTCGAAAGTTGTTTTTTTATTCTTAAGCGCGAAATGCCGGCATAGGTTTGCACATTTTTATCTAGAAATAATTTGTTCGATTGTTTGTTTACATGCCGCCTCACGCATCAAACGCACAGCCGCTATTCAGATCATTATTTTGTTTGTGAATAATTGCACGTAATTTGATTATGAAGTTAGACGCCTGAATAATGACCAACCGTTTATATTCATGTTTATTGTGATTTGTTTTCTTATTCCTTCGGTGGGTGAACGCGTTTAATATGTTATAAACTTTGTTTTAGGTTTTGTTCACTTTCCAGATTTTTCGCCGTTCACTTTTTTGTGTATTGTTTTATCTTTTGCGAATGAATCAAAATGAAATCTGTCTATCTAATTATCACCAGCGTGAAGATTTTGCATGCTGTATTCAGTTGAAGGTAGGGGAAAGTGGGGAAGGTTGGGACACTTTTTTTCTTTTTCATATTTTGAGCCCTTTATTCTGCACATTCATATGACTTTGCGGGATTAATGCAGGGAGGGGTAAATGTAGTTTTTATTCAGCGACTAAGAAATTCTCTCGCGACACACATCTCACCACCAAAATGCTTTGAAAAACGTTTGTCAAGTGTCCCACTGTACCCCACTTGTGGGGCACATTCGGACAGACCCTGGGGCACAATGGGTCAATCTGTTAAAATTCAACGAAGTATGCCCTTAATAATAAGCAATCAATCAGCATAATCGTCTAAAGAACAGGGAGACCTCAAATTTGAAGATTTAAGATTTTTAAAATCAATGTTCAACCGAAATATTTGACTAAAAAATTCGCTTACAAATTAAATTGTTTTCTAATCCGAATCTAAATCTGGAAATATTTTTGATTCTCGAATATATTTCATATTGGACCATGAGTCGAAAGATACCATACTGTTACATAAAAATATAACGCATCTCTAGGTCTCTAAGCACTTGTTGTATCAAACACTGTCGAATTGTGCCATGTAGGGCATGTCCCACTGAACCCCGGTCCATTGTTCCCCATAATCAACAAATATCTTCAGATCATCCCACGGCGAAATTCGGAAGGCACATCCACTTGCCAACGTTATAAATATTTCACAGTGGACTATAGCTGAAAGATATCAGACGGTGGTTTGTCACGTTGAAAAGGCTAAGTTAGAAAAAAGAATAAAATGGGACGGTGAAATTTTAGTTTCAACCCCCCAAAACCAATTTCACCTCATAGCTTGCGTCGCTCTACCCGTCCGCTGTCCGTTTGCGGGGACGTTGTAACTCACCGAAGGGTGGATCGAAACATCAAACCGCGGACCGGATTCCGAATATAGTATTAGTGTGAGAGCTGATTTTCCACTGTGCCCCATGTCCCAACGTGCCCCACCTTCCCCTATGTCAGACATTTTTGCAGGTTCTGAAAATCAATTCGCTCTTTAAAAACTACCGAACCATTGAAAAGGAAACAATAGTATATATTTATTACACGTCTGATCGATATAAGAAGGCTTATTAACGGCATGTGATCTGATATTATTCTCATATTATTGTTTTTTGAAAAGCGATGCGCGCTTGAGTTGCCAAAATGAAATTGAGGGTATTTGCAACTGCTGTAATTTTCTGCCTGGGCACGGAATGTATTCATTGTTGTGAATTAGCCGAGCCCGGAATTGAGATTGATTGGAATAGTCTTGGAAGTGATTGGTATGAAATACTGAATGCCAATTTGACATTTGATCACATTCCCAAGTGTTTTGTACTCAGTGATTTCAAAGCTTATGCTGAACGCGGTGCAGGATTCATTGTAGACTATCACTTAAACACCAAAACTTATAATAA